ATGAAATGTATCTGTAGGAAGCATGTATCTGAGCAAGTCAAAACAGAAGAGGATGTGACTGAGGTTGCACTGCCCAGGGGGTCGGAGTCCGCTGGTCGAGGATGCGAACTAATGCCCCAGGCGAGAAGCTAAAAGGAAAAAAAAAAAAAAAGCGATATGCGAGCTGCAACCCTCTTGTCAGGGCCATTGTTTGGATGTTTGGACTTGTTCTGGCGAAACAATCCCGATCTGAACCAAAAGCCAAGCCAAAACCAAGTCGATACCAGCAATGACAGGGAAATAAGACAACGACAAACTGGCAGCATTCGCTGTAGATTAGCCCGCCCGATCACCGCAAATAAACAAGTTCACAAATAAGCAAGCCAAAGAGCCAAAGAGCATTGTGTTATGTTCACTGGCCAGATCTGGCGATGGGCTGCGATGGTGGATGATGAGGATGCGCCTGAGCTGAGAACCCAGAAATCCAGAAATCCAAAAATCCCAGTACCAAGAGTCAACTAGCGCCCGCTGTGCCATCGCAACTTGGACTTCGGTTGCCCTGCGCTCTGCACGACACTGCAAATCCCTGGCTGGATTTCAATCGGACCCAGAGAGCTCAGCCTATTACAATTGCAGAAACAATAAATAATTATTATGTTTATGTTGCGGTCTTTTGTTTGCCTTATTAAAACATTTTTCACGCAGCGCCAAAAATCTGAAAAGGAAACTGACGAGATTTTTTTGGGGTTCTCATTCAAAATTTCGGATATCAAAACACACATTTGATTTTATGTCTCACACAAATAATCAAATCGATTGAAGGGAAACACTTAAAAATGTCTCTTATTGAACAGAAATTGCAAATATTTTATTAATTTAAAATTCATTTAACAAAAGATCTTTCACTTTTGTCAATTTAACTTAGTTTAGACGGCTGTTGACCTTAAAAGTTAATAAAATAATCATAATTATACCATGTGCATATAACTCTTATTTATCCGGTTTTAAGCTGATAAGATAAAGATCAATCCCTGCCAAAATCGACCCCCTTCGGATTAGGGGTGAATAATATAGTGATAAAATTTCATTGCATACCCTAAGGGAGTTTAAAAAGATTTTTAAAAACACCCTCGTAATGGGTAATTTCTAATCTTTTCTCACTTAAATTTCAGATTAACTTATTTTAATATATTTTTAAAACATTATTATGATTATTTATTACAAAATATATTAAAAAAAAAGGTTTCGCTGCCTTGAAAGGCCTTCGAACATAAAATCAAATATTATTGCTCTCATCCCCGCAGACCAAGTTTCCATTTCGGATGCGTTAAAAGGGTTCGAGGTGCCAGTTTCCAGTTTTCCAGAAATGTTATGAATAGCGCTGCTGGAGAGCCCTAAAACACGTGCCGGTTGCCATATTGTTACCGTTACAACCCGGGGGCTACTATCCGAAGACTGGGTGGGAGTGTTTTTGGGGTGTTAACACAATCATCGTGTGTCTGCTTCGCATTTCCTAAGACCTCACACCACCATCTGTACCACCATCTCTACCATCAATGCTGCAAATGATGAGTTGTGCCTAATTCATAACCACATCGAACGAATTAACTCGCAGTATGGAACCGCCCGAAAGATTTCGCAGGGTTGGGCTATAGAACATATAGAATGTGTGTGTGTGGGATCGGATCGGTTTGTGTTTAAATCCGGCTCCTGGATACACGTGTCGCAATTCGTCTGGGCGAGATATTTACAAGCGGACCGGGGGCTTGAAAGTGAAATTAATTACGGTAACGAAGGGTAAGTGTCACCAACCGGATGCGTACCAAATGGATGGCTGAGGACGAACTCTGTCTTAATATATATATTCTTCAGCCAGATAAGTATCTTGCGCCAATGGCTGTCCTGGTCCGCACAATAGATGCTTCCTTTTATGGGTTGCCTTTTGTAAACACCCATTAAACATCCTCTGTTCGTGTCGTTAAAAAAAGATACTTTTTGGTATCTGATAGATGCAGAATCAGAAGTTTCGTATAATTTATTAGGAGTGAAGGAAGGTTTTCTTTTTTGGGAGCTATATATATTTTAACTTTATATTCTTAGATCAATATAAATAAATTAATAAAGTTGGTTTTGATATCTGAAGAGAGGAGAGCCTTCTAACTTCAAAGTAGAACTTATCTATCAGGTATAATCATCTGTAAAGCTACAATATGTTAGCATAAAAACGGAATATCTTTATTCCATTCTACATATCCCTACAAACGAATATATATGTATATAGACATATAGGATCAAAGCGAAATACTAGCAGTTGATGTTTATTTGCCAACAGTCACGGGCACAAATATTCATTAAGTTGAAATAGCGTAGAAGCGGAGCTTGGACGAGTGTTGACATAAGTCTTGAGTTTTAACTGAAAACATAATTTTCCGTCTGAGGGTGCCGTGAAATCAAGTGGCTACCGTGTCATCGCAAATGCTCCGTATTCAAAACTCAAAACGGACGGGATGGCCGCCGGATGGCCGAGTGAGTTGCCTGCCTGCAGCTGGCAGTATTTGCAAAAGGAATGCTAATTAATTTAATGAAACCTGTCTGTTGCCACAAGCTCTAAAGAGTCCTCTCGACACAGCTCTGTATTGCCCTCGTATTTACATGTGCATATCGTGCTTGTACATTTGATGTGTTAAATATATATAAAACTACTTATGAAATGCGGAAAAATGGGTAAGAATATAATAAACAGAAACTAATTAAGCTAATTTTTAATTGATATTTACTCACTTTAGCAGCAGTTTGCACTTTAGAGGGCATTCAAGGTATATAAAAAGATATTCATATTTATTTATATATTCTTAGTTGTAAATAAAAAGTGTTGAAATAAATATAGTTAAGATAAGCTTAAAAGCTAAACCGTTTTTTAGTGTTTTTGCTTACATTAAAATCCACTCTTATGTCTTAAAAATTATTTATTTAAAAAGGAGAAATGTTAATGTATTAGAAAACCTAACAAATTAATGAAAATTGCTTCCCCTTTTTGATTTAATTAAACCCTCCTTATTGAGTCACAACCATTGCAAAGGGCTGCTCAAACATGAAAGCAACTTTACTCAAGTTATCAAATTTAGTATCGTTTTTTTTATTTATTTTTATTTGTATGTGCACCTTATCGCAATGTTAAAACGCGCCACGTGCTGCATGAAAATGTCTCTGTTCGAGTTAAAAACAAATCCATGAATATATTACAGAAATAATTAACATTATCGCCCGGCAAATGGGCAATAGACGAACGCGTGCGCGAACTGGCTATAATCATCGTTATCTAATAAGGCCACCATTGGGAACCCACGGCTCTTCCACAAATATTTGCCTACTTCAATCCGTCATTTGGAAGTCACATGCGTGAGAATGGTAAACAAGCCGGTGAGCCGGCAAGCCCTGGGATGGAGTTTTTGCACCCGCCAACCCTCTTTCAAGTCTCAGAAACGACTGAAAATCAAACGGAGGCTGGCCGGATAGAGACTCAACTATTACGTTCAAAGATCTAGGCCACACGGAAAAGTCAACCGAGGACTAGAAAAAAGTTACATAGTTGCTTTTGGCTGTGCATTTCGGCGGATGGTCCTCATCCGCAACACGTGTCACTTGGCCGACGTCCTGCCTGAGATACGCAGTGCACACAAAGGTTACTCCACCGTAGCGCAATCCCACAGCGCTCTTTCACATAAAAAGCAATAAACTAAAATTAAGTCAGAAAACGTGTCAAAGTCAGTACTCACTGCAGTGACAGTGATGCAAAGACAAACATAAACAGCGAACGTTGGTCCTTGTTTACCTTAATAAAGCCGGTTTCGATTCTCCTCAGCCGGCAGCAGTTCAGCAGTTTTGCTGGACTTATAACGAATCGCGGTGGGTGCGTTTCGTTTCTATTCGCTATGGATATACCCTGCTGCGAATTATCCTGCGATTGAGTTATGACACCAACTTAAAATAACACCGTCAGCATGGGGAAACGGTTTTTCCCAAATAAGGGAGCATCGGAACAGTGGGAAATGCCTGGTTCTTTCTGGGAATTTTTAGAAATTTAATCTTTGGTTTTGTCATTAATAGATGGGGTATATTTTATACTACATTGTTGTTATTAACTCAAATGTTAGATATATTTTATAGTAATTTTGAATATCTGATAACATTCTAACATTATATCTAGCTCTGTCTTTAGAAATGAAAAAGAAAACAAAATAAAAAAGACACAAAATCTAAGAAAAAGTACAGCCACTCGAATATCTTTCACTAAACCAAATAAAATACAATTTGATATCACAGTTTTTGTATTTTTACAGCTTACATATTGGAACACTATGTTTGCATTTATGTCTAGACAAATATTACAACGCATACCACTTCACAGTGAACAGAGCAAGGGCAGACGGTGGGGAAGATACTTAACAAAGGCACTGTACGGGTATATCCTTAAGTGCAAACATTTGTTTGTCTGACATTATGTCAAAATTAATTTGGTTTGTACCCAGTGGATTTTATTTCTCCTATCTTAAGAAGATGCTTATCTTGTTAATTTTGCGATTCATTTTATTGCAAACCTTTTGCAGCGACCGCAGTCGCGGCCCTTTTTGTTTTATAATTTATTTTGATCAGGCCGCGGCATGCATTTTCGATTGATATTGATGGTTCCTTCTGGAGAAACATGTTTTGCTCATCAATGAATTTGCCCTGAACCTGTTTGGCCCCGATGCTCATTTAGTCTAAGGACCTCGGCCTTACGCAGTAAAAAAGACAAGGAGGCGATACAAACTTTCTCACATGGAACTATACAGGCACTAAATTACGATTCGGCTTTGTTTCATGCCGAGGCATCATTATTTAACTGCCTTAGTAAGGGCTCAACTTACTACATAGTTGAAGCTGACTCTTGGTATATCCATTAATTTTTTACGATACCAACTTACATCCGGACTAATTTGAGTTTCTGATTTTTATTTTAGAAAAGTAACTCAAAATTCACTTCATCGCAAGATCCTAAAGTTCTGGGTAACAAAAGATAGTTCCATGTTTTCATGTTTCAAATAGAAATCTGATATATACAGCTGATGTCGGTTTTTCTCTATGATTTGAAAGGCTTTGGCTAGAGGAATGGTTGTGTTGTGAATGTAAAACAGCATATCGCCTTGGATTTCTTCTCTGGAAAATAGGGGAAAATAATTGAAGTAACCAAAGAAAACTTAACTACTTACAGCAAGTAAACGCTTCCAAAGTTGGTGAGCAGAAATCTGGAAATAACATTTATTATAGCATGATTGTTGATTTGAGCTTGTCCATATCTATAAAATATATTTATAAAACTACTAAATTTAAATAAAAAAAACAAGTACTTACCCCAATTCCCCTACTATAGCCTGCGGTCTAGCCTTGACCATTAAGATCAATCCCCTAGTTGACAGATTTTTATAGCTTTCAACGGAACCAATTGCTATCAGTTTTCCGCGCTTTATCAAAGCTAATCGATTGCAAAGGGTTTGAAAATCTTCAATGTTATTAGATGATAGTAATATCGAACAGCCACAATTATTAACACTTTTCAGCACTTCCAGAACATCCGATCGATGGGCTTTCTCAATGCCAGCCGTGGGTTCATCCAAAATTATCAAAGGAGGAGTACCAATCACTGCTATGGCTGTACTCAGTTTTCGCTTGTCACTTACAGTGTACAGTTTCGACTTTTTGTTTAGATTTTCTTTAAAGTTCAGATTTTCAGCTAGTTCTTCGGATACATCCCGTACTTTTCCTGATCTTATGCCGCGAATTAGGCAAAATACTTTCAAATTTTCTCTACCCGTGAAATTCGGCTCAAAGCAGTCCCTCTGCGGACAATAACCCAAGTACTTGAAAGACCTATATTTACTCTTCTTTTTTTCATGAACTTCGATTCCTCTTACTGTAATACGACCTCTGGATATATCACTTTCCGATATGATCATTTTATTTATAGTTGTCTTGCCAGATCTTTCGCCTACCAATCCGAGAACATCCATACTGGGATTTGTATTTATTTATTTATATTTTTTATAAATTTTATTTCAAACAACTTACGGTCTTAGACCAAAGGTCACATCCTTGATGGACCTTCTTGAGCGTTTTGATCTTACGTTTTCCAAAAGTAAAGTATGATTTCTCACCTCATTTCTAGTCATTCTATTAGCATCCTCTGGAAAATCATAACTAGCGGTTATGTAAACAAATAATTCATTACCTTTATTAAATAACATTAACTTTAAATACCTTTTCTTCTTTTTACAAGGAAATCCCTTCTCGTAGAGCATGAGCAATATAAAATAAAATAGGGCTAAAAAAGATAGTATGGCCACGTATATTATTCCAACCCAAATGGCTGACAAGTGTGAGTGCTCTGAAAAAAATGGGGATTATAGAAAATATAACAAATTTATGTTATTATTAAAAATTACAATGCGTAAATGGAGATGTTCATTTAACAATTGTTTTTATTTACTTAAACCCCAAAACGATGTTGAGTTAATTTAGTTACTGATAGACAAAAACTCTGCCAGCAATAATTTCCCTTTATTTTTATACCCCCTATTCTGTGCGAAGGGTGTAAAGTTACAACGAAATGCTTTCAACCCCTTTTCAAGGGTGAATGCACTTTCAAAAATGGATTTAATTAGATTGTCTTGATTTCATAACTTACGGCAAAAATCATTCATAGACGATATATATATACCACAAAGTCTATGTTTTTCGGCCTGAAGGCAAATCGCATGTAGCAGGGCAATGGCTGTATAGATGGGTATTAAATAGAGAATTCCAAAAGGTATGTCCGGTGCATCAAGCTCAAAGGGAATGGCTAAAGATATATATATTAAAGTTAGTCATATAATACATTTAACTTACCCAAAAGCATCAGTAAAAGTATTGGTATTATCCAGCCAAAAATTTTGCAATTAAAGAGTTGCAACAAAAGGTACAAGAAAGGTAACTGAGCCAGGTTAAAGAAATTTAATGCTATTATATAGGCAACTGCAAATCAATAAAATTAAAAAATAAACTAATAGTAAATCACATTTATCCTTACATATTTCATTATTTAAACTCTCTCCTAGAATGAGAGTCATCAAAACTACTAACAAAGTTGAAAATAAAGAAAGCCACATCCACTCCAAAAGCAAATGAGACAGCCAAAAAGTTGCCATATTTATGCCCTCAACTTGTTGCATAAGCTTATAGCCAATAATACGTTCTCTTATTATATAAGCAGCAAAAAATCCAGTAAAAATGCTTAAGCAGGCTAGAAGCACATACAGTTTTCCACTTTTAGAACATTCAATATCATACATTTTAGAGTTTCTACTGTACTGAATCGAGCGATAGGGATGATTATAAAATTCAATGTTTCTCTCAGGCAATATAGTTTCCTTGTTATAACCAGAGCAATATCGATCCAATAAGTTACTAGGGGTTAAATGAAATAAATATTAAAAATATTTTTAGTAAAAAAATCTTTACTTATTTGCTAAATAACCCATTAGTGCTGCTGCCATGGCCTCCGAATGCAAGAACTTTCTACTATAAAATATTTCATAATTACATTTACTCATTTTTAGTGCCAAAACGTATTTATCATTTAACAAATCTTGATTATTATTTAAATCATTTTGTGATATTACATCAGCCGAGCAGAGTTTTATTTTGTTTTTCAAAACAGATACGAGTGGATGCTCAGGACTTTCATTTTCCACAAATGCATAACTGCAATCCTCGCCATATGAATCCAAATCCAGTTTAAGAGACTTCTGCGATGCAAAGTGTTTATTTCCCACGTAATGATATTTCATCAAATCAGGTGACTTAGAAAAATAGGCAAGTAAGGCCGCAAAACCCATAAGCAAAAGCAAGGGAAGACCAAAGAACAACAGAGCGTTGTGTTTGATGTGGTAGAACTTTTTCAACATCATGGCTTTCCATTGATTACAGCATAGTTTTTGTCCTTTTAATAGACATTCATCGGGTTCTGGTAAGTTGCAAAAGTTATTGCATTTACTTAGCTTATCACAGCCAGCAGAAGCGGCATTTAAAAATTTCTCTACAACAGGAGTGGTTCCGATTTGAATGGATTCCATATCACCGCATCTCTCCGATAGTTCCAGTTCCTTTAGCAGAGGTGCAATTCCACAACAACTTTCTTGGGGTATATTAAAGGCTATTTCACAAGGCCTATCACAGGAGGCATTGGTATCGGGAATATATTTAGAAACCAAGGAGGTTATCTGCTGTTCAGGAAAGATTTCACCCTGTGAACATACCTAAATAAGACAACAGCTTTAAATTACTACAAAAATCAAAATACCTATAACTTACCAACTGATATCCCGATCCGTAAGAGTTCTTCAAGAAGACAGAAGATCCATTGAATATTAATTGCCCATCGCATAATATAGCCACTCGATCGGCCAGAGCATCGGCTTCTTCGATTTGATAGGTGGCCACAATTATAGTACGACATCGTTTCTCGGTCAGCAGTAAGTCCCACACTAATCTCCGTTCACAGGGCTCCAATCCTTCACTGGGTTCGTCCAAAACAATGATACGGGGACTTCCACAAAAGGCACATGCCACCGATAGTTTCCTTTGGTCCGCTAGCGATAGATTTCGACTTTTCACATCCCTTACAGTCCACAAGTCCAATACTCTTAAGTAGTTAATAGACTGACTTCTATACTTTCTTGGGGTATTTCGCAGCGATGAATAAAAGTTCATATGTTGTTTAACCGTCAAGGATTTAAATAAGGCATTGTGCTGTGGAGATAGTCCCAAAGAAGGCCTGGAGTATCTGCGGCGTTCGATAATATTTCGATTGTCTACTTTTACCCATCCGGATTGCGGAGGAATGCTACCTGTGATAGAGTTAATAGCAGCTGACTTTCCGGAATCGGAGAGACCCAATAAAACTGTTATTTGATCATCGTACATATTCATAGTGAAATTTTTTAAAGGAGCTTTTCCTTTTTGCCATTTCCTCACCATATTTGTTTGAACGATTGCCGGGGATTGATGATCCGAATACCTATTTGATTTTGATTTTCGACATCTAGAAATTCCATATCTTCCCGGTAAACACAATTCGATCAGTAAGCAGAGCAGCAAAGATATAAATGCCACTATTAACATTATTATTATAATATCCACAAAATTGTAAATAATATTATCATTATTTGGAGGAAGGCTAAAAGTATTATCTCCGTGAAATATATGACTCCACTGCAAGCCGGTATTATCAAACCATTCGAAGTATAGAATTCGACTTAAGCCAGTTAAAAATGCATAATGGAACAATATGCAGAATATATATTTCAAAACCAAAAATACTTCTTGCAAAAATGCAAATAAAAGAAAACTTAGTATGCAAAAAAATGCAACCACAAGTGCGGCTAAAATAACATTTCCAAATAAACTGTAAACTAAAAAACAAAAGCATATGCCAGAAAGTGCCCAGACTTCAAAGAAGAACAATAACGCTGTGAAACTGGAGCAATTTAACACATTTCCATTTTCACAAAATGGGGCCTATTATTAGGAGAAAAAACATTTAAATAGTTTACTTTAGTTTTCTAATTTTAAAAATGAAGCGCCAAACATTTAGCCAATATCCAAACCCGGCCTCGATAAGAAATCGGAACACACCTCACAAGCTTGTACATCGATTAATAATCGGAACCAGTTTCTATGGCCCATGAAATTTAAATTCAATTTTGGTTAATTTGGGTACTTACCTTTAATATAAATATAGTTAAAAAATTAATCAGAGTTAGTATAATAAAAGTAGAAAAGAACCATGAGAGGTAGTGTAGAAATCGATTTGAACCGGCTAAATTCATCAAATCTACTTGTTGTTTAGTCTTTTCTCTCTGCATATGCTGAAATGATAAATAAATATAAATAGTTTTAAAAAAATAATTATTAAAGATACGTGTTTACCATAACTAATCGAACGAAAGGATAAATATATAAGATACCCAAGTAAAATGGCAAAAAATATTCACGAGGAATTTTAATTGGGTCCATCAGCATACGATCCCTTTCTTTTTTATATTTTTCATCGGTAAAAAATGGATTTGATACGATGGTTGCTTTATCCCTGTAGTTTTGACCAGATTTACTTAAGTCTGGTTGGTTCAGAAAGGCAATAATAGCATATAGTATTTGTAGAAATCCTTCGTTAGTATAACTGGACGATGCAATATTATCATCTACTTCTAATCTATCCGTATTCCAAAGATCAGTTGGCTTAGTTCGCAATGAGCTGGGAAATCGAATCGTAACAGCAGTTTTATTAGCATCAGCTTTCCAAATGATGCCGGCCAAAAAATTTTCGTCTCTAAGATGTCTTTCAAAATCTCCCTCGGATTTTATCTGTGTAATTTTTTTGATCTTTAAAATATGTTTTAAAGCGGATTTCAGTTGTGTTGCCACCGATTGTAGGTTTATATACAGTAAAAGTTCTTTTGAAGGAGCTTCTTTCTTGATTGTTTCCATTGAATTACTAACATGTAAAAGATATGAATTAATAATATAAAAAAACGTAATTTCTGGGTACTTACTACAGTGGAGTAAGTCTAACATTATCCCCAAGCATTCCATCTCGACGCGCAAAGCAATGTACTGGATTTTCGTTATTTTGATCACATCGCAAAAAAACTAAATGTAGCATTAGTAAGGGAAGTAGCAAATAGATCAAAATCTCCAATCTAGTATAAGTTCTAAAGTTTTTTCCTAATAATGTTAGGAACTTTATGGCCATTTTCTAAAGTTATTAACTGGTTTATATACACTTTCAATCAGTTTTATGTCACTTATTTAATAAAGTTTGCATCATTCCTTAAATTATTTTTTAATGAAAACCACATCTTGAAAACACATTTCTCATGAGCTACTACAAAAAGTATGCTTTAACAAGATGTTCAGGTAGAGTTCGTTTACTAGATGATCAAGACAATTGTCAATGGTTTTTATAAATGATTGATTTATCCAAAGGATATTTATATTCTATATTTATCGAATATTGATTATTAATTGTACAAGTTAAAAAATTTAACGTCGGCCTGTAGCTCGGCCCCTTCCACGACCCCTTGGGCCACCTCGACCACGGGCTCCTCTGCCCCTGCCGCGATTTCCAACGCGGCCGCTGTCCTTCTTTTTTGTCTTCGACTTCGGGGTGTCGTCTATGAGTAGAGTCTCCAGTGGCAGGCTGTCCGGCAGAATAAAATATCTGATGTTATTGCCGCGAATGCTCAGAGTCTCCAGATGGACGGGATCTCTGTTCTTGATCGTCATCCGGACGCTCTTCAGGTGAGTGTTCATGGCAACATCCACACCGGTAATGGTGCCGTGAATCTGGGTGCCGTTCTTCAATTCAATAGTTACAGTCTCATGACTTAACTTCATAAGAAATCTGTAAGGTTTAAAAAACAAGTTATTAGAAATGGTGCTTTTTAAAAACAATCATCCTTAAATAAAGTTCTAATATAAGAAAAAAAATATTTAATATATAGACTATAATCCAATAGTCTGCCAATGTGCATCACACGGACCTTCAAGTGTCTTATTGGACGGCTAGAAAAGCTAGCGCACAACTAAACAACTTAAAGTTTGGGAACCTAAAATTAAGTATCCCAATTAATACATATGTAATTCTGAAACTATTATTATGAATAAATTTTTATATTGTCACCGTTAGTATTGTGTACATATACAATTGGCAGCATCGCCTTTACATGCGTACATGTGTACATTATTTGCACATATCTGAAACTGAATGGATCTCATAAAGACTCCGTATCCAACAGAACCGTCTACTCATTTAGTGATTGAAACTTAGCTTACCTTACTAATTTCATGTTTTTATCTGTTTTTTAATGATTTTCTGCAAAAACGCGCACAAACAACGCCGGCTATTTTACTTGGGTTTTGGTGGTTGCGGTGAAGTTTACTATCGCGTGCTAAGATAGCAACCTCGATTGATTCTGCAAAAATATATCGAGTGTATAATCAGAAAATAAAATACTAAATTAAAAAATTGTTTATTTTCACTGGGAATTTAAAAATCAAAATTTTTCCAACAATTTAATATCATAATATAATTAATATGCCTCTGTTGTTCTATGTTTATTATACAAATAAGTTTAATAATTTATTAATTCAAACTTAAGATATAATTATTTTAGCATTCATTTTTGTTGTAAGATTTTTTACATGACATTTTAGAGAAAATTTATATTCCCATTCCATTGTTCCAACATATAAATTGCAGAGCCCAGGACATATTCGACTGGCATATCGATAACGCCGCATATCAAAAAAAAAAAAAAAAAAACAATCCAGTGTTAAGAAAATAACGATTAATGAATACTTCATCGCGGTTGCCGTCTATTAAATGGTTCTTTAAAAACACAGTTTTCGGTGTTTTATAGTCGCCGCGTCCTTAATTGAACATAGAAGACCTTTTTTACAAGCAACAGACATCGAATATAATTTTTGACATATGTATTTATCCGGCTCGGAGTGAGAAATTAGCAAGCCATGGCGTTACTCTACCGACGCATGTCGATGCTTTTAAATATAATCCTTGCATGTATTTTCCTTTGTGCTATTTGTGTGCAGGGATCTGTGAAGCAAGGTAATGTTTCAAATTGGCATTCATAAAATTTTAAAATCAATTTATGGCCAGGTAGCAAAAGTGTCTCATGCATACATACAAACATACAACAAGAACGTTTAGTGGGTGTCAACAAATTGCAGTGTCTCTTTTTTTTCTTTTTGTTTTTGCAAATGTGAATGGAAAGTGTTTTAAAATAGTTATTGACAGGGTTTATCAATTGACAGCTGTAAAACTAATTAGGTGAAAGATTGTTAGGTACATCGGAACTCTAACTATGTCGGTAACGCCCAAAGATTACGGCGATGGGGTGAGATTTCAATTGGGGCTAAACAAAAGTAGTCGAGCATACATATGTACACACTTTCCGGTGCACATACATATAAAATACGTCTCTGCGTACATACATCTGTGTGATTTATCTAAAACATATCTATTTGTAATATTTGTGCAACGAAATACGTGTTGATTCCGGAAATACATTGGCTTACTATCTTGAATTTTATGGCCGATGGCGTGGGTGGAGTTTTATTTTTATGTCTGGCTTTACCGCCCATCGTTGACCACCCAAAACCCCCTTTTGGGATTTCATTTTAAATTTTACAGCAGATAAAAGTTGTATTCGTTTTAAGGGGAAACTATAATATAATAAAGTGATAACAAGAAAAACGCTTTAAAAGTCAAGATAAAATATATATTAAAAAGAATTAATAAAAATGACATTTTTGATAAGCCTTTTATACATTTTTGTGATCTTTTAGTCTGAGCTACGAAATACATTTCATGAATGATATACGACGGGGTTTTTAACATATAGAAAACTAAAGCCTTATATTTTATTTCAGAATGGGCAGAAATAGGAAAAAACGTATCATTAGAGTGTGCGTCTGAAAACGAAGGTGTAATATGGAAATTGGGAAATCAAACTATTGATAAAAACCATACAAGGTAAGAAATTTGTATAAAAACAATTTAAAAATCTAACCTTTATAAATGATTAATAAATTTTTAACCCTACACTATTTTCCCTCCTAGATTTAAAATCAGAACTGAACCCCAGAAATCCAACGACGACATTAATGAAAACAACGAAAGTCCAGATTTCATTAAATATAAAAATGTCCTTACGCTTCTTGATGTAAATATAAAGGACTCGGGAAACTTCACCTGTATATCCCAAACGGGCCAAAATCTTTCGACTGAATTCCAAGTAAGCCCATACCTTCCATCCAAGGTACTACAAAGTACCGGCGACAAGATAAAGAGAAAAATCAAACAGGCTGTTGTGTTGCACTGTTTGATTGAGATGTATCCGCAAAACGAGACGTCGGCTAAAAACCTTAAATGGCTTAAAGACGGCAGCCAATTTGAGTTTCTGGACACCTTTTCATCCACCTCGAAGCTGAACGAAACACATTTGAATTTTACCTTGGAATTTACAGAGGTTTACAAGAAAGAGAATGGTACCTATAAATGTGCCGTCTTTGATGATACAGGACTTGAAATTACCTCAAAAGAGATAACTCTTTTTGTAATGGAAGTGCCACAAGTTAGCATTGATTTCGCCAAAGCTGTCGGTGCCACAAAAATCTACCTTAATTGGACCGTCAACGATGGCAACGATCCAATTCAAAAATTCTTCGTCACCCTTCAGGAGGCTGGAACACCGACTTTTACCTACCATAAGGACTTTATAAACGGAAGCCATACTTCTTATATTTTAGACCATTTTAAACCGAATACGACATATTTTTTAAGAATTATCGGAAAGAACTCGATTGGCAATGGACAGCCCACCCAGTATCCCCAGGGAATCACCACGCTCAGTTTTGATCCCATATTTATACCGAAAGTCGAGTCAACGGGCAGCACAGCGTCCACAATAACAATTGGCTGGAATCCCCCGCCACCAGATCTTATTGATTATATACAATACTACGAACTGATTGTGTCCGAATCGGGCGAAGTGCCCAAAGTGATTGAAGAGGCCATTTACCAGCAGAATTCAAGGAACTTGCCATATATGTTTGATAAACTTAAGACCGCCACTGACTACGAATTTAGGGTAAGAGCATGCAGTGATCTAACCAAGACCTGTGGACCATGGTCAGAGAATGTAAATGGCACCACTATGGACGGCGTGGCAACGAAACCCACCAACTTGACCATCAACTGTCACCATGACAACGTAACGAGAGGTAACTCAATCTCAATTAATTGGGATGTTCCCAAAACGCCAAATGGCAAGGTTGTGTCATATTTAATTCACTTGCTGGGCAACCCAATGAGCACTGTAGATAGAGAGATGTGGGGACCGAAGATACGAAGAATCGACGAGCCCCATCACAAGACCCTTTACGAAAGTGTTAGCCCAAACACAAACTACACAGTGACGGTGTCCGCCATAACGCGTCACAAGAAGAACGGTGAACCGGCCGCCGGAAGTTGCCTGATGCCCGTCTCCACGCCGGATACCATTGGCCGAACGATGTGGACAAAAGTTAATCTGGGCTCAAAGTACATCCTGAAGTTATACCTACCCAAGATCAGTGAACGAAACGGTCCCATATGCTGCTACAGATTAAATCTTGTTAGGATTAACAATGACAACAAGGAATTGCCGGAGCCGGAAAAGCTTAATATCGCTACGTATCAGGAAGTTCACAGCGATAACGTTACTAGGAGTAGTGCATACATAGCGGAAATGATCAGTGGCAAGTACTTTAGGCCCGAAATATTTTTGGGCGATGAACAGAGATTTAGCGAAAACAATGAGATAATCAGGGACAATGACGAAATTTGCCGCAAATGCTTGGAGGGTACTCCTTTTCTGAGGAAACCCGAGGTGACCCACAAACCTCCACTGAGTTCACTATCAAGTAATGTATTTAAAAATATTTTTAAACCTTTTATTAATATTGGTTTTCCCTGCAGATTCTGATTCTGAGCTGCCACATTCACAAGAAAAGGATAACTTGATCAAAGGAGCAAATTTAACAGAGCATGCTCTGAAGATCTTAGAGAATAAGTTAAGAGATAAAAGAAACGCGGTGACCAGCGATGAGAATACAATTCTAAGCTCCGTCACCCCAAATGTGCCACTCCACGATTCTAGTCGAGATGTATTCGATGGTGAGATAGATATAAACTCAAACTACACTGGTTTCCTAGAGATAATAGGTAAGTGATGATGGAATTGTTTAAAATAAGTATATTTAAACGTATTCCCTCCCACAGTTCGAGATAGAAATAATGTGCTTATGGCATATAGTAAATACTTTGATATAATTACTCCGGCGACAGAAGCAGAACCTATCCCATCCTTAAACAATATGGACTACTACCTTAATATTGGGATCAAAGCGGGAGCTGTACTATTTGGCGTTATTCTCGTTTTGATTGTGCTGTGGATTTTCCATCACAAAAAAACGAAAAACGAATTGCAGGGCGAAGATACTTTAACTTTAAGAGATTCATTAAGGTAACTACTAAATCTTGTTTCTTTATAAGTCAATATTTAATATTAAACTTATGCTTTTACTACCAAGCAGGGCATTGTTCGGTCGCCGAAGTCACAATCACAGTCATTTTATTACATCTGGAAATCACAAAGGATTCGATGCTGGCCCCATTCATAGATTAGATTTAGAAAACGCCTATAAGAACCGCCATAAGGACACTGATTATGGATTCCTTCGTGAATATGAGATGCTGCCCAATCGCTTTAGCGATCGAACCACTAAAAATAGTGATTTAAAAGAAAATGCCTGCAAAAATAGGTATCCCGATATTAAAGCTTACGATCAAACTCGTGTTAAGTTGGCCGCCATAAATGGACTACAGACTGCGGATTATATTAATGCAAACTTCGTGATTGGCTACAAGGAGAGAAAGAAGTTTATCTGTGCACAGGGTCCAATGGAGAGTACCATCGACGATTTTTGGCGAATGATTTGGGAACAACATCTAGAAATTATTGTGATGCTTACCAATTTGGAGGAATATAACAAGGCCAAGTGTGCGAAATATTGGCCAGAAAAAGTATTTGATACAAAGCAGTTTGGAGATATTTTAGTGAAATTTGCACAAGAACGAAAGACTGGTGATTATATTGAACGAACCCTGAACGTTTCTAAGAACAAAGCCAATGTGGGCGAGGAGGAAGATCGTAGACAAATTACACAATACCACTATTTAACGTGGAAGGACTTTATGGCACCAGAGCATCCCCATGGCATCATTAAATTCATACGTCAAATCAATTCCGTCTACTCCCTGCAAAGGGGTCCAATTTTAGTGCACTGTAGTGCTGGTGTGGGTAGAACTGGGACCCTGGTGGCTTTAGATTCCCTGATCCAACAACTGGAGGAAGAAGATTCGGTGTCAATTTACAACACGGTGTGCGATTTACGGCACCAACGAAACTTTTTAGTTCAGTCATTGGTAAATATATACGAAAGTTCTACTTCTGAGAGATATAATATCTTATTTTTGTTTATAGAAACAATACATCTTCCTTTACCGAGCATTATTAGATACTGGAACTTTTGGAAATACCGATATTTGCATTGATACTATGACTTCTGCTATTGAATCACTCAAACGCAAACCCAATGAGGGTAAATGCAAATTGGAAATGGAATTCGAGGTTTGTACATTGTGTTAATAATTTCCGGCGATTTACTTATTTATCGCTTGCTTCAGAAACTACTGGTCACAGCGGATGAGATAAGCAAATCGTGTTGTGTGGGCGAAAACGAAGAAAACGCAATGAAGAATAGAAGTCAAGAGATTATACCCTACGATCGTAACAGAGTACGTAAATATTGGCTTACTTTTATGTGCTCTATATAAAGATATTATTTCATCAATCTAGGTAATACTGACACCACTTCCAATACGAGAGAGCTCGACCTATATTAACGCATCATTCATAGAGGGCTATGATAATAGCGAAACCTTTATTATTGCCCAAGATCCACTCGAGAATACTATTGGCGATTTCTGGAGAATGATCTCAGAACAGAGTGTTACCACCCTGGTAATGATATCTGAAGTAAGTATATCCATTTTTCTTTTAATAGTTTGTTATTTAACTTATTGTTGATTTGGCTTTATAGATCGGAGATGGCCCCAGAAAATGCCCGCGGTATTGGGCGGACGATGAAGTTCAATATGACCACATACTTGTGAAATACGTGCACAGCGAAAGTTGTCCATATTATACTCGCCGCGAATTTTACGTTACGAATTGCAAAATAGATGATACGCTGAAAGTCACACAATTTCAGTATAATGGTTGGCCAACTGTGGACGGAGAAGTTCCTGAAGTCTGCCGGGGCATTATAGAACTTGTAGATCAAGCATACAACCATTACAAAAACAATAAAAATTCTGGTTGTCGATCTCCACTTACAGTTCATTGCAGGTATTTAACTATATATATTTAAGTGTTTATGAACTACTTATTAATATATACTTTTTTTCAGTCTGGGAACTGATCGAAGTTCTATTTTCGTCGCAATGTGCATTTTAGTCCAGCATCTTAGATTGGAGAAGTGTGTCGACATCTGTGCCACAACAAGAAAATTACGATCTCAGCGAACGGGACTTATCAACTCATACGTAAGTTATTACCTATATATGTAGTCCTCAAATAATAATAACATATATTCTTTAGGCACAATACGAGTTCCTACATCGCGCAATAATTAATTATTCAGACTTACATCACATAGCCGAGTCAACATTGGATTAAGTTAGTTATGTATATATACGAGTACATAATGCACGTGTTGGTACATCAATGCATAATGTGCTATGATAAATTATTTGTATATTTATAAAATCTTTTAATAAAGTATTTACAAGGGCAAATGTAATTTTTTTAACGAATTAGGTTTGCCCGAAACATAATATACATACAAATATAAATGTAGTGTATACGTATCGTATTGATAAAACTACCAAAGGAAAATAAGTAACATATTTTATAAGATACAATGTAATAAAACTGAGAATAAGAATTGTACTTTTTATGAGCTTGAGTGGATTGAACTCTTGTTTTTGTTTGGTTTTATGGGCTGGTGCTAGCACTTTACATTTTTATTTTATGAATTTGTGGTATGGATCTGCCTTCTGATTAGGAATTCACTACCTTAATCTCGCTTTTTATCAGTTCTTTTATATCGTATTCAAACAAACAAATAACAATTTTAGGGTTTTGATAACTTTTAAAAATGGTTTAAAACAAATTCATTTTATCGGGTCAGGATAATTTAAATAGTTCCATTTCAACATTCCAAATCCTCGATAAACTTTGACACTGACATAAAAATCAGAGATCAATTTTAATTTAATGGTCATTTCATTTAACTTATACAAATTGGTAGTTATTGCAAAAAATACATTGCAATACAAAACATTTTAAAATTGCCAGTCTTATCGCCATGGAAGTTTTTACACAACTATCGATAGCGCTGTAAGCCGTTTACCATCTCTATCGGACGAGTTGTTTATTATTATTTCGGCAAAACAAAAAATTGTGCGATATGCCTAGTAAACTAGATAGTTTATATCGCCGCATGCTGATAACGAGGTTCTTCGAAAAGGGATGGGGAAAGCCGGAGAACTTAAGAAGGTACGTGTTTCACTATAAAAAAGAATCTCAAAAATTAGGCCCATACTGTTTCTTTACGTAATACTATTATAATTTAGATCTGGTGTAGGTTATCATTTGGGTGTATAAAGTAAAAGACAAATATTTGGTAACTAGGCATACTTTTTATAAGTAATGGGTATCAAACCATGGGTATTACCAAAAACAAATATAAGGTTTTATGGAACGATGTCCTGTTATCACAAGTACCTATTAGTATTCCAAAAACTTTGTTTCCTTCCATCTTTAATGAAAACTATAACTCCAAATCTATATACATGCTGTACTAACCACTATTTAATTACTAATGTAATTCATTGTTAATAAATCTTAATGGTCCTTTATATGGCCCAAATAAAAAATCATAAAATGTATATCGTTAATCCTATGAATTTCGTAATTTATTGAACTTCAGGTTAACATTTTTGGTTATATTATTCAGTAAAGTAACTTAAAACTAAATAAATATTATTATGATCTTAAATCAATTCATTACATTTTATTTTACCTTCTTTTGGAAAGCAGATTATTTATTTTTATTGTACTACGATGGCACTATAATTCTGAATTGCAGTTCCCTTCAGCCATACTCTGGATATAACAGCAATTTTTATATCTTACATACAGGTTAGTGGGTAACAAACTTTATTAGGGTCATTTACAGAATTTGGTTTATTAAGTATTAGAACGTACGATATCATTGCACTTTAAGGAAGTTTGGTTTTATTTTTGCTAAGTTGCTTTCATCAACAAAATAGTTTCGATGCTGATCAAGAAGTAATAAAATAATTCATTGAAAAAGATTCCTGAAGTTCAATCACAAATATATAATTTTGTTTTACATTTGTTCATTAGTTTCAAGAAAAGGACCCATTTTTTCATATGCTTTATATTAGATTGTTTTGCAACGTATATATTGATTGTAAAGTCCGTTGATTAATTAACTATAACTTCATTAATTGTCTTTTCATCACGACAATTATTTCAGAGTATTTCAGTTCCGAAAAATAATATCCAATAGGGAATCATGTTACAAGCTTGTACCTCGCGATTATCCAGTGGAGATCACGAAAAAAGAAATTTCTGCAGAAAGTACACTGATAGAAGGCCAATTTAAAACGCCCCTTGAGTTACATATACCCGGAGTTGTTCCAAAAGAGTCCCAACAGGCGCATTTTCAATTGTTGATTCCTAACAAGTGGAAAAATGAAAAGCACAAGCCAGTATGCATTCATTTGGCTGGAACTGGTGATCATGTGAGTAACATTGATAGATTGATGGCTCGAATTCCGAAATAATGTCTGTTTACTTTCAATAGAGGCCAAACGCCTGGCGGTCGGCCTATCAACACTTAGACAAAAGTGGGTCCCATTAAAAGAAAAAATCTATATATTATTATACCTTTCTTTTAATTTTTCATTTGCTCTTTTAATTTGATCGCCCTGAATTTAAAAGTCATTTAATTTAAATTAGTATAATCTTTAAAGAATTATTTGTTTGGGACCATTTTCAACAATATTTGTACATTAAATGTAAAATATAAAATTTTTGTAATCAAGTAACTTTTTAAATATTTGCAGTTCTTTTGGCGAAGACGAAATTTCATAGCGAAACCCCTTCTGAAGGACGCCAACATAGGATCCATAATACTTGAAAACCCATTTTATGGTTTAAGGAAACCAAATAACCAAACGTTAGTCTTCTTAAATAATATACTTTCGGTTAAATAATATTTACTACTTTGTTTTTAGACGATCCAACCTGCATAATGTGTCTGATATATTTGTAATGGGCGGGTGTCTCATCCTGGAATGCCTTGTCCTCTTTCATTGGTGTGAAAGGAATGGATTTGGACCATTAGGAGTTACTGGATTGTCAATGGGAGGTCATGTAAGATAATAGGCAAGAAACCCTTTAAGATATTTTATTAATATTTTTTACTTTATAGATGGCTTCACTAGCTGCTACAAATTGGCCAAAACCTTTAGTTCTAGTGCCCTGCCTATCCTGGTCCACCGCCTCTGCTGTTTTTACAACTGTAAGTGGGGACGCAATATAATAATATACATTTAATATGAACTCATTTTTAGGGTGTTATGAGCCAATCCATTAACTGGGATATGCTGGAAACGCAATACTTTTCTGATGGACAGTATAGAGAAAGGCTATCGAAAATGGTCACTGTGATAGACGATGCGTTTTCAGCGGGCCAAAGTTTTATTCAAAACTTCAATCAATCTTTGCACGAGCTAAAGGAAGACATAAGTGATACGAGAAAGATCCAACAAGATGAAAATAGCAATACCTGTGGTAATAAGTATGAGATGCAGGGCAACGGGTGTAAAGAAAATAGCTCAATATTCTTGCCCAAGTCATTGAAGAACACAAAACTTGACTCTGAGAAACTGACCATAGATATTAAAGACACCCTTAATAAAAATGTGGCAATCGATGCAGTTGAACCGGCAAAGGAATCGAGCTCAGCGTTGACGAATCTTATGAAATTCATTCTTCCCCTGTCTGCGCAAAACAAATCCGATAAAATAGATATAACCAAAACGAATTGGTGGGAACGGGAAGCTTTGCAGTTTATGCGCGGTATGATGGATGAGTGCACCCATCTGAAGAACTTCTCGGTTCCCTTCGACACCTCTTTGATCATTGCGGTGTGCGCGAAAGACGATGCCTATGTTCCGCGGGAAGGATGTTCCAGCCTCGAAGATATATGGCCTGGAGCAGAAGTACGATATTTGGATGCTGGTCATGTAAGCGCCTACGTTCTGCATCAAAAACTATTTAGGTTTGTATATTATTGTCTTCTATGATCAGATGTGTTTAGTAATTTAATTAATTTCGTTGCAGATCCTGCATTATAGAAGCTTTTGAAAGGGCCAAGAAGATCTACGAAAATGAGATTAGCGAAGGCCTAAAATGTGATATCACCTATAAGCAGTTGCTAAAACAATATGACAAAAATATTCAGTAGTAATAGGTTAAAAAATTAAACATAATAAAGAATATGTTGCCATATAAAAAAGGTTTGTTAATTGCCATGTAAACAGTTTAATTTATTTTAAAATTGGCATTGGTAGCTGATGTTTTAAAAACTGAAAAAATAAATAATCAAATTAAGTGAGTAATTATTTCTAATTTATTATTAAATAAAATGTTAAAATAATTCCGTTAAAGAAGTCTAAGCTTTTTTATTACAAACAAATCGGAACTTTTCGTTTCTAAGATTTGGTCACACTTGTCCTTAGCTTTTTGTTTTTGTTGACTGAAATAAATAAAGAAATTAGAATAAAATGGATCCGGTCGTTTTAGTATTATCCTACGGATCAACAACTCCTACGGAAATTATCGAAAGTAAGTATAGATTGACTAAGGAGCTACGATATTAATTGATAAAAAGATAATTCGATGACTATAAATTCTCACGTTGTTACGGCTCTGTTTATTTGATTTTAAAACTAAGACTAAAAATTTGTGAGTAATACGGATACAGAGAAGTTTGCCGAATCATGCTAATTAACTTTAATCATTTCGGATCTTTGTCACAATAAATTGAAGTTAAAAAATGATATCTAGCACAATACCCGAACATAATTTTAAAGGGATCCATTAATATACTCTTAAATTCTTTATTTTAGACATATTCTCCGAAGTGAATCAACCAAACGAAGTTACTTCAACGGAGTGTTCATTAAATTGTTATAGATGTATTATAAAAACTAAGTACTATAAAACCTCAATCAATTTAATTCCTTTTTCCGGAAAACTGGAAAGTGTTCCTGAGAAAATTCTTCAAGCAACTGAAGCTTTAATCATTTACTTTGACTCAAAAGATGTAAGTACTTTAAATAAACTAGCGTGTTTGTCAATATTTAAATTACTTACTTGTAGACATCCTTCATTGACACCATTCCTAAGACGTTAGCAAAGAACGAACAGATTCAATTGGGATTCCTGTTAACGTCTCCTACTACAGGAGAAGAATCTGGATTATCTTTCGGTGAATTAAAAGAGAAAACAAATTTCTTTTTTGATATCATAACATTAAAAAGCAATGTTGAAAGTGACTCAGATGAACCAGAAAAGGACTACGAAGAAGTTGTAGAAGGATTGAAGAACGTAGTTTGGTCCAATGTCAAATTTGGCTCTGGTACTTAGAAAGCAACTTTACTAATTAAACAATATTTAATCTCTTATATTTTTTATTTTTAGATCAAAAAGAAGAAATTAGTGCAGAGGAATTGGATAGTCAGTTGAAAGACTTTGAAAATCTACTCCTCACTGCGCAAAGCTTACGTAATGATACGAGCCTGACTAGAGAACAATTTCTCGATAGAGCTGAGCAGTTCGCTGGCATAGTTTCCTCAATCCTAAATGACAATGATAGTGACTAAATCAATACAACTTATCATAGGCAAACTTATTATAATGTTTGTTACTATTAATAAATGTTAAGTTGATTCCATCGTAAATTAAAGTTTTAATCGGTATTAAATGGATGGTTCCAATAATTCGATAACAAACACGTTTACGTTAAATATATTTGGTTTATTATTAAAAGCGGTACATATTTTTTGACGAATTAACAAGGTATAAAACGTTGTTTATTTGCTAATGTATGCTTGAGAGCTTATGTATATTAAGGAATGAATAAATAAAGTGTGTGTTTGTTGTTAACTTCCAATCATAAACATAAAGATTCCGTTGTGGGCGATGAACAAATAATATTTTCATGGTTTCGCATTTTTCTGTAATAAAAGAATACATAATATTAATGACAGATATAAAAATGCATTTTGGATCTTTTACCTCCTCTGAGAAATCCATATCCTCTTTAATTGCCTTCGATCGTCGCTTTTCATTTGATGTTAGCAGTTGTGAGACCTTTGTTTGTTTAGCTAGATCGTATGCTTCTTTTTTACTCCTCATTGCACAGTCTTCCAGGGTTTCGGCAGCTTCAAACATGCCTTGACGCCGATAAAGTGCTCCCAAATTTTTTAGAGTGGTTGTGACCGTTGGGGAATCCACTTTAGCAGCCTTGTGCCATCCACCGTATTCACCATACGGAGTGTTCTCCCTGTTATCAAATTTGTGCTCCTCACGCTCTTCAGCCACCTGACAATGAAAGATGGTAAGGAATTTGTAATATTTACTAATAAAATGCTTCATAAAAATATTACCTGCCAAATTGGCTTGTTTTTACTGTCGATTGCCCCAAACTCACGTTCGTGGGCTCGCGTCAAGACCTGCTTATAGAGGATTTCAGCTTCAGTATATCTTCCTTGCTTCAGATAGCATCCAGCTAGATTATTCTTTGTCTTTGCCACATTGGGATCATCGGGACCCAGTTTTGTTTCGTAGATGTCAAGAGCTCGCTGGTAGTACTTCTCAACCTCGTCGTATTTTCCCTGATTCTGGCAGAGCAAGGCGAGATTGTTAAGTTGCTTAGCAACATCGGGATGATCCTTTCCCAGAACCTTCTCTCGGATCTCCAAGGCACGCTTGCAAAGAGGCTCGGCATCTTTGTACTTTCCACGTTTGCCGTAGAGGACGGCCAAGTTGTTCAACGTGGCCGCCACGGCTGGATGGTTCTCGCCAAGAGTCTTGCCTCGAATGGACAGAGCATCGTTCAGTAAATTGGCGGCTTCCTTATACTTATTCTAAATGGCATGAAGTGTTTTTAATTAACGATTGTATAAATTAAGTTAATCAAAGCAAGACGCACCTGATCACGATACACGAGGGCCAAAATATTCAGCATTGTGGCTACATCGGGATGGTCGTGCCCACTTGTCTTTTCGAGATCTTCCAAAGCTTGTTTGCAGAGGGGAACGGCTACTTCGTACCTTGAAATATTTATAATTATAAGAATGATTTTAATTATAAAGATAAATTAGGGAAAGTTAATGTTTAATTAGAATAGAACGCACGGTTGTAAGCGCAGGTTTATTCTATTTCAAAGAAAAAATAATATTTATTTATGAGATTTACCTGCCCTGCGAGGCATACTGAATAACCAAGTTGTGCAGAGTTCGCAGACGTGCTGGAATCTCGTAGCCGGAAGTCTGGTTGGCGAACTGGCTGGGCGGAGTGGGCGACATGTTGTTTCTGTCCTCGTTTTCCTCGTCCGGAAATAGCTCAACAACAGGATCTGTGCGCGATTTTTCGCATGTGTCGTCTTGCTCTTGATTTTCATCGTACTTCTTCACAGAGGCCATGAACTCAAGATGCTTCTTCTCCTCTTCCAGTTGGGCAACCAGCTGCTCAGATGCCTGGAACTTCTGCTGCGTGTTGGCCAGTTCGTCTCGAAGCCAGGCGTTCTCCTGATGAAGGCGGCGCACCTGTGTCTTAAGTTTTTGCTTTTCGGCCTCGATGTTCTGCAGATGAGATGTCAGGGCCATCATTACTTGAGCTTCACTCAGCCCCAGTTCGATGTTCTCGATGTTCTTCCGCAGCATATCTGACTTCTCGTTGTCCTTCTGGACCTCTGCTATTCCGTTCATAATCGAAACATGCTCCACTCGCAAGGCTTCGAGGCCTTGGAGGACTGTTTTCGTATTGGTTATTATTTCGTCCTGCGACATTTGCGTCATTTTGCCGATTTTCTCGATTTTCTGTCTGCAAAACGTATACAAAATACTGATTAGAATTAACGAACCTTGGAAATATTAAAGACTTATAAGATGAATGATCTCCAAATTGAAATAAGTTAGTATAGGTATATAATGTGTTTTACATCCTGTATGATTTTATAGCTTTGGAGACAATCATTTTAACCGTGTATAAAATGATTCAAGCTGCGTTAATCAATACAATGAAAAAGAAAACTGGCAGTGCGCATGTACGTTAAAAAAGAGGGGTGGAAATCGAAAATTCCCGGTTTATTATACTCGTATTACCGATAAATATAAGATCTAAAGAAATTATTAATAAACTGATTTAAAATACAAAATTGTAGTTAGTGTACAATTTAAATTAAAACAATTATGCAAGCCAATAAGAATTTTTCTTTAAAAAATCCAGTTGGATTTAAAAAAGTTTGGAATTGCAACACAAGGGTGGAAATGCATTCGATTTATATCGAATATGTCCTTGTAAGACTCTTTTTTTATTATTTATCAATAGAGCCGGTACAATTTACATAAACATGTCACTTCGTTAAAAAGCATAAATGGCTACTAAAACCGTTTATTATACCTATAATTATGGGCGAAAGTTAATTACACTTGGCGTCATGCAATAAACAAAAAAACGAGTAGCGAAAAATATTTATTTGCTTACATCAACAGTAAGAAATTAGATATTTCTATAGATCGAAGCTACTAATACCCTAGCAGACTTGTTCAATATATTATCGCATAAATAGTGTAGTTGTACTAGACATTGTTATTATATTAGTTTTTCCATTATCTTTGTCTTTAGTCATACGCCTTTCCAATTGGAAATCTAGATTGCGTAAAAAGAGATGGTGGGTCGAATATGACGAGATTATTATATTCTTTATCAAGATCAAGAAAGTTAATCTGTTAGTTAGTCGAAAAAACATCAAGCAGAGTGTAATATTATTTTGTATACGGTTACAACACTCTCGGCTAGCTCACTTATTCCAGTGTATTAAAAAAGTGAGTCATTTTATGTACATTTATCCATTAACACATAAACATAAAGTTTCAGTGCATTAGACATTCGAATCCATATTCGTCATGAATATGGGATAAGTGTAGGCGTTAGACTTGGTTTATTTTTGCCACAAGCGATGCAGGTGAAGCACATAATTAGGGGAAACTTAATTATTTATGTAAAATGGATCATATTTTCCAGCACAAACTTTTCTTCAAGTGGCAGCCGTGGTTATATTTACTTGCAACATACACACATACCCATAAGTACATATGTTTATGTGTGTGTGAATAGAATTTTAGTTTCAAAATTCAATTGCAATTACTTTTGTAAATAATCTTGCAGTGTTTTTTATTATGATAACTTATTACCAGTTCTATTGCTTTCCTAACTTCTTTAATAATCGCTATTAAACAAAGTTTTCTGTTAAAATAACTTACACTGCAACACTTCTAAAATAAAACCGAGTGTGGCCGCAGCTGGGGCGTTAAGATGTCTTTAACACAATTTGGTATTTTGCAATAATGTATCAGCGGTCACAGTAACAAAAAATGAATAGAGTGGAATTGAAACACTAACTAAATATGTAACTACGATTTGATCAACAGTATTTCTTATCAGTGATCAGTGAAGTTAAGTTAAGAATTTGGCGGATCTTAAAAACATAAGCGAGACCAATAATATAAAAGCCATATATAAGTGACAACGTCTTAAATAAAAAGTTTACACATAATCATGATCTCCAAGAAACATTTAGGCATTACTAAAATGTTCGAAAGATACAAACAAAAATACTTTGGAAAAGCAGGTATTAAATTAGGGAAAATAAGTTTTTTATAAAAAATATATACATACATATATTTTAATTTCATTTTATTAACTTTAACGTATTTGAAAAAAAAATCGTTATTTACTGAACAAAATTATATTTGCAAGCGGGCATATTTTTGCATTCAAGATACGGTTACACTATTCTTTTTGTATTAAATTGTAATTTTGTAAGACTTTTACAAGTCTCCGTTTTTGTTCTATATTTTAATTTTTACCGTATAAAACTGAACAAAAGAGTATGCCACCCCCAAGACCGAAGGGGATAGGATTTAATACAGGAGCTACCCAACCCAGATCGAACTCAAATACGCCCATGTCGGAAAGGCAACAAATGGCTTTACTTATCCAAATGACAGCTACCTCCTCGACAGGTAAATATACAAAAAAAAAAGTGAAATAACATTACTTAAAATATGTGTTAAGGTGCTTTCATAAGTTAGTTAGTTTACAAAGCTGAGGACGTGTACCTCTGGCCATAAAATTGCAATTCATATCGCGAGAACTTCATACATACATATAAACATGGTACTACACCATCTACATATGTACACAAATGTATCTGATCTGTATATCTACGCAGGTGAAAAAGGAATTAAGTGAAGTAGCCGAAAGACTGGTTTCGAGTTTTTATATTCAAGTAATAGCACACTTATTAATATAAAAATATTTTAAATATTTTAATATACTGTAAATATAAATATTGAGCCATTAATAATTCCCTTTTACTATATAATATTTTCAAAAACTATATTACACAGCCATCAAATGTATTGTATAAGATTCTCGTTCTTGCAGATTCATCCCGCACCAATTTAAAGAAGAATGAATGCAAAAAAGGAGACACAGAGAATGATGAGAGCAGTCTGAACGAAAAGCAAGAAGTCCTTGACACTAAAGACAAATCTTCAGCGGAGGAAAGCAGTAACGATGGTAAAAACAGTGATTCGAATCATCAAGGAACTTCGGCAGCCAAGCGTTGTTACTCAGACATAGAGGAGGATTACGAGGAATCTGGGGAGGACGTAAAGAAAAAGAAGCGCAAGGATTCAGAGCATGGAAAGGATTTGAAGGGAGCCTCTTTAAAACTTTCCTCCAGGGTCGAGAAAGGCTCCAAGTTAGCGGCAGCGAAGGGATCCCCATCTGGAAATAAAGGCAGTGCAGCAAACGCCGAAAAGGAGCAGGCAGAGACTACAAAGAATGTGGATATTGAGAATGAAACTGAGTGCAGTGATGATTACAAGAGTAATGACAGCCTGTACAACGGAGGACTTAAGGTGCCGCCACTGAAGATTGTGATACCGCAACAGAACTGTTCAATTGACACCGAGGGCAATGTGCTGAGAACCGGCAAGGTAACTGCCTCCCGAAATGCGGCCCTGCCCTATGTGGTTAGCTCTAACAGCGATTCCATCGACACCGTCATAACCAATCAATCTATTAGCCCGCACGAGAGTCCCCAGAAGAGCAATAGTATTTGTTCAACAGTCCTGGACGACAAGAACATAAAGCTCTTTAATGATGAGAAGAATTTAAGGGTCCTGCGTAGCTCACATCGCACTGGAGTAACTAGTGTTGAACGCAGTTCCAACAACTCATCCCCGCAAATGCAGAGCAGCTCGCCTTCGCCAGCGTCATCCAATCATGCCAACGACCCTGCGGATGTAAAGCTATCCTATGGCAACATGACTTCTAGTCCAATTCCGCAAGGCCACCAGTTTGACCAAGAGACAATCACCAATGTTCCGAGCCCCTCAACATCGTCAACTTCCTCATCCAAGGAAATAAATCCTTCGAACGTCGAGCTTCATCCCCGGAAGCGAAAAATACGGCCGAAGAACACCGACGACAGTTCGAAAAATTCAAATGCGGCCGATTCTGGTGTGAATTCCGAAGAGTCACACCCTCATGATCATCCATTCACCAATGGTTTCCAGATGTTCTTGAGCATCCGACGTCAGATCGAGAAGAAGTGGAAGAGCTTGTATCCTGTGAAGCCGAGACCTCCGCAGGGATACAACGATTATCTACTGACGAAGAAATCCTACTTATTAAGTCGCAATGTTGAAACTTCAATTCCCGATATACCTCGTACTGTGCCGCAGGCCATGGAGCGAATTTATCAGGATCAGGAAAAGGCCAGGCGAGACTTGATCCAAGCCCATACCGTGGAACGGGAAAAACTCTGTATGAACGTTGAGCAGGAGATAATTCGGGTCCATTCTAAAGCAGCTAGGAGTATATCTGGCCAACCAGCTCCTTATTCCGTTTGTACATACTTAAAAGACGACGAAGTCTATAACCTGATCACACCTGAGCAGGATGAGAAGGAAAAGAGTGCTCGCTGTCGATTTAATGGACGATTGCTACTCAGCTGGTTGCAAGACGTCGACGATAAGTGGGAAAAAATCAAGGTACGTTCACCTGAAAATATATGTTCCTAAAGATTATTTTATGTTTTATTTTTTTCTAGGAATCTATGGTGCTGCGACATCATAACGAGGCCGAAAGTCTGCATGCTGTTCAGGTCATGGATTGGAATATATTTGCAAAACGAAATAGGTTATGCGACAACCCGATTGAAGTTAATTTGGAACATGTTCCGATCGTTTCAGTTGGAGAAGATTTTGACACATTGCCAACATAACTGACAAATGGAAATGAATAAATTGTTACAAAATTAAAAGCATAAGAATGTGTTTTATAAATTAGTGTCCTTTTTAAAAACATTTTGTATTTAGCCTACAATTTACGTGAAATTTGGATTTATTTTATCACTTAACGTGAGTTAAGTTGTCCACAATGTTTCTTGCATATTTAACCATGTCCTGTAAATAAAGTAGGTATACAATTTGATAAACAGCAACAGATTTAGTAAAAACTTACTTCACAGTTTTCCGCCTGTTTGTGCTTGGTTATTATTTGTTGGAGAACCGACAAGATTTGCTCGCGTTTTTCTGTTGAAAGTTTTAAATCTGATTCTACAGATAAAGATGATAGTGCGAAGAGAGTAGTTTCTTGTCTGATATCGAAGTCGTCAACAGGTTTTAAATTTGATACGAGAACAGGAAATATGTCTTCCTTTATAAAGTCATCTATAAGAAAATGGAGGTATTATTAACACGTACGGTATTATAAAAGTGAATTCAAATACCTCTTATAGACTTGTCGCCAGAGGTTAAAGATGCTATTAGAAACGCAGTCTTGACGTAGACATTTAAATCTGTAGATTTCAGACAGGGTATCAAGGCCCTTATGCCATTTACACGCTTGAACTCATTGTAACCAGGCTCAAAGTTTCGTATCAGCGATGATATCGCGTATAAAGAACACCGAACAATATTTTGGTTGGTATTCGTTAAATTCTTTGCAAGTACAGGCAAAAACTGATCGTTTATGAGTACGTTTTGACAAAACTCGTTATTTTGGGCCACCTCTGCTACAGTATTAAGCGCTGAAGATCTTATTTCGGAATCTGAATGCGTTATATAGCGAAGTAAAGTTTTCGTTCCTCCTAGCTTCACCAGAGTAATGGCATTGTCGATGTCATCGATGTGGCTCCTAATGACATCCAGACTTTCCATTTGGTCGTCTGTGCTGGCTTCATCAGTATTTAATATGAGCAAGGCTGCTTTCAGAGCCGCTGCAGCATCTACTGTCATTGCATTTAGTGCATTTGCCAAAAATTGTGTCCGCTGAAAAAAAATTATAAATTATGAAAAAGAATTCTAGTTTAAGTTACAAGTCGAAAATGTATTTAGCAGAATAAAATAGAGTCAACGGTTAAAAAATGAAATTTCTGAAATTTTTGGAATGATTATTATTTTTATTCCAAAAGGTAAACCCAATCCGAGCAAGCACATGGCCACAACATTTCTAGACTATTCTTTTGACTCACTGCTGATGAAGCGGTGACCGATTTTTAAAAAGTGTATTAAAGTTCTGGATATTTTGGAATCACACTGCACCATATTTTAATTTTTATACAATCTTTAAAAACTTATAAATCGAAATGTTTACATACCTCAGCATCTGGTTCTTCGGCCAACTGGGGTGTAGCATTTGGGTCGTGGTGCTGCATCGTATATTTCAGCACATTCTAAAGAAAGCAGAAATGAATGAAGTTTTTAATATTATAGAGTCTTTAATTTACTTACTTGCAAGCTCGGAGCTCCCCTTGGTACGTTTGAATCAGTCATTATTCAAAATAAACACTCTGCCTCGGGATCACAAATTAAGTTTTTGTTTTTGACAATTTAGTGATGGTATTTTAAGTTTATCGCACTAAAACGATAAGATTTTGATCAATCAGAAAGTAAGACATTCATTTTTCTGTAATTAAATTACACAAGCAACAAGAGATTCAAATTTATATTTCAATATTTACATATGTTTTAATAAACAATGTTTAATTATTTTTAAACATTTAAACCACCTGTTCATGACCTATCCATTTCTCCAACCTGTTTCAAGTCCACGTTTCTTTTGTGACTCGGCAATATTTACGTGGTGTAGATAGGTCCCAAACATATGTTTATAGTTGTGATTTGGGGAACGATATTAAAAACAAATATTAAATAGGATTAGCGTCTGTGGTAAATAAACAATAATGTTACGGGACCTCATAACGTGGGTGTTGAATACATATCTTGGAAAGTATCTAGAGAACTTGAATTCCGCCCAATTGTCAGTGGCACTGTTATCGGGTAATGTGATATAATTGTTTATCTTTACTCCGCACCGAAAGTAAATATCTTTTTCTGCAGGCGAGGTTGAGCTTGAGAATATACCCATTCGCAAAGATGCTCTCCGTTCGTTCAATTTACCGGTCGAAGTCACCGCTGGCAGCATACGCAAAATCAAACTGCAGATTCCTGTCCGTCAGTTTAGGACTTCACCATGGTGTATTTCCATCGAGGGACTTTTCTGCATCATTTGTCCAAAGAATCTGGACAATTGGGACTACGAGAAGGAAAAGATGCAGGATCTGGAGTACAAGCTAGCCGTTTTGGATGCAGCAGAGGCGGGATGGCGGTCCGAAAAGGGCAAGCAAATGGAGACCTACTACTTTTCATCATACAATAATTGGCTTAAGTATGGCACTAACATGGCCACAAACATAATTGACAACATCGAACTTAAAATATCCGATGTTCACTTTCGATTCGAGGACATTGTGGACACTGGCAAGAGCAAGATATGCACGGGCATCAAGATTGGTTCTCTTACCGCTCAGAGCTGCGACTGTGATTGGACAAATGGGTCCTACAAAATGACCAATAACGAAATGAACTATAAACTGGTGGAGCTCAAAGAGCTGTCGGTGTACTGGGATCTGCTACACGATGACATAAAATGTCAGTCGTACTCCAACCAGGAGATTCTCGAAAAAATGCACTCAACCTGCGAGTTGAGGCCCCATAACTTCATCATCAAGCCCATTTGCGCAACAGCGAGGTGGAAGCGTGACAAGTGTCAACAGGTGATACGTACCAAAGACAAACCCAGAGTTTCTTGCGAACTCCTGGTTCCCGAGGTGGTCATAGACATATCCAAGGTGAGTTAAAGTCACGTTTAGTTAGTAAAGAGAAGTTGTATAACCTAAGTTCAAAGTTCAAAACAAAAATCAGCTTATTTTAAGTATTACTAAAATGATTTAGCAAGTGAAAGAACTTGCACCTTGACCGGGAAATAATTTTGTTTACCAGATAATAAAACTTTATTGGGTAGCTCCTATCAAACTTAGCCTTAAAAATATAAATGAACAAGCATACATACCCTAAATAGATAATCATTTTGATAAATTTTCCACCTCTTTCTATATATTATCGTTTTTCCCTTGGTAACTAATTTATATAATAAATTATTTTAAATTCTTCAGGTCCAGCGGCTCCAAATGTTAGATCAGCTCTCAGAAATCCGTCAAGTTAAAGAAGTTCGACAGTATAGATTAAAGCGACCAAATTGCAGCGTGGAAAGTAATCCAAGATTATGGTGGAAATACGCTACCGTTTGTCATGGTTTTGACTTTAGGAAAAATGAGGAAAATTGGTCTATTCTCAAGGAAAATCTTCGATATATGTTACTCTACAAGGCGATTATTTTAAATCCAAATGAAAATCTATCCAACGCAGATAAAGAGTTTAAAGCTTACATCGAGAGCGATAGAAAGATCTCGGACTTAACAATAATGAGAAGAATATCCTTTGAAAATGTGTTTACGAAAGGTTTCTCATTCGAATCGCAGAACGAGCAAGGGAAGAATATGCTATTCCATTGGTTTCCCAACTGGATGGGCTGGTATGCAAACAGTCCCAGTACTCCAAATAATGAACAGGATGAATCATTGAAACATTTGGAAGATGATATTCTGGTTGCGTTGGAGAACTCACTTCAGAACTCTTCGGATTTAAAGAGCGATGCTGTATTCGGGTATTTTTCAATCAAGTTACTCAAAGGATTGGTAATTCTTCAGACCGATGATTTACTAAGTGATGGGCAGAGAAAATCTATGGAAATGCAATTAAATAACTTTTCTGCCTACCTCCAGTTGAGCCCACAGTTAACTTCTTATACTGTGGGCATATCATTGCAAGAAGTTTATTTAATTGATAAAACCAGTTGTGAAACGATGCACAATTATCTAATTAAGCCACAAACAGGGAATACAGCTACACCAAACCAAGTAGTGAAAAGCGCACTGCAAGAGGACACTCTATTTCAGTTACAATACGAAAATTGTAACCACTTACGATTTCAGCTTAATATAAAATCAAAAGGTTTAGATCTTATCTATAATGAAGATGCAATTCAGTGGCTTCTGGATTTCTTGGCTGATTCAAATCCGAATAGATTTTCACCGCGCGACAGAGTCGAGAAGAAAACAGATTTTATGAAAAACTGGAATCAAATGTTTAGTGGTAATGAGGTAAGAAAATCATCAAAAGTTTGCTTTAAGATACTTACCCATTTCTGTTACAGGTTAATCGAAAGATTTGGATGTTCGAAATCGAAATTTTCGCGCCACGTATTATTTTCTTGGAAAATTACAAAGTTAGCAATTCGCTGATGGTCTTGCTGGATTTCGGGAAACTGGAAATGAGGAAAATGGAGGTTAAAAGAGTTATACCTGTGATAGAATCGGCTGTAACGGAGAATACGAGTGATGACGATGAAACCTATTTGACTCCATGTTCGACGCCCCCAGCTTCAGAGAAAAGTGGTTCTGATTCTCCGACACTTCTTGAAAATTCCAAAATGGAAAGCTTTTTAAACAAAAATGTCCAATTGGAGTACGTTCTACATAATAAGATCTACGATAAATATCTGATAAACTTTACAAACCTTCAAGTTTTGGTTTGCAAATACGAAGAAAGGTGGCAAGCTTGCTTAAAAACATCCTCGAATTTTCATCTTATTGATAAATTTAATATAAACCTTACTCTTGAGCAGAGGAATATATTCACTGTTGATCCGGAATATCCTTCGTTTATGCTTTTTGGAACCTGTCCGACCATATTAATCCACGGGAATGAAGAACTTATAAATAATTGCTGTAACATTATGAAACCCATTATAAAAGCTTCGAAGGAAATGGAAAATATTTACAGAGGAGGCAATACGATCTACGCAAGTGAGAGAATTAAAAATCTGGCAGAGGATGACAGAAGTCGAGTTGTGATTGAGTTTGTAATGGATCAACTGGTGATAGAAATGCAATCGACAGAAAGAAGTATAGCTGAGCTTCAAATTATCGGGGCACGAGCTGGTCTAACAAAAGAATCAAATGAGATGAATATTTCCATGTCGGTACATGGATTGCTCTTAGTGGATGCCATTCAATCTTTTGGTCCAGATTTTGAGTTATTGGTGGCCAGTCATCGGCATGTGGGGTATGTATATTATTAATATCTGAAGAAAATGCTTGTTAGAAGCCTTTTAATTTTGTTTGCTCAGCTTGATCAAAGTAAATTTCTTAAGAGAACCTGATTCCGATTGAGTATTTTTATCTGTATGCATGATTGTGTCTATGCATTGTAAATTTTGGTACTAAATTTATAATAATCAAAACAACTTTCAAAAATATTTATGCATTTTATAGAATGGATAGTTTATCTGGTAGCCTTAAACATAGTGCAATTGTTTCGCCAACTTCGCCTGGATCGCCAAATTTTTTTGATAGGGCTACTAGTCCGCACATGATTACAAAAGCAGTTCAAAATATTAAGATGGGTATGTATAATATAAGAAACGGATCTCAGTTTTTTACTAAAAATGCGAGCTAAATGCATATTAACAATAATTTATTAATATTCTAAGTCAACTTAAAACTCGTTCTTACTGCATTATTTTTTAATATTTTCTTTAGGAGATAGATCGACAGAATTCTGCGAGGATGAGGACTCAACGGCTCTTATCACGGTTGACATCAAAATTGTTCCACCCAATGAAAATAACTCAATGCAACATCACACTACCAACATCACGTTTAACAGTTTGGACATAATTGGTAATTATAATTTATGGCTATATTAATCAGATTTTATTTAATATATTCATTATTTCTTTATGCAGCTAATCAGGATACTATTCTTGAAATTCTTAACTTCGCAAAAAGAACCCTTTTGGCCCAAAATATATTTTCAAGTGAAAGCCCTGACCCACCAATAGAATCCACCGAAGTACCACTAGAATCGGATGATCAAGTTGATCATAAAAATCATAACGAAATATTCTTTGATTTTTTCCGTTTGAATATTCTCCTCTTATATACCATCAAGAGAGATAAATTCAATGTTGGCCGAAAAGTTGGAACTGTTACTTTGACGGAAGCCAAAATCAATGCATCTTTTCAATCGGATCTGTCGATTTTCGGTTCACTTGGCGGCATACAAGTTATTGACATCACTTCAGAGGCATTCTGTCATCCGAGAATTCTTTCTGTTGGTCGAGACCAAATCTTAAGAGCTTCCGATACAAATAAACAAACCGTTCTAAGTCAACTTTCCAATGAAATATACTCAAATAATTACAATGAAGAAAAAAGCGACGAAAGTGATGCCATTAGCTTTCAAAGTCATTGGAGTGACAAGACTACATGCACTTTCCAAATGCGAATGGCTTCGGCTTCTTACACTCATTGCCCTAGGTTTTTAAGGGATGTAAATGCTTGCATTACGTACTTTAAGAGGAGTTTAAGGTAAGTTAGAAAAGCTTGCAATATATTTAAATATAATTTTAATTATATAATTGCAGAGAATTTGCCACTTCCATTGGTAATAAAGCTACAGATATGGCCAAGGAGTTTGTGCAACAGGTTAGGGCAGTTGAGCAAATTGGACCAGTTTACTCACAGCCAAATCGTCAGGATAATTGGTAAAGTAAATCATAACTTTAAAACTAAGAATTATAGACCTAAAATGTTTTATATTTTCAGGCTTGATATTATAATTAGTAGTCCAATCATCATTCTGCCTATTTCCAACATGAGTACAAATGTATTGATTGCTAATTTGGGCAAAATAAGCTGCTCAAATGCAGTTAAATGCGATTCGGATGATTTCGATGAATCCTATACAATTGAGATTAAGAACACATACGTATACTCCTTGAACATTGATGAACATGATTATAGTTTTAATGTTCATCCTGCGAAAAATAAGGATGCAATTCCCATATTGCATGACACAGCGATCACTTTACATCTGTATGCCGGTTATAGTGAGGATAATGGCCAAGAAAGACAACTAAGTAGTTTCTCAGTAAGTATTTGTATTTAATATAAAACCGTTTTTAAATAATTATCACAAATTCGCAGATTAAGGGAAGTATGGTTGAAGCCCTGAAAGTGTCCCTAAACCGTAAACAATATGAGTTACTTTTGGAGAGCATTCGTTATGCCACCAATTTCTCAAATGGCGCTTTAAATGATTTTGTAGACCTTGATCAAAACGGGGAGAGTGAACCAACTTCAAGTATTGAGGATGAACCCATTATTAGCACGATTATTCAGTTCTCAGTGCCTGTATTTCAAATAAACCTTCAGAATGAATACCACAATGATTTGATAAATCTAACATTTAAAGACTTCAATGTTAAGCATATTGCTAAAGGATACGACAAGGATATGGAAGTGGTGTTAAAGTCTGTCTTAATGGAGGATTTGAAATCGGATCTGACATCACCGTTTAGAAATATGGTGACTTCAATAGATCTTGAGAAAAATATTAAGAAAAATGAAATGACATCGTCCTCATGTCCCGATTTGCCAAGCTATTGTAATTCATTGAAAAACAGATCTAACTCAGTTCCGTCTTGCTTCTACAATCACATGCAGGTGAAGGTGTTTGGCGGAGATAAGAAGTTTACATCTAGCAACAAAAATGAATTGGGCAGAAAAAAGGAAAGTCAAACTTTGGTAATTTACAAATCACATACAGGACGATTGGCTCAAAACAGTAAACTTGAAAAATCCAGTTCAATTCAATTTAATTGCTTGAACTTGGCCATTTGCGTGGAACGCTGGTATACCATTTTCGACTTTTTTGGCCTTGTTTCTGTTGATAACTCCAATGAAAAGTATACCGAGGAGAAGAAACTTGTTGAGAAACGTAATTTATTATCGATAACTCACCTTATTTATTACTAATACTTTATATTACAGATGTCGATGAGCTTTGCAGCAAACTAAAGGTCTCTATAAGGAGCTTTAACTTTACCTTGATTCGAAATGAGTCGCTTTTATCCAGGGTGAATGTGTCGAATGCCGTTTTTATGATTCTTCAAGATCCATTTTCCAAAATTGTTGAAGGCTGCTTAGGATCTGTGTCCGTTTATGATCTGACAAAATATGGAAACATTTATAAGCAAAAGTTTTTAACAAGTGGAACAGAAGCTTTGAACTTTGTTTATAAGAAGTAAGTTTGAATCAAAATCAGTTTTAGTGTCCATTCTTAAATTTATTTGATTAGAAAACTCGTTGATTTGGAAGCTTTGAAAACCTTGGATACCGACTCAACCCTGCGTATTAACATGTCTGCAGTGCATTATATACACACCAAACGTTTTTCCACCGAACTACATGTTTTTGTTAAAGATCTTTTACAATTGCAAACGGTAATATTTAAAATATCTTTCAGATTTGTTTATTCATTACCATTTTATATTTTTTAGCCTGTTATAAGAAAATTAAAGAAGCAAAGTCATGGAAATGAAGAGAATATGCGTCCATCGAAAATGAAGCTCGTAATTCAAGCCGATTCACCAGTAATCGTACTTCCGGCATCCTATAGCAGAAACGAAGTGATTATCGCCTACCTTGGGCAGTTTACTTTGAAAAATAGTTTCCATTTTGCCAGCGACGATAATATAATAAGCAAAATGAGTTCAACGCCAAGTAAAAACGAAATCCTGGATGTAATGAGAATCGATTTGGTCAATATAAACCTGTTTTCCGGGGAAAGGACCTCATCGAAAGGAAAAGTTGAACAGGAAAAGGATCGTATTATAATCGCTGATATGAACTTCCTGAGATTAGGTCAGCCATTCTTTAATGAGTCGTGCTTCCTTCACCTGCAATTGGAGCGGAATCTTTCCGCAGATATTCATCGCGTCTGTCCTGACATCAGTGTTCAGGGAACATTCTCCAAACTGAATGGCATGATCAATATTCAGCAATACAAATTAATACGAAGTTTTTTGAACAACAATATTGGAGAGCAAACCGATGACATCTACATGAATTACCATAATAACAGTTGTACATCCATTGAAAGACTTTCAACAATTAACCTTTTACCCAAAAATGAAGTGTCTAAAACTGTTACAATACTAATTTCGATAAGAATCTTACTGGAAGATGTCTCACTACTCTTGGCTTTAAATACCTCGCAAAGTGCAGTCATAGAACCTTTGGCGTGTATCCACTTTTTGAAGTCTACTTTGGAAATCGATTTATTCAGCGATGGTTCACAAGATATAGATTTGATATCGAGTAATATTCTTATTGTTGATGAACGAAACGAACCCGATAAGAGCAATGAAAACATGTTTAAAAACATATTGGAACCATCGAAGAAGGAGGTTCGTGTTGAGAACTCCGTGCAAGTCGAAGTCCATTGCAGAAAGAAAGCCAATTTCTGCAAGTACACAATAATGCTCAATAACATGAGAGTTTTTGCTCTGCTCAGTTTTCTGGACCAATTAAAATCATATTTGCAAGAAGACTCACCGGCACCCGTTGTAAATAGTGTAACAAACCAAGTCCCACAGAAACCGCAAATGGATAACAACATTTCCACGGAGTACGTTGTGAATATTACAGATTCTGAAATCATATTCGCAGAGGAATGCAGTCGGCTGGACTCGAATGCAATCATTTTGAAAAGTACAACTGTTATATGCTATAAACCAAATAGTAATATTGTACCCCTATCGTTGGACATCAATCATTTGGAGATATTTTCCTGCACCCTAGACGCCGAAGATGAAAGCGCTTTATCAATCATCGATCCCTTTACATTGATCATTGAATTGCGGAGTAATTGCTTACACATTCTCATTCAGAAACATTTGAATATTCGGTTGTCCTATGTGGATGTCAAATTATTTTCGAGAATGGCACGACTTTTGCCCACCCAAACATCACGACCAAAGAATGTTATATCAAAGGCTGATTCGGATATAGAGAAGGTTGCTCCACTCGTGGCAATGGGTTTTGAGCTTTCCGATTGTCTATATGCCATGCAAGTCAACAATTGGAGAATCAACGATGCTGCACTTTGGCTGTCCCAGCAAAAACAGAATACGTACCGAAATCCCGCCTTGGAAATGAAAACCGCTGTAGTGGACGCCAGTCTTATATCGGTGTTCATCATTGACGATTGTATGGATGCAGATGTGCCACTGCTCGAGGTTTCCCTCTCGAAGTTTCTGTTGAACTTTACTTTCAAGACCAAGGATCCCAATCCCAAGGAGACCAACATTCGGCACTATAGCTTGGGCAATATTGACACTGAGGCTGCTGTGAACTATTATAATCGTCGTCTTAGTGGATGGGAACCAGTGGCGGAGACGTGGGAGTCCAACTTGAAATGGAAATACACCAAAGGTCATTTGGATAATAAAAAACGTTTTGAGATTGGAATTTCCAGCAAGCAGATGCTAAAGCTAAATGTCACCTCCACATTCATAGAACTTTTCAATATGGTTCTAAAGAACTGGACAAACGACTTTAACGACAATGCCAAGAACTTTAGGCAACGCTCTCCGTTTATTCCATTTGCCCTTCAAAATCTCAGCGGAACACCACTTCTTTTTAAGCCCATCTACGCTCCTCTGGGAGATTTAACATGCTCCGATTTACAGCAGTTTGAGTTGATAAAGAACTGGTACTCTGTGCAGCCCAACGAAACCAAAACCTTTGATTTTAGTCAGAAAAGTAAACTAAGACACGTACATTCTCACCAATTAAATTTACATCAGATTTTTGTACAAATTCATGGTTGGACATTGATTGGTCCCATATCGGTAGACAAAGTTGGAATGTTTTTCCGAACTACAAAGTTGGATTCGCAGTTCTTAACAAAGAGCCGGATAGTCTTCGATATCTCATTGATTGGATCTGCCCAGAAGCTGATTAAAGTGAAGTCTTCCTTGGGGGTGATAAACAAACTGGACCGCAATGTATTCCTGAAAATGTCCCTGAAGAGTACTCATAGTGATGGACTTAGTTCAATAAGTGTTATAAAACCCAATGACGAGCTAACTTTGCCACTGAAGTTCATTGATGCATCGTTGCATGTAGCACATAATACGAGTGAAAGCGAGGCTTATGAGGAAACTGGCTTTAGCAACGAGGAAATTCTGTGGAAAGCCTGTGGCAAAGAGGACACTCGACAACTTCTTGCTGGCTATGATAATACTAAGAGTGTAGTGTACACTTTGGTCAACATCAGCAGAGAAATTTATCATTTTAAGGAACAGAATTTACCTGGGCATAAGATCACTCTGTTGCCGCCCTTAAAGATAAATAATATGCTCTGCTGTGACCTGATGTTTAAGATCCACGAGCACGCCTTTGGAAGGATAAACTCATCGGAAAGTATAAATATCTACAACGTTAACATATGTCAACCTCTAAACTTAAGCATCACATTGGATAACTTTCAACTTTCTGGACAACTTAAGATTCCAGTGAGTCATAAGGGTGTCATCGAGCCGAAACTAAAATTATTTGATATTAAAAAGAGGGAGTTGCACCTGCGCGTATCCATACAATCGGTTCAAGGCAAGGGCATGGAACTTTATATCAGTGCCCCGGTTTGGATAATCAATAAAACGGGACTTCCCCTGATTTATAAACAAGAAGGAACCAATCACACAGCTGCAGGACAGTTTGAGGAGCATGAAACTGCGCGACAAGTAGCACCTCTGATGTTCTCCTTTTCGGATCAGGAAGGTTCACCGGCTCTGGTTCTGCGATTGGGAAATGCTTTTGGCTCCAACAACATCGTATGTTTACTTATATATTTTATTTTATAAATCTTAATTTTCTATTTTATATCCTTTTAGTGGTGCAAAAGTTTTAGCACTCATAAGGACTTGGCTCACAGGGAACTGCGAGCAGAAAACACGAGAGGAAGCTATGCGATTGGTATTAGCGTTAGAAGGGGTAGGGGATTATATGCCTGCACCACCTTCGTAACTCTGTCACCCAGATTCCATTTACACAATCGAAGTGGCTATAAGCTGGAGTTTATGCAACTTTGCGATATAGTTAACTATGTAAGTTATACTTCTTATGAATCTAAATCAATCATAACTTACAAAATTCTTTAACAGGACCGTCCCGATCCGCGTAAAATTATTGCAGCACCTATTGATTGCAACTTCGCTTTCCATTGGCCCAATTGGGATCAGGAGCAAGTCATTTGCGTTAGGATACCTGAGATAGAGTGTTGCTGTTGGTCAAAGGGAATTCCCATCAATGATGTCCAGAGTTTGTATATCAATGTGCGAAATGAATGGGGCGAAATGTTTTTCCTTCGATTGGAAATCATATCAAAAGATGCAACTTATATACTTTTGTTTACGGACGCTCGAACTCTGCCACCACCGATACGAATTGATAATTGTTCAGAAGTTGTCGTCAATTTCTCACAGCTGCGATCCAAGCCAGTTTGGATAACGCCAGTTAGACCACAATCTTCTCTCTCTTACGTCTTGGATGATCCGATGGGTGCGCAAACTTTGCTGATGGAAGCACCTGGAGGAAACATGATAGAGTTTCCCATTAACAACGTTAACAATATAAAGAAAACACTGACTTACACCAACTTCATATACATCGCATTTCATGGCACTTTTGAACGATCCAACGAAGAGGAAAATACCCATAGACATTTGGTTTTGGGCGTACGTGGTAAAAAAGTTGTGATAATGGAGAAGAACTCGGGTGATCGCTCCCAACTGTGGCTTATGAACTCGAATGGTCAATTGGAACATGAAGGATCCACTCCACCGATTCAAACAAACGATGCTAATGCTGTGCGACTTGTACTGGATTTGGAAAAGGCTCCGAATCCAATGGAGTTTACCAGCTTGGTGGTGCGAACACCCAACAAGCAAAGGGCTACAACGCAGACATGGAGATTCGAAAATGGCCGATTGATGTGCCATGCAAATATGTGCGTTCAGGTGAGAAATCTTTCTTGAAACTGTATGGATTTTTTTTTTTAAATTAAACTTTTTTAGTCTCGATTTGGAGAGAATGGATTAAAACCAAACTACGAAGCAGTTTTGGGGCGAACTGAAAATAGATCAAAATCGTGTAATACAATACCGATTGGACAGCATATTGTGGCGCAGAAATTAAGGCCTGGTTCGGGTCAATTGGAGCTTTCAACGAGAATGGATGGACCCATTTCCACGATAGAAATATGTGATATTAAAATTAAACAAAATTCAGTATTCCTAACACCCGATTTATTATGGATGCATGCTTCTCTGAATAATAGGCAAATTACGGACAAGGGAAAAGTATCATTCGTGCATGAGTATCTGGTGAGTAAGACTAATTATCTGAAATATAACAAAAGTTTAATTAATTAACTTACTTGCAGATTAATATAGAGCTCGTTAAAGGAATCGGTATTTCAATCATAACTCGAAAGCCTTGTGAGGAAATCATGTTCATAACCCTCGATCACATTCATTGTGATATAGTGCAAAGTGCTCTGGAGAATTCATTAGATTTGAATATTTTATATATACAAATCGACAATCAATTGTTGGATGCGGCGAGTCCAATCGCGTTGCATACGCAAACTTCGAGCGACCCCGACCAAACGCAAAACGCAGTGGTTCTTAAATTGAAAATGTTACCTTGTCCCAACAAGAACGCAATCATTTTTAAGTACTTAACCCTGGACTTGAAACCCTCAACGGCGATTCTGGAGGAGAAGCTGATACTTAAAGTAGCTTCATTTTTGGGATATGGCAAAATCAATCGACAGAATCTAAGTGTACAATATCAGTTTGAAAACTCTGATGATAAGCCCATTCTGCAGGATATGAAGAGATACTACTTTGAGAATTTAACTATAGGCGCAACTCAGGTATTTTTATAAACTATTAATTTAAAACTTTAATATTTACGGAAGTTTTCATTTAAGGTTCGACTCTCAGCATTCACTTCATCCAAGCTACCAGTGGAACTGCACGAAACGAAAAAGACACTTGGACTTACTTTAATCAAATTCGAAGATGCCTTGATTGAGCTGGACAGGTACTCGGATAAACTACACTTTGAGACCATGGACGTTTATCTGAAGGACATGAAAAAGCACTACATCAACCAAATTAAATGGCATGCAGCTGCTATATTGGGAAGTGTAGATTTCCTTGGAAATCCACTAGGATTCGCCAATGATCTTTCAGAAGGAGTTTCAGGACTGATTTTTGAGGGCTCCGTCAAGAGTCTGGTGAAAAATGTTACGCATGGCATATCGAATTCCACGGCAAAGTTGACGGAAACTCTGTCCGATAGCCTGGGAAAAGTTGTGCTGGACGATCACGACAATGAGACAAGACAACGAATTCTGGAACTGCAGTCCAATACATCCGGAGGTCACCTTGCAGCTGGTCTGAAGGGTCTCGGATTCGGATTGCTGGGAGGAGTCACGAGTATAGTGAGACACACTTACGACGGGGCACAAGCAGATGGAGTTCCTGGCTTCCTTAGTGGATTGGGAAAGGGATTGGTGGGCACTGTAACGAAACCAATCATTGGAGTGCTAGATCTGGCTTCAGAAACAGCCAGTGCAGTTCGAGAAACCAGTCGGGATACTCAGAGAAATGCTCCAGAAAGGAAGAGACTTCCCAGGTGTGTAACTGGTGCTCCTGGTGGTCTCTTGCCTTTGTATTCCAATCGACAAAGCAAAGGACAACAATATCTATACCTAATCAATCATAAAAACTTTTCGGAAAAGATAATATCTTACGATGCGAATCTGTGGAGCGATAAAGAGGCTAGATTGCGCTTGCTAGTTTCTACCGAATATGTACGGATATTTTCATTGACCGACGGCAATCCAACCATTATGTTTGAATGTCATGTTAGTGAGATACTTTCGTGCCATCCAGTAGTAACGAATGTTGGCACAACGCCGTCTACGAGTAGTAGGGCGACAGCAGCGAGCCACTACATCGAGATATCAACAAATCTTCCGAAGATTACCAGGCCGAGGATACGTTGTCGATCAGAGGAATGTGCTGAGGCTGCATCAAGATGCGTAAGTAAAACCTATCGAAAAAATTATAATTTAGCACATATATAATATTTATTTTATTGTTAAGCCTTTAAATTGAGTTCTGCTTTTGGCATTTTAACTCAAAATTAATTTTAGTTTAGCATATAACTTTATTTAGTTTTACAAATTTTGAAATGATTATCACATATATTTCATATTTGTTTCTTTTAGATAAACTACGCTAAAAGTGTCTTTGATGAACGTGAACATGCCGTTTTATAAAATGCAATAAGTCGGTTCGTGATAATAAACATAAACCTTTTGACAACAAGTTTTACATTTTATTTTCTTTGGCAATGAGTGCTATTTTATTTCCCAATTAGTAAGCAAAATAAACATTTAATAATTAATAAACCCATGATCTATAAATGTTAGGTAAATGGGCATTTCGAAAATATATTGGTTTAATAAAAACCAAAGATCTAAAAGTGATCAAAATGGAATTTACGGAAGCATTTTTAGATGAAATGACCGTAGTGTAATTAGTGTAAACATACATATATTATTTGTCATGACGTGCATTAATTTAAAAAAAAACAGAATGTTAGTAACGTTTATAAATATGGTATTTAATAATCTGCATTTTTATAATGCTCTTTCCGAAACGATGAGAGTTTTAGTCGCTGCATTTGAAGAGCCTGTTCGGTTTCGAGTACTTTAACATGGATTTCCATTTCCATGGTTTTGATTTGTGATGGAGTTAGCTTCGCCAGTTCGATTTCACTTTGCTGCTCTAGTTGGGAGTTGCAATCCTTGACGGTGGCCACCAGAGTTCCTGTCGCCTGTGTTACACTGCGCGACGCCTTCGTTAAGTCGGATAACTTTTGACTATTCCGTTCCGCCTTGACTTTGCTCGCTATAACCATTTGGGTTGTGCAGGCAGCAATTTCCTGGGCAGCCACTATGAGCTCAAAGTTTTTACCAGATTCACTTTCAATGGCTTTATTAGCGGCTTCCACAAGATAGTTTGCTGCCTTTGCCACACTTTTTGAAGCGGATATCAAGCCATCAGACCACTGACTATTTCTTCTATAAAACTCATTGGCACTTGCATTACCTGAAATAATAAAAATAAGTCAGAAAACTTCATTGGTTAATCCTCAATATACCTACCTTTTTGGGAGGCAACAATTTCGTGTTGTAGAAGGCGTGATTTTTGGATTAAAGCTTTCACACATTCCATCAAAGTGGTGCATGCATCTACAATTTTCCCATTAACCTCCAAATTGGTTTGATTGTCCTTCTCACGAGCCTTGGCAAGTAAATCTGTTATTTTGGATGCGGCATCATCGATAGCAGCATCCATCTCGCGAAGCTCTATTTCGAGAAGCTTGTCCAAATCTACCTTTTGTTCAAAGCTGGCCTTAATTTTTTCAATCAACTTTCCTATATCTCTCAGTTTTGTTTGTATACCACTTATAATTTGTTGCCTTTCGTTGTCTTTTGTATCATTATTTAATAGATATTGGAACAACTGGCAAACATCTGTACATATCAAAGATGTTTTCGTGAAAATCTCTAAATAAGTAAAAACAAAAATGTTTAGTATATATGCTATGATATACGAGGTGTGTTCAAAAAGTAAGGCGACTCTTCAAATTTCGCGAATTTCAAATTTTTCGATTATCGAAACCTTTTAGAAGTTATACGAGGTGTGTTCAAAAAGTAAGGTGACTTTTCAAATTTCAAATTTTTCAAATTTTTCGATTATTTTCAGTTTTGGGAACAAGAAAAAGTCACATGGGGCCAAATCCGGTGAATATGGTGGCTGAGGCATTATTGTGGTGTTGTTTTTGGCCAAAAAATCCAAATCCTTTGATCCATATTTTTCGATAGCAAAAAATCGCCGAGCTCGCAAAATAACTTGTAACTTTACGCCTCTCACAACCAAACAAAAGAGGATGTTCCATTGAAACTTGGTACAGATGTTAGGGAAGAGTGTACCAATATAACAAAACAAAAAAATCGATAATCGAAAAATTTGAAATTCGCGAAATTTGAAGAGTCACCTTACTTTTTGAACACACCTCGTATGCTTAAATCAACTTACCCTGACCCGTCTCAATTGCTGTAGTAGTTTTGTAGATCACATCACATTGATCGTATAGCTTTATAAATACATAGCCCAAAAACATAACATCCTGCATTCCTTCCGTTGAGGCAACTTTGTTTATAGCGGATGAGTCATTAAACTTATTTAAAATGATTTCCATTTCATTAATTATGTTTGGTACAGAATCCAATGGTTGTTGATCCGAACTGCTTAATTTGGAATTGCAGATTTCTTTTACTGTTTTTATTACCAATTTCCTTAGTTCACTTAATTCGGTACTACAGGTTTGATAAGAACTTGTCACTGACTCGATTTGCTGTGTGGCCTGGGATAGTTTTTCCTCTACAACCAAGAGTTTGCTTTGCAAACCCTCGTTACGTTCAACCATTGATATATTGTCCTGCCTTAGTTGATTTACAATTTCCTGGGATTGCTGTGGAGGAATGTAATAGTTACTAACTTCTTTCGCCTATATTCTATTATATTTACCTGCAATGCAGACTCCTTTTGCTCCAAGTTACTAATAGTTTGCTGCAGCTGAGAATTTTGTACATCGCTGTTGTTTTTATGCTCTACATTCAATTGTTCGATTTTGGTTAAAAGCAATGCCCTTTCAGCTTCATAAGCCTTCAAATTGTTTTCAATTTCTGTAGTCTTTAAAATTATTTGGCTTTCGGCGCTGGAGAGCTTGGCCTTTGTTTCAACAAAATCTTTATCTTTTTGCTCCAAGGTATTTATTGTTTGCTGCAATTGGGCGTTGTGGGCTTCTGTATTGCTTTTACTTTCGACATTTTGTTGTTCGATCTTAGTTAAAAGTAATGCCTTTTCCTCTTCAAACGCTTTTATTATACTTTCGATTTCTATACTCTTGGCATTTATTTGCCTTTCGGCGTTGGAGAGTTTTTCCTTAGTGTCATTGAGAGTCACATTAAGTTCATCGATTTTCAACGAATTAAGCCTTAGGTTTTCAGAGGTGGAATTAATATCTAATTCTTGAATTTCTTTTTGCTTAACAACATCATCAAATTTCTCCTTTATTTCGTTTTTTATCGCTTCAATTTGTAATAACTTCTCCTTTTGCTCATCTATTTGTTTTTGCAGAGTTAAGTTAACCTTTTCTTTTTCCTCGACGCTTCCTTTTATTTTGGAAATTTCGTTGGTTAGTTCCTTTGTTTCTAACAATAGCTGGGAGTTTACTTGCTTCTCTTTATTTAAAGATTTATTGCAATCACTTTGCTGAAAATATTTTATATTTAAATAGGAAAAATGAAAATACAACATTTACTTTTACCTCTCTCAGCAATTGAATGTGCTCATCCCGAATTTTCGTGTAAAGAGTTTTCAGCTTATTGAATTTTTCCGAAGATAGCTTATGCTTTTCTTCTTCCTCCATGGCTTTCTCTGTAACAAAGAAGTATTTTAATTTGTATTTGTATTTCGTAAAGAATCTTTCCTACGTAAAAGAATTGGGTTCTGATTTAGTTGCAGCTCAAGATCATCGTTTTGCATTCGGAAGGTTGCGCACATTTCTCTCGCCAAAACCAGATCATTTGATAAGACAGTATTGTTTTGTTGTAGCTCCTGAATTTCTTGCCGGTAACTTTGTTGTAGTTCATCGTAATTTTTTTGCAAGGCAACTAATTTAAATGAAAGTTTCTCAATGTCAGCCTCTTTTTCGCTTATAATACCCTCCAACATGGTAAGCTGCTGCTGAGCTTGACTAAAGGCCTCAGATTCATGATTGTTCGTATCGACAAGGTCTTCAACAACCGGATCGGGTTCTTGCGGAACATGGACCACTGGCGGTACATAACTGGTGAAATCGTTTTGGGATTTAAAGTTAGGACTTGAGTCCGGCAATTCCGGGACTGTAATTAAGTCCTTAAAATACTGAAGCGGTCGTACATTGTTGTAAAAACTCTTTAATTTTAAAAACAGACCATGAAAACGATCTCTGTGCCCGGAAACAACATCGTAGGGCACACCATCATGTAGTTTAAACATTAATCGAACGCTTAAATCGTAAAGCGCATTTGAATCCTGGATAAGGCAAACTATAGGCGCTAACCTACACTGGCCTTGTGGTGTCATCGAAGACATTCTATATTTTTCCATAGAGGAAAATATTGTCAACTGCAGGGCAATTATATCCTCCAAATAGTCGAAAATTTCAACGCACAATTGAAAACTGGAAACATAAGTTAGATATTAAAATTATTAGCATTGATTTTTCTAATTCGCTTACCAATAATTCAAATCCCGATCAACTGCGATAAAAAGTTCAGTGAACGAAATGTTCAGGGTTCCAGGAAACATTCGATTCTTGTCATGGAAATTCAATTTTGTGGCCAAGAGCTTGCTATACGCCTGTATACAGCATCCAATGTCATCTTGCAGTAGCCCCCACATTTTTCCGACTTCCAGAATCATTTTCTTATGACTCTGCGAATGCCTTATAGAACTTTCATGGGCTTCTCGTAAGACCTTGTGCAGGAGATGTGAAAATTTCCAGGCGGTAAATCTGTTCTGCATCAACGGCTGTCGGGAGATTATCGTCCAGAATGTTTTGGCCTCCTTGGCCTTGTGGATCATAATAATAATGGAGCGGGCATGTTTGGTTTTAAGTGGCGCTTCCAGGCCATTTAAAGCTTTAGATATGCTGACGTTCTGAAATTAAATGTTGAGATAAAGTTAATCATTCATTCATTTGGTAAGTTGTATTTCATATTTTATTTGTTATCAGCATTCATTGTTATTTATTTACGTTCAAGTCATTTTAATAGCAAATATGCTCCGATTTTCATTCCCTATGCAAAATTACAGACTCAGAAGATATGGACGGTCTTGGCGGGCGATAATAACTAAACAATTTTTAGTGGAATTCGGTCGAAATTGGGTGATTCACTGATTGGTATTTTGATAGGAGGTATTGACATTTGTATGCAGACTATGAAATTTAAAAATGTAAGAAATAATCCAGATCTTATTCCACTCATCTACAATCTTAAGATATGCATTCTAGAGATTATTAATACATGGCGGGTGCAAATCTTATCTTAACCGAAATTAAATTGGCAATCGCAAAATTTGAAGCGCCTTTGTTTGCAGATTCAAGAGATTGACAAAAGTTGATGTAGTTCACATAGCATATATTGAAGTTTCTAATTTACTGGGTCACCGCCATCCGCGAAGCAAAGGAGAAACTTGGAATTAACATGTATAGCCACTATGATATTGCAAACCGTGTGAAAAATCAGTGATATTTTGAGCTCTTCTATACAATCTAGTTCAAGGCCGAATTCTGGCTTAAAGTGAAATGGTTTTGCTAATTTGGAATCGCCTGTGGGTGTGTGTTTAAACATTTACACTATGTACATGATCATATGACAACACCCGCATTTCGAGGTATACAAATTGTGTGTGTATAAACTTATACAGATTTTCTTGGCGGGCGTGAAGATAAATAGATCCTCTGGCTTACATACCAAATGGTAGAATTCCTTCTCGGCGTGAGTTGCCATTGTTTACTGACGACGATTCTTGGCGTACTTGCTGAACAAATTCGAATCATTCGCACCGCGATATATGTGCATTAGAGTAGCAAAGACATTGGGATCGGGAGTTATCTTATCTTATCAACAATGTTGCCCATTGTTGTCGTATTGGCTACATTCGTATTCATTCGGAACTTCGTGTGCGTGTATATTCACAGGTGTAAGTTAAAATTAGTCATATAAACAAATTTTGTTTTCGTTTATCGATAAAACTATATTATAGAGCTGGGCAAATCAGTAAGCCGATACATAGGAAATCCTCTATCGATTTTTGAATTCCGATAGCAACTTAAATTTTTTCAACACTATTTTGGGCGCGAAATATTTTTTTCAAGCAATTTAATTTGATTTTTAATCGATAGAAATTAATGTCAACCTAGAAATTTATTCCAAACTTTATGCATTTATTACAAGTTGGGTAATTAAATTTGGTACTCCGATTGATCATAGTCATCCAACTTTACACTTTGCTTTGGGCAGAACATCGAAGGCTGATATTGCAGATCAGATGGGCATTGATTTTGCGGTGGAATATGTGAACGATTCAGGTTAGGTGTTCCGTTTGGCTCTATCATAAGGTGATGGTGATAAGGATTATCATATGGACTAGGTGGTTGGGTATAATATGAATATTGTTGTGCCTGAAGAAATTCCTGTCTTAGTGAAGGCGGCTGAAAGTTCGAGTCCATCCGAGCGATCTTATATTTATTGACTGTTCGATCATAAAATCCCTCCGGAAGCATTTTTATATTATCTTGCAAAGTTTGAGGATAATGGCCTGAACTGTAAAAAGTAGTGGAACCTAAAGGTCGAGGATACTGATCGATCGAAATATTTGTTGGTGGTAAGTTGGTGTTGGTGTAGTGCATATTTGTTGGTTGATGCTGATGAATTTGAGAATTCATAACAGGTGCTGAAGCTGGTGATTTAACGGTCCTCCATTGATCCCGTGGATCGATAAGGTAATTTTCATCAAACTGAGTTCTGTATTGCGGAGCGCTCATGGAGATTTGCGGTTGAATTGGATGCCCGGCAGGACTAGTTATCATAAATCCCTGAGGTAGGCTTGGGGGAAGACCCGTGTATTGCCGAAGGCAGAAATTACAGGGAGGCCGTCCGCAAGTTTGGAGTAGATTTTCCCTTTTGCATGGGGTTCTTGTCTCCATTAGAACGGTGTTCTCAATCCCGGTAAATTGGGTTTTAACCGCCGCACTATCAGAGCTTCGTAGTTTTCGCGGTTGCATTAAAGTCACCGTCTCCAGGGTTTCCACATCAGTCGTGGCATTTGACCGTTCAATAGTTTTGTTTAGACCAGAGGCAGTCAACCGTACTTCTAAGTGGGAATTTTGTTCTGGCTGAGTCCAAGTTAGGGAAGTGTGATTTGATTGGACTGCAGAATAACCAGATGCAACAGTCATGCCTGACTTACGTATCGTTTTAAAGCTTTGATGACTTTCTCGGTTGTAGTTATCACTTCTAACCTGAGATTGCCTATAAGAAATATCGGACTCATTAGGATTGGTTCGTTTTTTATCATTTTCGAAATAAATCTTTTTATCTTCTTCGCGCTGGCGATCGTTCGCAGTCCTTTTAATTCCATTTGAGTTACAGGAATTAATAGAGTCTTTTTGGGATCCTCTGAGTACAGTATAGGATGGATATTCTTGGGCCTTAGCTTTAATTCTGCTTTCTATCGAAGTATTAGATCGTGATGAAGGTGAATAGCGAGTTGAGGAACGTGAACTGCTTTCAGGGGTCGTGTTCTGTATATTATTTTCAATCCTTTCAAAAGACTTCCTTTGAGATTTGGTTGTTTTTGCAGTCATTTGCATTTGGTTCTGATTAAGCATGGCTAATTTAAGGCCCAGATCTCTCCTGAAATAAGTGAACGTTAAGAAGAATAATCAAGCCTATATATAGAAAGTATATCTTACAATGCCTTTGGTTGGGGAATATCGTTCATACGAAAAGGAACCAGTACTAGAGGTGGGTTTTCTCTAAGAACAAATGGTTTAATAATAATTATTTTAATATTAGTTTTAATTACCTTTCTTGTCCCTTATGTACAATTTTACTGTCATCTACGCATTGATTCTCCCTCGGCTGTAAAGTACTTTCCTTGTATTTATTACCAGGGCTTTCTTGGTTTGCAAATTGCTTTAAAAACTCAGGATTGATACTATAATCTGCGGTTTTACACGAAACATCCTCACCACCCATTTGTGTTAAAAATTTATTGCATGGCACAAATTCATAATCATCTGATTCGCTTTCGCAAGTTTCGTCCTGAAGAACAAGGACCGTTTCAGGACATGTGGGGCCTCCTACTGTGCAATTTTTATTTCTGCTTGACGATGGGACTTCAAAAGGCTGGCATAGGTAAGACTTTTCAGATCTGTTTATATGATTTCTTTGGGGATAATGAAGTATCCAACATTCAGGCGCCGATTGGGATCGCTGCCTATAACAGCTTCCCCTATCTACATTACGATTTTGATTTATCCTAATGCAATTAGGTTTTTCGGAAACTGGAATTTGATTTGAGCGATCTTTAGATAGGCTTTCTGACGACATGGACAGTTCCTCAGAAGTATATTCCGAATTCGTTGCATAGCTTTCTGTTTTGGATTCATCTGAGTTCTCAATGCCTTGGTCCCTGCATATCAGTTCGTTTGAATCACTTCCTTTATTCTGTCTATAGGGAATATAACAATCCCTTATTGGTTTTTCCGTACTCTGCCTGTAGTACTTTCTTTCTTTTCTTTCAGAAACTGATCTCTCCGAAACTTTACTAATATCACTTCCATTCTTATCACATTTATATTTTTCGGCTTTTATGGCCTCCAAAGAACTGTATTGCGATGAATTCGTAAACTGTGAGTTCATCTCCTCACAAATTTCATTATTATTACCTTCCTTATTACAGGTTTCCCCACCAGAACTTATACGATTCTTTTCCTGTTGATTTGGTTTATTCATATTTTGACTTTTTTGCGATACTTCTTTTTTTAATTTAACCTTTTCAACCTCGCTTACATTGGATGATCTAACTGACTTTGGATATTTTGTACTCCTAGTGGATGATCTTCTAGAAGATGCCAGGGATACGTAGCTGCTAGTACCTTTTTGTTTTTTCTGCGACGATTTTTCTAAGCTTTCGTATGACGTATTTGATCTATCAGAATAACGGTCTCTATCACTGGGCTTCCCCTTAGAAATAGTATTATTAGATGTCTTGTAAGATCTACTTCTTACGGTGCTTAAGGATTGATTCTTGGAGTCGTAGTTACTTTGGGCTCTGCTGGAACTATAAGATCCATCGTAACTATGTTCAGAATAGTCTTCTTTTGGCTTTTGGCTTTCAGTTGATGGATTGTAACTTGAGCTCCGTTTTCTTAAGTATATATGATCATTTGATTTATTATCTTGGCAGCTCTTATTAGTATTACAAGGAGTCTCTTTGGGTGCAGTTGTAGAAAACGTGGGCTTACAAACTTTTTGCGGTTGGTAATATTGTTGATGGGGTTGCCTAGGGCATTGCCATCTCATCATAGGACATCTGTTCATAAAATTATTTGGATACATTCCTCTGGGTAGCACTACCCTTGTAAATTTCGGAAGAATATGTGGATGACAAGTGTGAAAAGTTGGGGATTTTGGAACTTCTTTGGTAGGATTTACTAAATCATTTTCCTTATCGTCCACATCCAGAATAGAACCAGAAGTCCTTTCCTTTGTTGTTTGTGAATCTTTTCTAGATCCTCTGATACTTAAAGAAGACCTGGAGTTCGATTTTGACATAGTTTTAGGTAACTTATTTTTATTTTCCATTTTCCTAGCCTTGGAATTAGGTTTTGGTAAAATGTTTTGGAAGACCACTGATGATAGTCTCTTTTGGGACTGTTTAAAACTTCCATTTTCACTAGCTCTGTTAGATTGAAGATAATCCTTTATGGTTGACTTGCTTGTATTTTCTAAATCCGTTTCAATTTTCTGCCTTTGAATACTCCTTACATTTGTGGACTTTTCGGAAAAGAAGCGACTCAAGTTCTTTTCGTGGTTCTCAGGAGATTTGACAGCTAGTTGGTTTCTGATTTGCTCCAGGCAACATAGAACAGGATCGTCTTTTCCATCTTCAGTAGTTTGAGTTGCTGTTTCGCAGGGAAAGCATTTTCTTCCACGTCTTAATCCTTTCTTTTTTGGGAGTGTTAACGCCTTGCCGGAAGACGTGTTGGAGGCAGGATCTGGTGCTGTTATAGCAGGAAACATTGAGAAGTTGAAAGGCCATTCTACTTTTCTATCCCTCTGCAAGGGTCTTGCTGGAACAACGGCTTTAAGGGATTGTAAATTGTTATTGCCTGGAAATGACTGGAACCCAAAGAGATTTTTAATACTAAAAGGAAATGGAATATTTACACGAAAGGGTACATTGCACTCGAACCTAAGGGATATTGAAATTTAAGTTTAAATAAAGTTTTAATCAGTGAAATCAACTCACCAAATACCATCGTCCACTTCGTCAATATTTCCTGCTGTCGATCTTGCTATTATCTTTTTAGTTTGTATTTTTTTACGTTTCGGCTTAGATTTTACAAGAGCTTTCTTATCTTCCTCCAAAACAGGTTTGGCCTTGGGATATGTTCTCATATTTTTATATGCTTCCGAAGGGGTTTTCTTCTTCTGTGTTACTACATTGGGAAAAACCTTCATATTTGAGGTACGGAAATTTGAGTTTGTGGCAGACAACAGTTCATCTTCCATATTTACAGATCCCTAGAGTTAAATTTGTTTAAAAGTTTTAAGAACTTAACGTAGGTAAGGAGAAGTTTACCTTGCTTCTTTGTTTCACTTGACTAGTCAAAGAGTTATTACAAGAACTTCTTTTGTACAAACTGGTTAGTATTGAAGTTCCTTCACATACCTTTTTACCTTTTACATTCGAAATATTTATATTATTTCAAGTTCTTCCTTTATTTTATTAGATTTACCAGTTGAAGAAGTTCGGGGAGAAACTTTCCCAGCTACAGAGTTTGGCTTCGATAGAGCTTGGCTTTTATCTTCAAAATTCATTCCAGCCTTGGACTCCTTCGTATTTTTCAGTGGAGCTGTTCCAACCATTTTCCTGGAATTATCCCATCTATTAGGATGCATTCTCTGACGACAGCAAGAATAGTGATATCTCTGCCAACCGCCGGACATTTGATTTAAATTACACATTTTTAGATTAAATTTAAATCTTTATCTTTATATCTTTAATAAAAAAATCTGTAATTTTAATAAAATGGGGCGTGCAGATCTAGTTCTCAGCTTCTGATGTCCCAAAGTTTGGATAATTTGGAATTTTATTTGTTTAAGTCCAAAACTCAACCAGTTGACAAAAAACTCAAGTTTTTAGCTTTAAAATCGAATCTTTATTGAAGCCAAGTTTAGACTTCATCGATTGGCCTCAATTTTAAACGGAAGAATTGCACAATTATGTAGTGGAAAAACCTTTTGTAAGGTATCTTACCTTGAAGAGACTGTATTTCGACTCATCATGGTAAGTTACTTTACAAATAATAGAAAGTGTTTTAGACTTTAGCGTGGCCAACATCGCGGCATCATGAATCGCATTTGGGCATATCGCTGGCAACAACAACTGGGACAATATTGTGGAGAACAAGAAAACTTATTGGACTGGGATCCTTGACCAGATCTCATAGAGGTCTGCAATTGTGGGCAAGATCGCTGTGTTTTTTGTTGAAAAGAAGTTGGCTTCTGTGGCAAGCAAGGAGGTGCTCTACATTGCTGCTGTCGAGGTGGCATTTGACGTATCTGCTGAAAAGTACCCGTTTGATGTGGTTGCTGGAAAGGATTCATTTGCTGTGGCTGCTGGTAAGGATTCATTTGCTGTGACTGTTGGTACCCCATTCGCTGGGACAGAATAGATGGTGGCTTCTGCTGCTGAGCAGTATATTGTTGAGACTCTTGCAGAATGTACGCATTCTGATTGGGCATCGTTAATGGCATGGGATACAGACCAACCTGGGAAGGTGGAGGAGCAATTGGAACAGACCACATCCTATCCGATTCGCCAGAACCCATGTTCTTGTAGGTATATGATGATGAACGAAAAGAATTGTTATTCTCCTCCCTGCTATCTCGAAATTCTTCTGGAAGATCTTCGCCCGTATCCTGTTCTTCACCTAAGGAACTTACGAACTGGTTTTCTGGTGCCCAAGTGGGTGCTCCAGTGTCATTCTGAGCGAGCACATGCATCTGCCGTACTCTTGTGGCTCCACAGGCGCTATTTAACTGAAGTTGGACTTGGGCAATCTGCGCCTGTGCCTCTAGCATCTGTTTCTTTAACTCCTCCGCCAAAATTTCGGTCAGGCAATTGTTATCCTCCACGAGGGATTCCTGTTGAGCAGGTTTCTGTTGCATCGGCAATTGCATTTGCATTGAAATTGGCACTTGATTTTGGCCAGGTGAGTCTACCTGCTCGGGAGAATTCCTTTGTTGGATGGGTTGTTGTATTTGAGAAAGAGTTGGTTTCTGCATTTGCGAAAGATTTGGTTGCTGCATTTGCGGAAGATTTGGTTGCTGCATTTGCGAAAGATTTCGTTGCTGCATTTGCGGACGAGTTGGTTGCTGGATTTGCGGAAGATTTTGTTGCTGAATTGACTGACTTAGATTGTAAACAAAGTTTCCAGACTGATTTTGATCCTGACACTTGGGACATCTTTGTTTCACCTGCGAATTGGGACAAGAAGGACTTTGGCTACAAGTCCTTTGTTGCTGAAAGCAAGGTTGTTGTTGTTGCTTGCAACAAGGTAGTTTCTGTTGTTGAAAGCAAGGTGGTTGTTGTTGTTGACAGCAAGATTGTTGCTGTTGCTGAAAGCAAGGTTGCTGCTGCGGAAAGTAAGGCTGCTGCTGCTGTTGCTGCTGAAAGCATGGCTGCTGTTGCTGAAGGTTAAGTTGCTGCACCTGAAAGTAAGGTTGCTGATGAAAGCTAGATCTTTGCTGACCAAAACAATTCGTATTCTGCTGATTCTGTGGGCAAGCCATGCAAGTACTACACCTTGGCATCGATGTCATTTCATAGTTCATATTATCATCCTCACATTCGAGGCTCAGGAAGTGAGCTTCGGTTACCTCGCAGGCGGTGACTATTTCCGCCTCGCCCATAACTTGGTGTTCCTCATCACAGATGGCTACGATATTGGGACCCGAGGACTGAAACCACTGATACGAGTCAGGACGATGTCGCGTTGGATATTCCCCTCGAAAGCAGGGTATTATCTTGGAGTTCGTTACATTTTCTGGTTTCTGTGGCTCTGGTTCCGTGGCAGTTGGTTCCTCGATAGGCTTTTCTTCCTCTATTGGAGTCTTTGCGTTTTCTGGGTAACTCTTCTTCTCGGCATTCTGGTCAATATTTTTGGAAATCTCTTGGGCCTCTGCATCGGAATTCCTTTGACTAACGCGTTCAGATTTTTGTCCTTCTTGTTTTATACTTGGTACTTCGGATGTTATCTCTTCAAACTCTTCCTGTCTGGCTTTCGTGACGTCTGTCCCAGTCAACATCTCCGGCATCATATCGACCTCTTCTTCCCTGATATTCGCCTGATCTGTCGGAGTTTCACTGCGACGCTTAACGAAACCCATTAAAGATTGCTGGGCATTCCTGCCCAACCCTATAGTCTTTGGTCGATCTCTATTTGACACTTGAATAACCGGCATTCCTGCCTGCAATCTAACCGGTGCCTTTGTCTTGATCTGTGTAGTAAATGGGATTTTTTCCGGACTACCCATCGATCTGGAGCTACTGGGCTGCCTGCTACGACGATATATGCGTGGACAGGATGATCGGGATCGCAAGGGTTCCCTGCCAGAAGGTAAACTCTGAACTAGGGTCCGCAAAAGTTTCTGTCCAATTCGATTATTGACCTGCTCTGGTGTTAAATCCGATTTGGGCATCGTTGTTCTTCTCGCGGGACTAGCATGACGCCAATAGGGACTGGCCCTGGTTGGCCTGACCTCGCCAGTGGGCATTTTTCGATCGCTTTTAGGGCTATGCGAGTCTATTATACAATTACTTCCGTTTAAATTTGCTTTTTTGGCATGACATACAATTTTGTAATGTCATATTTTGTAAGTTTACGGCCAACAAAAAGCGTTTTGGTTGAAGATAAGATGAGAACCAAAGGAGGTTGCTTCATATCCTGTGCCTCAAATCATATACTGCTAGATTGACCCACCGTTATCAGCGATCTGGGTTACAGTATTGAAAACTTATAAAAAATTACGCCTTAATCCATCCTTATGTTAGCAATTCCTGTAACAGATCAGTCTTAGTTTAGGAAATCAAAAATCATTTACACCCTTTTTTTTAGTATTTTGACTATGTATGTTTTTTTTTGTAAAATTCTTGTAATTGGCCATGAGTAAAACCAGAATATCATAGGAAAGAAGGAGTTATAGACCACACTTTTACGTTCAAGATGTGCGAGCCATGTAGATTATTAAGGAAATGCAAAAGCTGCCATGATGGGTAAGTATAAATCAATAGTTACTATCTTAGTGGACTCATCTTTTACCCATCTTCAGATGCTGTCCTCGAACCAGTTGCTGTCAGCGATCATGTTCCATAAATACAAGAAATTGCCGGGTGGTGTTTCCTGGGGAGTTCCAAAAGTTCTCGGAAATGGTGCCACCCAGTTTTCTTCTAAAGTCGCCAAAGCCACCGAAGCCAAAAAAGAAGCATTCGAAGAGTTCCTCATCCTGCGGGGACAAATGTCAAGATCCGTGTGTGGATACGTGTACGGAACAGAGTGAGCATCCAAATCAAAATGCCGAAAAGGAAAATGGGGAAGAAGGTGCTGAAGAATACGGTCAAGATGGTGTAGCGGGGTATGGAGGCTATGGTCCCAGATTACAGGAAGATCCAGGAGCAGGATTTCAAGGAGTCACAGGACCCAGATTTGGCTTTCAGCCAGGACAACCGACTATTATACCTTGCTATGGTACCTACGGCCCGACAGGAAATCCCGTGATTTTTGGAATTCCGCCTCCCACTCAATATGGCAGCTTTGGAGTTCCTAGACCCTTTGTTCTGCCAGTGGCAACTTCAGCAGGCCAGGGAGATGCGCGAAATCTTAGGGCGGCAGGTCTGCCCACGCAGTATTCATCTGAGTTCAATCCTTGTACCGGAGAAGTTGTTCAATGCGGAAATCAACAAATGCCAGCTGGCAGACCAAGAGATACAAGAGAAATTCCGTCTTATGACCAATTTTGTCAAGATATTGACACGGGTTTTGGTCCCAGCAATCAATATTACTCTTTTAATGCCGCAGGACAAGCTGTAGAACCGAGTCCTGTGGATCAAAGGCAATTCATCCAAAATAATCTATCTGCGGAAGCTCCTCCTGTGTACACTCAAAATCAAGAAATGCCCCTTGGACTTAACAATCAGAATTTCCCACCATCTCAACCACCAATGGAACGATTGTGCCAAGGTAGTACCAGATCGAAGTCTCTCAGTCCACGGAATGAGCCCAGGAACTATTCCACAGATAATCAGCTTGAATTTAGAGGAGCTCAAGCTTATAATCAGCAGAATCCTAATAGTGATTTTAGACCAACCTCTAAGCCTATTGCATCTGCGGTTCCAGTAAGTAAACTAGCTAACAGATCGAAGTCTGTAGGTCAACGGCATTTACCAAGGGATGTTCCATCCGATGTCATGAAAAGTCCAGCCAGAGAAATGGATCCGCAAACTGATTATTATTCTAAAAATAGCGGAGGGAGGTCAGTTCCCAAATCAATGCCATCTGCTGGTCAAGGGCGTCAAGGTGATAGTATGCCACCACGGAATAAGTCGATGGTACCTCCTGCAAATAGACAACCGGATTCAAATATTATTTATAGCCAACAGTACATGGGCATGGGTATCGACCCCAACAATCAGTACTTTCCATACAATGATTGTGCTCCATTAAACGCTACCTTTGTGCATGATTTAGGTTCACCCAATGATCAGAACTGCCAGGATATGAACGGATTGCAATCTGAAAGAACACGAAATGTATCACACAAGGAACATGAAAAGAGTAAGAGCTCTAAGAAAGGACAATCATCATCGAGGTCAGCAAAGCAGAAATCGCAGGACAACGCTTGCTCTGAGCTTCTCAACCGGTGAGTTTAATGTCAGAGCTCTTTTAGCTCTAAAATCTGGCATACACACACTATACACACACACACATATATTTTTCACAACACCAAACACTTAAGAATGTTGTTTTACATTGCAGCATCGCAGAGTCCTATTCTCCGAGTGATCTACAGAGGTGGTGTGATCTACTAATGTCTAAGGCCAGAAACAAAAATCAACCCACTGCCAAGAAGAACAAGAAGTCAAAGCGGAGTTCCAAGATGAACCAAGAGAACTCTATAGTCCAAAGTGATACGAATGGTCGAACATCAACGGCCGGGACACCTGCATCTGACACTGAAGTATCTGAAGATGCAAACGCCACAAATGAGGGTCAAAATGCTTCCCCAAAGACTGCTCCGAAACCAGAAACGCGCAACTGTGGCTGCTCTGCAAATTTGCCTGAGTAAGCTAACCAAATCTAAAGATGTTAATAATAATATTAATACCGATTTTCCCTTAGAGAAAACTCAAATGAGAACCTGACTTCAGCTCCTTGTGGCAGCGGTCCAGCTTGCTGGACCTGGTACTATAATCCCTGCACTGGCTGTTATTACTATTGCGGTAACTGCTGCAATGGCTGTCGTAATTGCTGCAATCACAGCTGCAGTCCGTGCAGTTGCTGTTGCAACAACTCCTCTGCTCAGATGGAGGCAGTACCGCCGAAGCCAAAGTCAAAGAACAGGGAAAAGCCAGAGAAAGTTATTACCAGCAAGCGAAATTCCGCCGGTGCAGCTGTAAACTGTAATATGTGGGGTGCAACTATGCCAGGATACAATCGAACTGCTTCACCCTCACCCCAATACAGCTCTCCCTACAGTGGACGTTGGGAGGCGGGCGGAGTGGATATTAATCGGAATCATCATAACCAAAGACCTTTCAACTTCAGTTGCGTGCGCCATAATTGATTTTTCATCTTGTCTAAATTTTACGTTGAATTTCATTTTACACTTTTAACACAACTTTCCGCTGCCTGAATAAAGATATATAAAAGATAAAGGAAGGAATTTATGTGAGAGACAATTTTCCATGATTTTTCTTAGTACTTTTTATTAGTTCAAATCGATATTTTGTTTTCCCTTTTATACACTCTTTTATGTGTTTCTCTCTTTTTGTATACCATATACATATATAGATTTTTTCGAAAGTTTTCTTTTTGTGGGCTTCGCTTGTAGAAAAACTTAAAAAGTTTCTTTTAAAATATAAATTTCTTGTCATAAAATTAAATACCACTTTAAAGTTGTTTTAGAAAAAGACCTAACTAAAAACTATGAACATAGCACATTGTAAACATGTTTGTGTAGTGCAGCCATAAATATTGTATGGTATGTGTTTCTTTTTCTTTATATAATATAATAATAGGGGGAATATTAGATTGTTAAATAAGAAAGTAGGCATTATAACTAGGGGGAAAATTCTAGCACATGATATATGGGATCTGGGTTCTGCCGCTTCTATCTTCCTTTAAACATAGATTTAAACTGAGTTTGGCTTGCATATTGCCCTTTACGTTATGTAATGTGGTTTGCTTGGTTAGCTTTCGTGTTGTACATATATATGTAAACATATATATATATATATATATATTATATTATGGTTATCTTACGACTATATGGACTCTTATCTGCCCTTATTCATGTTGCATCTGCACTCGATATAAGCTTTAACAATTATGGTCGCCACGAGGGCCGAAAATTATATAGAAAAACAAAAACTACATACATCTGCATAGCTCAAACTATTTACATTGGACAGTTTCTTTTTTTGGGTGGGGACTGAGAACTCCAGAAATGATGTGTGGGTGGTGTTTAAATTATATGTCTATGTATGGATAGTGTAGTTTTTGTTTTTGAATCACATGTTTGCACTCCCAACGAAAAACGGTGAATAACTTAAGGAAATGTTGTTGATGTTGTGAAGATTGCCGATGCTTCATGGTTGGAATAAAGCTCTTTCTGCCCGAATACTTAAGCATTCTCATCGGTCTGGTATATGTAGCCATGCTGCTGCAATATGCTCAACCTCTTCTCAACGGCATCGCGATCTATAAATAGTTTTCAAATTAACATATTTCGTTTATCAAGTTTATTTTTTGAAACTTACATTTGTTCAGCAGCATTTTGTCCTGCGGATGATTGCACTTTTGCACCAACGAATGGAGCAGAATGTGTGCAGTGTTGTAACGCTCAAAGCAATTCTTGGTGTTTTTCAATAGCTCATCCAAAGCGGCTGCCTGACACTGAAACAAAATCATTAATAACATATTCTTCATAAGATTTAGCATCGTTTTGCTTACCATATCCAGTGCGTAATCATAGAGAATCTTGTCCGCTGTAATATTAAATGCATTCGCCTTCTGCAATAGTCCACTGCCATTAAGGCGCTTCGACTCGAACAGCATGCTTCGGTATTTGGCGTTCATGGTGAGCAAAGCTAGTGATAACCCAAGGACATTATAGATATTGATGATCCAGTTAGAAATCCCATCACTTACCATTCTTTACATTGGACGACGGCTTCAGCTGGCCGTTGCGCAGCTGCAGGGAGGCCAGATTCATCCCTGACGAGAGCAGCTGGAGACCCCGGACAAGCAGAACCAGGCGCTCAGCCCGCTTGCAATGCTCGGGAGCGTGTGGCGATATCTGTTGGGTATCCGCCGCCGCATTTGCTGCTGCAGACTGGCTACCAGCCACCATGAGCGTGGAAAGGGGTGCACAACGCGAGTCGGCCACCTCCTGAATGCAATCGGTAAGGGCCAGCACAAAGTTCAACTTGGACAGTGTCTCGTTGTGTTCGCGATCCATCAGCGTCTCCTCCGACAACTCTGGGGCCTGGAATGCATGTGGTTCCACACCAGCGCCAGTTCCTGTATCCAACAGACTGTGTAGACCGCCAGTGGCCCCCAGTTCGGGCAGCGTAAAAGCTCGCGGTCCCAGCATATGATGCTGATTATTGTTCTCCGATCCACTGCCCGCCGAACCAATCGAACCCAGGGATCCCGGAGCCACCAGCATTGTGGGACTGCCCAAAGTAGGCAGCTTGGTTAGCGCTGCGGACGGCAGAACTGGGGAGCTGTTGCCACTTCTGCGCAACGGCGATTGTGAATGTCCTGGCGACACCTGCCAAGTGCTTGGAGCATGAGGCGGCGGTGTCTCCGACAGCGATCCTCCCGAGGCGGAACGCATCCGCGTTGGCGGCGTTCCAATGGCAAACTGTACCGCCGGCGGTGAGATCGAGTTGATGTCACTGCTTACACTGCTCTTACGCTGATCCGGTCGCGGTTGCTTGACGCTAATGGGCTGGGATCGTGGTATCTGTTGGCCGCCCAGAGTGGCTACCGTCAATGGTCCGGTGCCCTGCCTGGCCGGAGAGTTGGCCGGATTGCTAGCCACCTGGCGACGGGCTGGAGCCGGCACTGGTTTGGGTTCAGAGATGGGTAGACTGCTGGGACGTGGCGGACTGGATTGATTTTGTTGCGGCTGTGGACGCTGGCCACCGGAAGCGGGCTGGGCTTGGGTTTGCCCCTGGACTACCAGACCCTGGCGCTGATCCTCCGGAAGGTTCTTGGGCACCAGCACAAAGTCATCGGAGTCCTCATGGGAGCTGCATGATCCACTATTGTTCTCACTGTCGCACAGCACCCCAACGTTGGTAATGGTGGCGCATATAGCCGGATTGGCCACCACGGACACTAAAAGATTTTATGATTAGATAGGTTTTCCTAGCAAATTGCAATGGATGCACATACCCGTATTCTCCTCCTCCTGGGCCTCTTGCTCCTCGCGCTCCTTCTGCTGCTGCTCGGCCAGCTTGACCAGCTGCAGTTCCTGCTCCAGCTGCTGCTGCAAGGGGCTCTTGGCCTTGGCCGGCGGGGTTCCGCCCAGCGGTGGCATGTCAACTGCAAGAACACCACTCTTAGAGACTCGCCGTCGCAGGTTAGCTGCTTGGCTTGGCTCACCTGGCGACGCGGCCGCCTTCTTGCCCTGAAGGAAGCGGTGCACAAAGAAGCTCTCGTACGAGATGCGGTCCTTGGCATTGCGGCGCAACAGGCACAGTAGCAGATCCCTCAAATCCGGCGACACGCCATTTGGAATTCTTAAAAGAAAATTAAAGGAAAGGATTAATATCCGTTGGGTTGTTTCGAATATTCAGAGATCTTACTTGGGCGCCAGGTTATCATTCTGCTCATAGTAGAACTTTAGTTCGTTGGGTGTTTGTGCATAGAATGGCGCCTTGCCAGTCAAACACTGGTAAACAATCGTTCCCAGTGACCAGAGATCCGCTTTAGAGTCGTACTGCAGCGACATGATCACCTCGGGTGCCTATTGATATACGATATATATGATTAGTTTTGATATTAGCTAGTTGGATATTAATTTACTCACCATATACATTGGAGAGCCGCACAAAGTGGCTGCCATGGCGCCCTCGTTCAGAAAACGCGCAAACCCGAAATCGGCTGTAATAAACAAGAGTTAATATTAGTCAATTAAAGTGAAGAAAGTACATGACCATATAGGTTATTAGTTGGTAATAACCTGTTTGTTAAAAGAAGACTATAGTCACAAGAAGTAAAAGTAGGTTTTAGAAAAGACTTGTTTTACATTGGAAAAAGTTATATTAACAATTTTTAAATATTGTGATTTAAACTCACCAATTTTCAGGGTTATTTTCGATGGAGCTGGCAATGTCTTGCCATAATTGTGCGATAGCAAAATGTTTTGTGGCTTGAGATCACGATGCACAATTCCTTTGGTATAAAGTGCCTTCATAGCACCAGCTGTAGTTTAAAGAAAACAAAATAGATTGGTTAGTTTTTAAGATTTTAAATTCTATGATAATCTATCTCACCTAGTTGCACGAGGAATAGCCTCACAGTATCCTCGCTAAGCGTCCCCTTAACACTCAAATAATCCGCCAGGTCGCCTCCATTGCAGTACTGTAAAGAGAAAGTCACAAGAAACGGAAAGAGAGTGAGTAAAGCTAATTGAAAAATCAAATTAAGAGAGCTCCTTCCCCAAGCACGAGTCAAGCCAGAGTTCAGTGCGAAGATAAATCTTATGGGGACCCCAAAGACCTCAAAAGCAAAATGTGACCCATGCAAATGAATTAAGTTCAATCAGTGCGAAAATGCATGAGACTCGAGATTCAGTCGGTCTTTTTCCAGCTGTCTTTCGCTTTTCAGCTGCTCGGCTTTTGTCCCAATGCTCTGGCAATCAGAGAAAACGGCAAGGTCAAAGCGAATATGATTTATGGCAATTTTCAGAATCAAGAACTGGAATTAGGGAAATATGCTTATGGATCAGCCAGCTGCTTTTTCTTTTGTCGGTTACCTAACAAAAGTATAGTTCCGGTTTATTTTCGTCAGCAGGGAAAACAATGAGATTTTAGGGGAACTTTTACACTTGAGAATTATAACATATGAAATAAACTTCTGAAAATAATATACAATAAAATTGTATTAAAAAAGTTAACTATGCACACTCATGAAATAAAATACTTTACGGAATTCCCTTTTTCTAACTTATGAAAATAGGTTCTTTATTATCTTCTAGTATATATTGTATTTAGAAATGTTTAAAAGTTTATAAAAGAAAAATAGTATTTAATTTCAAAAAGTATGTTCTCCTTAACAATTCTTAAAATTAAATAATATTTTTAAAGGTAGTGCAATACATCCTTAATTTTACACAATAAATTGTGTAAGCAACCCTCGTCAAAATGTAAATGAAGAGAACTCCAGTTTCGCCGAAATGCCGTTATTTTTGGCCTGAGCAAGTTGCCAAAAAGGATTTGCGATTTTTTGACCTTGAGGCCGCCAATCAAAGACATGACTATAAAGTTACACAAAACCCACTAGGCTAGGCATGTGTGTGTGTGTGTGTGCGTAGCGAACATTTTTATGGATTTTTTGTTTTCCATGAGAAAATATATGGACCACTTACAGTTTAATGAGCAAACAAAGCCAGCAATGGCAGCAACAACATCAACATTAGGCAATTAAACAGCCAAATTGAAATGACAAAAGATTTCACTCCATTCGGTTTTTTGTGAAATCGCAAAATGCCCAGAAGAGAAGCGAAGAGAAAAGAACATAAAACAAGTCATTGACATGTAAAGTGACAACATCAGGCAATGACAATATCTACATAAATATAAAAGTAAAAGTCCAAAAGAAATGTGGGGAACACTCACTATATAGAGGGTTTTTTATCTGGGGTTTTTAATAGTTTAAAATATATACAATACCAGATAGAGTTTTAAAATTTTATTTATTTCCCGGCAACAAGTGCGCATGAGTCAGCGGTTTATTGGAAAATGCACTTGCGTAATTAAAAATACAATTGGGCTTCTCTGTTTTTATTATATTTTGAAAAACTGAGCTAAAGAGCTAAACTAAGAGAACTTTATAAGCTAGGAAAGCACTCTTCAGTATTTCTCAATTTGTATACCCTGTGCTCCTGAAGTAAAAGGGTATATAGTACTGGTTGAAATGTAACAAGGTTCAAGCGTTAAAGTATATTACTTCCTAGTGTGTGTTTCAATCAACAGATGGCGCTTTTGAATTCCTATACCGTAACTACACTTTATGTATTAAACATTGGATGGTAGCATAACATTGTGTTATATTTGATTAACAGAGTATCTAATAGTCGAGACACTTAAAAGAAGTAAGAAGAGAGCTTCACTAGCTAAGAGAAGACTCTCTTTGGCCGTCGCTTGTAAATCAGAATTTTTGAGCTCCTTGCTTCTGCGATTTTATTTGTAGCTCATTTTCAAATTGACGCTCGCTCGAATCGCACTCCATCGCGCTTAAGAATAATCAACAAATGAAAAACAGTTAACAAATTTTGGTAGTGAAATTTAAACATAATACAGATAATATTCCCAAATGTGTTTCCTAAATATATAAATAATATAATAATAACAGAAATATAATAAGGCAACGCGAGTCATTCCAAGTAAACCCAATAGACTAAAGGTCAACATATTCTAGGCGATAAAAACAACGCTCAACACTCCTATACATTGTTCACAGTAATCACAACACAAAGACCTAGAAACGGAAATAAAACAAGAGTTTAACTTAGTGCTCGGTGAATCAAGTGGTTCTCAATCAAATATTCAAACAAACTTATCACTCAAATCACGTTTAATTTAATCGGAATGATTCAGTGTTTCAATTTTCCAGCAAATTATGTAAATAAACTGTGAAGGGAGACTCTATGTGCTAAATCAAAAGACAGACACCGACATATAAGTTAATTATGATTGACATTAATTCAAATCCGACAAGGATGAAATATGTTTTAATAATAAGCAATTCTAAAGGGTTTATTGTTCTCTTGAGTTTGTTAAGTAAAATCTTTACAAAAGAAATTTTATGAGATAAGATTAACAATGTTCAATGTCTGATACCATTTCTTAATTGAAACAACAAATACCTTTCAATTTTACTCAATATGTTGTGATGTAATATTCATTACGATCGCAATTCCTTTTAATTAATTAATTAATATGTTCTAATTTCTATAATAATTACACAAATACATAAAATCTGTTCTTTACTCAAACAACATAAATAATAAAACATATTTCATGGCTTTTTAAGAACTCAATTTATGTTATTTAATTTTAAATACATCAATTAATTATGTCTAAAGTTGCTTGAATTAAAAACGAGAGAGGGAGCAAGAGACAAAGCAATTAAATATTAAAAACTGATAAGATAACCGCGGCTAAACATTAAACTAAACATGAGAGAGATTAAAAAAGAGAGCGATAATATTTTAACATTCGACTCTCTTGTTTCTCTTTACTTAAGCTTACACACACACCTGTTTAGTCAGTCCGTTGGATTTGCTGGCGAATATTTTTGCTCATTTGAGAAACGACAGCGAGTGGAAAAGTTTGTGTGAGCGGAGTGAAAAGCTCGGAAAAAATAAATTATTTGATTCTTTTGGCAAAAGTAAACCGGCAAATGCTAATAGAGAAATAATTTGTGAAACTAAAATTTCAAAACCAAAACAAAAGAACATTTTAAAAGTGCAAACCGAAAAGTGCAAAGCAAAAAACAAAACAGCTGAGAAATATTATTGCAATCTATTTTCAGATTAAAAATTTCCACATCAACTTTGGCAAATACCACGAAAATGAAATGAAATCCCATAGATAAACACAAATATTAACAACAAGCCCTGAAAACGCAGTGAAAACAAAAGTTAAACAAACACAAACTAAACAAATATTAAACAATAATGCACGTGTATTACAAGTTTGGATTACTCTTGATATTTTTGCTAAGCGTAAGGTAAAAATCAAACTCCAATAAATATTTACAAATTTCCTAGTGTGTGTTAAAAAAAACAATTTGAAATTCTTATTGGGCTTGGGGAAAAGTTATACATTTATTTATTATATACGAAAAAAAAGAAGAATAAACCCTTTTGAATGACAGGGGCAAAGTTTCCGTTGAGCAACATTCGTAATGATTAATTCACTCAAATCGAAATAACGACAGGTGAACCTGAATAACAGGACTTTGACCCGCTCACAACTGAGATATCAATGCCGAACGGAATACTCACGCATGGGGTTATAAAAAAAAAATAGCAAATTTTTTATTGGCAGGCCACGGCAACAGCTCTTAATTGCCGCTTATTATATATTATGTGCACGAATTTACACTCTTTCTAATCATATCGCATAATCTGATAAAAATAATAACAATCCACGGTTGCCCGATTATTTATACCGTTTTTCCTTATCAAAATTGTTTGGTCAGCACATTGAATTTCTCACCAAATATCGAACCATTAAAAAATTGCCGTAAAATTTACAACTGTCTCGATTTCCTATATTTTCTAGTAACATCAATTTATGACTCAGATTTGCCTTACTACTTCCGTGGACTTAAGTCTTTAAGTTTTCTAATTGTCTTAAAAGAAGAAACATTTTTAAACTTTTTTTTTACTAAAACTGCTTTCTTAAATCACATACCCTTCTCAAGGGTACTTAAAATCATTTCCACTATTGATTTTCGGGCCTTTTACAGTTTTTGTTTTAGCCACTTCAAATGAAATGTCAAAGTAGAGTGCTTTTAAGTGTGCCGCTTCCAATTTTAGTCATTTCGTTCAAGTAGTCAAGGGAATTACTTTGACTAGGTCGTCATGCTTAGTTACAGTTTGCAGATCTTTCGCAATGGCCAGTAACTTAAGTGAGCTGAAGCTTGAAGGCAATTCGGTAATGTTCGATAAATATATATTTATTATCCGGTAGAAATATTATCAATTAATGCATTTCTTATCAGCACTTGTTATACAAGTAATCGGTTCTATGAGGTCTATTTTTTCTGTCAAATTTAGCACTTTTATGTACTGACTTTTAAGAGTCTTCAACAATCATTGAAACTTCACTCAAAAGTCACGCAACTGAAGAGAACTCTAAATGGCAAACATAAGACTCACTTGAACTACTCTACCAACCAATTTTCACCTTTTTTTTTTAGACACACCCACTAGAACTGAAGTTGTTTAATGCAGGATAACGAACGATTTAGAATCAGGCGAAATAAAATCGCAAAAAAAAAAATGAAGAGGGGTTACAAATCTCAGCGAAAAAGTAAAAAAACAAAACAGAAAAAGTGAGAGTAAACGAAATCGTAAGCTAAAACCGGTCAAGTTGCCTCTTTTGCCATGAAGTAAACTGGTTTCGTCTGTGTTTTTGTACTGAAGTATCTACAGTGAGTTTCAGCAATGTAAGACCAGTGAGCAGCAAACTAGCCATTAAGCTTTCCAGACATTAAATTTATTACCTACTAAAACTTGACCGTAAAAGCCATCAACTATTTCAAAAGGTTATAAAGTTAATATTCATTCTTCAAGAAAATTATATTTTTTACTTAAATTTTATGACTTAAGGGAAATATTTTCTATAATATTTTATATACTTTGAACTCATTTAAAAATTCCTTTTAACTAAAACCAATTTACATTTTTTTAATAGTTTTATCGACTTAATTATAAACTAATTACTAAATTGAAATGCATATTAGCCACCTAACCTGTTCAATTTAATTCGTATACATTTAAGGGCTATTATTTTGCACACAGCTGTATAGAGAGAAACACATATATGTTTGTTCACATATGTTAGTATATTCATTCATGCTCTTCCGTGGCGCAAACATAAACAAAAGCGTATAATGATAGTGGGGAAAACGAACGTTTCTGTGTGACTATGGCGTGGCTATAATAAAATAGGTCAAGAGCGTTTTCAGGACAAATTAGCGAGGTGTGTTCGCCTTCAAGACGTGAATGATGTAAGCACGTTCTGCTTAGAACCAATAACAACCGACAATCTAAAGCCAAATATTGACAATTTTTGGGTTTTTTGCTAAAACCACTTTACAAATTTGTCAACTAATTGCTCTATCAGAAATGCGAAAATGTAATTGCCCAGTTTTTTTTTCTTTATAAGTAATGAGAATTCATTTAAAATTAAATGCTTTATAAGTCTTTCAATAACGAGACAGCTTTTTTAATAAGAATTAATTAAATATTTATATTTGCAGCATTAGCCACACAAATGCCGCTCCATCGGGCAGTGACGAGGCGAATCTATCGCTCAGTTTCTCTGAGGACAGTAATTATAGGGACGACGATGATTATAGCGATGTAACGACAGGCGATGAAGCGCCGGAGACAGCAGAAAATAGACTGATGCCACTATCATCCTCCACATCGACCACCACCACATTTCGACCAATATTTAGTAAGTAAAACTATTAAAATATTATGATCAAAATGTAAGGACTTTTTCCTTTACAGATATACCACGACGCAGTAACCATGTCCTGGAGCCCAGTTGCCCGCGCAACTGCCTTTGCTTGGAGGACTTTAAGTACGTTCAGTGTGCGAATGCCCATTTAACCCATGTACCCCTGGACTTGCCAAAAACGGCGGCCATCATTGATCTAAGCCACAATGTAATTGCCGAACTGAGGCCAGAGGATTTCGCCAATTTGTCCAGAGCGGTGGATATCAATCTGAATCACAATTTAATCAGCAATATAGACAAGGAGGTAGGTCTTTGTAATTCCATTAATTATAGAAGTATTTCAATTTTTTCTTTGTTAGGTCTTTCAAGGACTGGAGCGTTTGAGGCGTCTGCGACTGGCCAACAACCGTCTAACCAAAATCGATCCCGATACATTTTCGGCAGCCAAGGAACTAGCACTCTTGGATTTAAGTAACAATTCGATAACCCAGCGATTGGATGGATCGTTTCTAAATCAGCCCGATTTGGTGGAGTTCAATTGTGTCAATTGCAGTTGGACAGAATTACCGGAACAGACCTTCCACAACATGACCGCGCTGGAGGTACTCCGCCTGAACAAAAATGATTTCAAACAGGTAAGAATCGAGCGCCAAATGTGCGATAATACAAGCTATCGCTCTATCGATAGTTGTAGCAGACCCAACTGAAAACAGCTGTGTTTGCCTCTATAATATATGGTTGTCCCGCTCTCTCGCTTTTTCATTCCGACAGCAAATCGATACAAAAGCTTTTTCGCCGCTAACAAAAATAATTAAACTGAAGCTGCCGGAACTGGAGCAACAGAATATTGAGGAGCTGTGTAACCTGCTGACCTCCATCGATACTATTAGTTTCCTCAACTTTGACATCAGCTGCTACGAGTTCGTACTGGGCACTCCCTTCAACGGCAGTCTAATTTATCCCACGGAACAGCCACTTAAAGGGATTTCGGAGCTTCCCATTGCGGTTAGCAGTACTCCAAAGCCAGTTACTTCCACGCCCGCACAGCCGCGAAGTGGTGAGATCTTTATAACAATAGTTTCTATAATATGTATGTGCGAACGTGGCGGTTGTTTCCCTTACAGCCAATCGCAATCGAGGAAAAATGGACAACAGCACGGAGTTGGTCAAAGCCGGAATCCTAAGTTCCGTGACCAACACAAGCGGTGTGTCAGTGGAATCGCCTGCCGAAAGTAAGACCAACCAGGTGGAGATCTCCCCTGAGGCCATCAACACGCTGCTCATCTGTGAGTACAGCTTAAAACCCACGTATTACAACTTCAACTGCTATTGCGATCAAAACAAGTTACTGAGGTTTCGTGGTTTCACATATTTTGTCTGTAATTTAAACTGGTTTTCACTTATGAACTCCAAATCTATAAAGATTTAAACCTTATATTGTTTTGATACAAAAAATGGAGTTGTAAAGTTTTACTCTGATATATATCTGTATAAAATTACTAACTAGCCTAATCTCTCCCAATAGGCATCATGGCTTTGGCCGTGATTGGCATTGTCGTCGGCCTCATTTGCCGCAAGGATATTGGCGGCATAAAAACCAAATGCTGCCGCACTAGTAAACCAGAGCCAAAGGATCAGGTCCATCCCACTGAGGAGATACCATTAAATAAGCTAGCCTAAGAAAACTTTCCAAAAAACCAAAACAAACGACGATGAAAAGAGCGTCCTATCCTTCAGTTTTGAGAACAAATTCCAAATTACCGGCATTTTTGATAGATTATAAATAGGTATACGTCGTCTATGTATATTGGCTAATTAGTTAACTACTTTGACTTGGTTCTTAACCAGCATCATGCCTAATTATAGTCTCTCCTAATATTGTTTGCCCGCACAACAGCTATTCTCTGTTAGATACTAGTTGTTAGTCGGAGTAAGTTAGGCCGCCGCCTAGTCGCTTAGCGTTCATATCCTTAGGGGGAACTCGGTAAATGGGATCCCACAAAACCTCCTGGCACTGTTCTAGTTTTAGATCCAAAAATAAAATTTCCATCGCAACACATTAATTAATGTAAACCCTAGGTACTTTAGTTCTTAGCTTTAGACTTTTGCCAAACTACAATAAAAGTAATTATTGTAAATAGTAAAGAAACTGGACACGTGTTTATTTTATATTTTAAGTACTTAAGTAGGTAAGTAAAGCCATTAGCGTTGACATATTTACCTTGTTTAAAAATAACTTTTGAGAAACTCCCTAAAAACATAACAGCTGATAACCTTGATTGTTGTTCCACCTTCACCACCTCTCCCCCTCCTATCACATATTTATCTCCTCAGACAACATATAAACACATCGTAAAATATTGGCAAAAAATAAATAAACAAATCCGGTCTAACCGAAAGTAGCCAGAATGGTGGGAAAAGCGGGATGGGATAACACGTGGCCGCAAAACTAATAAATATTCATCAACAACACAAAAACGAACTGATTAGAATCAGGGGGAGCGCGGACTACTCTCTATTTCTCTCTCACATATGGCAAACAAATTAGAATACAAAGCAAACAAAGCGAATGGGGCCAAAGTCAGACGATTGACTATATGTACCAACTATTACTGTATACACCAGATGAAACGAAACACTACACTCCCTTCCTATCGCTTTTTTACCCCCATCAGCTAGAATCTGCTCCACCTATGAATGTACATATGCCGATGACATGCAATCGTGTGGCCACAACTATGGGGCGTTGGAAGACAAAAATAAAAACAAAACAAGAGATTGAAACTATTTTGGAAATACCCTACGACATATGTTAAATATTTAGTTTATATTCTAACCTAAATAAGCATAAGCAAGCTCTAACTTAGCCTCTAACTTAATGAAGCATTAAAAATTAAAGACTTTAAGTTATACTTTTTTATAAAGAGATTATAAGACATTTTTAATATATAATCTTTCTAATAGTTCAATAATCTAATTCCCCTCCATTTACTATATATCCATTTTGATAACGCAATAAACCCTTCCCCATTCTAGGGTATTCATAAGAAAACAACCCTATCCAATCTTATCAGTGAAAATGGTCGCCAAATAGCAGCTAATACTCCCAGCACGCGCATTTGACCTAATTTCAAGATAATAGATTGTTTATAAACACTGAACGCTAAAAGCAAGCAAACACCTGTAACCCAAAATTGAGTTGAACAAACTTGGGGATAAATTTGGGTACCGAAAGTGCTCTAGAGTTGGCGTAAATTAACAAAATGCGTTTCAAAAATACGGAAAACAGGAAAAATCAACAAAAAAGTATAAGGAAAGCCAAATAAAGCAGACATAATGTAGAGTATCTTTGGTTAGGGATACACAATTTGTTCATCTAACTTATAAATTTATTAAAACCGTTTTGGTAATAGAAAAGAAATTCCAGACTAGAGATTTACATTACGGAATAAACCATTAATAACCACTAATTTTACTTTTCCAAGAACTGTAAAAGTTTTTCTGGCCAATTAACCTGGTTGTAAATAACTTTAATAATTATAAACTTTGTTCCCTGAGCTGTCAGTTGAAGTATAAACAGCCATGAGTAGCAGCCATTCGGCGCAAATCGCTTTTACCAATTCTATTCTCACTTTATTTTTGTTTACGAATTCATTTCGCAACTTCCGCAATTAATGGCGTAGCAATTTGGTCAAGAGAAGGAGGTCTAAAGCAGGCGGTAGGTGGGTGGTAATATTGGGGAATTGGGGGAATGACGTGAAACTGACCGACGACGTGCACTTCGGTTTGCAATTGCTATACGATACCATTTCAAACTGACTCACACACGTTTTAGCCATAAAAGCATTAAATATTTATGAATTTCTCGCTTCGCTATGCTTTTAGTTTAAATGCCAAACTCACCTCCATGACCAGACTGACGCAATCCGGTGACTCCTTGCAGTCCAACAAAGCCACCACATTCTCATGGTGGAGTTCGGTGAGCTCCTTCAGGATCTTGATCTCCTTGCCCAGCAGATTCTGCGTCTTCAGCTGTCCCTTCTTCGTGATGCACTTAATGGCCACCGGCATGTGTTTCTATAAGAGAGAGAGAAGGAGGGAATGCATTTCATTAATATTTGATCAAGGGTTACTCACTTCAAAGTCATTGAACACGGCTAACCCAATTACAAACCAAAGTCACCGCAATGACTCAATTTATTCGGATGGGAATTTAATTGACACAAAACTGGGCAAAAAACAAAAAACACTGAATGGATTAGCATTTTCCATTTTGAATTTGTTTTGATATCGACCACAAAGGAATATTATTGAGATGATAAAAACATTTTGATTAACAAAAGAATAACAAATATTGCTCGATCAGTTACTTTGGAACCAATTAAAGACTTTTTCTTGATATTTTGAGTTTTAAATATAATTTTAAAATTATTATTTGCATTAAACCATCTTCAATATATTTCTTAATAAAATCGTGAGTCGTGGGTACCTAGGCCCTAGCTGGCTATATTGAGAATCGCATAGAAGGGCGTTCAAATATTTGGTACATCCTACAACATCCTACATAAAGACAGTATAATTCATATACATACACTTAAGTTATATTCTTTTTTTAGAACTTAGTTTTTTGACCTCTTTCTTTGTGAGAATCACAGACTTCCCAAGAAGTTCCTCTACTTTAATCTAAAACCCAAAGTCTTTGCCAACAGCTGCTGCCATAAATTTGCCTACAAAATGTTTACATTCTCCTTGGGCAAATGTCTTTGGCTTGCTTCACAATTAGCACGCACTAAAAACAGGAAAGGAAATGCGGAAAAATGCAAATCCCCTTGCACTAAGACCAACACGTTGGAGGGTCTCGCTCGGTTAAATGTTATTATTAGATACGCAAAAACGCATTCAACCGGCGGGCAGGCAAAACGGAGGTGGGGCACAAGGGTCCATAATTGCAGTGAATAAGATTGTTTACTCAAGCGCTCGAGTGACGAACTTGGCCGGGACTTGCAAGCCAAGAGAGTGCTAGCTAACGGGGCTGGACTGAGTCGCGTTAACCGGTTGAATCGCCTCACTGATAAGGCCGACATCGTTAACTGCACCTCCTGGTACTCCCACCGCACGCCTTTCGATTTCCCCTTGAAGGTGGTCACCACCTTATTTGCTTTCAACTTAGCCAGGTGACAATGACTCTTTGTCTGTGTTTGCCTTTTTCCGTCGTCTGCCCCTGGCTAAAACTCAAAACAAAAGACGAAAGTGTAAATTTGAACAAGTTTGCCTACTACAAGGAAGCACACTTTGGATAGTGGTTAGTCTTGTTGAGAAGTATAGACTGGGATTTATCCTATCCCTATCTTGAGTTATAAGAAGCTCGTTTTGAGAAAATTATGATGCCATAAACAGCTTTTAATTGGCCATAAGTTGGGCTGTCAATTTGGGTTGATAATTATGAAATTTTCAGGTTCTGACTAATTTTCTGATGAGTTGGTTTTTAATAGTCTATAATTAGGGAGTAATAAGTTTATCGTTTTATCAGCAAGTATATTTATCTATCTATTAATTCCAAAAATATACATTTCATACCCTCACTGGGCATACCCTCCCAACTTACAACTACTAGGTATACCCATAACCAGACATTCTATAGGTTTCCCCTTATCGAATATCGAATCACCTTACGCGACGTTCACGTGTTGTTTGAATGGAAATCGAATGATAATCGATATGTTCCCCCCACGAGGCATCCCATAATCTTTCACAGTGCATTCGCCAGATGTATTTTTATAAAATCCACACTCTTATTTGTTTCTGTTTGGTAAATTGCAATGAATCAAGCAATTCTTACAGCTACTGACTGATAATAAGGCTCCTGCACTTTTGTTTGTTTGAGACAATCTTGAAACGAGTTCAACTTGCATCTGGTTGCCAAGCATCTGCTCGTGTTTAATGGGGTTTGACCTGTGACTTTCTTAAGATTACAGATGGAAATTGGACCAGGTCTGTGAGAAATGATTAAGTTGTTAACAGATTAAAGAATATGGTGGTCAGAGGAGTTTAGGTAGATATCTTATGAACAACTTTAATCATATAGAAACCCTTTTATTTTTCTTTCTTTTAAAATAAACAACTCCACGATCATTCACTAATCGAAACCAAATAAACCTCAATGAAATCCGATTTACATACACATTAAATTTGGAACTTTACGTCACTGCATTAAATTCTGTTTACCTTCTAGTCAAAGATAATAAAACCGCCAGAGATTAGATTACTTATAAAAACAATTGCGGACATCGTCGTGCAACGGAAACCGAGCAGTTCTTGACCCAATCACCTCAATCATCCAAGCGCAGGCGAAAACTGTGTCAAAAGCGAATGGGAAAGTTGCCCCAAACACACACACCTGGCCTGAAGAAAATGGAAAATTACAGACAAGACCTCTGATCCCAGAAATATCTGCAGGTCTTCAAGTCATTGGGTGCAGCAACTAAGCTGGATATTTCATCAAGACCCACAGCCAAAAATAGGTTCAACGAACTAGGGAGGCTCGATAAGGCTGGGCAAATTGGTTGTTTTGCTGGGGGGTTTTAGGTGCAATGGCCCCTCAACTAACAACAAGAAAGGAAAACATTTCTTTTGGCCAAAAATAGCTGGCGAAAAAGATAATAATTGCGCAGAAAATGCGAGAAAGAGTGAAGCCAGAGACAAAAGCAGAGATGAAGAAACAAAAAAAAGTGCAACACATCATAGGCATAGGCTAGGCCAAAAGTATCTGATGGATACAAACAACTTCAACTGGTTTGGCGGGTGAAAATGTATATGCTCATTTGCCATAAACTTGGCAAATACAAATCGCGGAAATTCTCGAATATTTTTGCGACGCAAAACTTTTATTTCAATACCGCATAGTTCACACCCGATCGGATCACAAGTCAGCCGGCTAATTTATATAGAATACTACCGATCTGGAGCTGAACAAGACAAACTAGTTTCTATGCGAGTAATAATATTTATATGCTGGAAGATGTCTGGCGGGATTTACGAAATAATTAAAGCGTTCATTTCGATTGGTTTTGCTCTGCACGTGTTTAGCGTTCAGCCTGTTGCTCCCACCGTCTCGAATTGGAAAGGTGATTTCGATTTAATAGATTGGGTTTCTTTTTTCGTATTCGTTGTCTAACATTAGACTTCCGTTTATTTAAATTGTGATTAAAATAGGTTTTTATTTTTATTTATTAACAAAACAAACCTGAAGAAACCTAACCTAAGAGAGTTTCGTAAATGACTTCTTATCAAGGGGGAAAATGTAATCAAATTTCAAAGAAACAATTTACACGTTTTCCCCTTGACACCCATCTCGTTTTCCTAATCATTTTTATAAGGGGCCTGCCCAGAAAGTTCATTATAAAACCTTTTTAAGCCCTATAACTATAGTATTTCAAAGTCTAATCGATTAAAAGGGATCCCTATCAATCTTTATAGGTTACAACTTTGTCAAGACGCATTTTCCCAACCAAAGGCACCGCAACAAAATCAAATGCAAATTGTCATTGTATTTTAACTATTAACAAACCAAACATATGAATATGCACATTGCGCAATGTTAGAAAGGGGAGGGTTGTCGGAATAACAATAAACATTACACATTTAGAACGTAATTTTTGCATGATTCCAAACGACGACCGACTGGCTTATGCAATTGGCGATAAAACGGAGCGTTTGGATTCGGTGAAATATGGAAACACGTGTCGTCTGGCTTTCCACATGCCAGCGTACATATCCGCCAGATAAAGATTGATGGGATTCATTCATAGCGAAAAACTGAAGTAAAACTACCAGACGGTACTTAGTACCGTGACATTTATTTTTGGATTCCAAAGCAGATGCCTAGGCAGATCCTCTGAAGAGGATTTCCTTTTCTATCCGCAAGTACAAGTATCTGTTGGGTGTGTATCTTTCGTCGCTGCACATGTTTCATTCTATTTTTAGCCAATGCACCGAGCACGTGCAGGCAAAAGATACTCTTTTGGAGACACAAATGTCAGGCACTCAGCAATGCCTTGTCCTTCGGGCTGCTTAAGTAACCCAAGTGATTACGACCACGTTAAGTCATGGATAGAAATCGAAAAAATTGTTGGACCACGAAACCAGTTACTAGAAATGGCCATAAAAGGAAAGACGCGGGAAGTGAACTGAGCTCAACTTAACTCACATTCCAACTGTCGTCAAAGTGCGCTCAAGTGTGTGGAATCGTTATAAAATTTGTATGTACATATTCATAAATGTTTTTAAAACACAAAATGGTAGTTAAATTGTCTACAAATTTGATTACACGACAACCATGAAGGATATTTCTTAGATGTTTATTGAAGAAAATATAATAATATTGATTTAAATTAGAAAAAAATGTTCTAAAAAGAAAGAGTATATCTTTTTCAAAGCTAGTTAATGTAAACTAAAAACTAAACAAAAAATAATTACAATTTAGGTTTTTTTAAAATTCAAAAAACAGTTCATCAAGTATTTAGTATATAAAAACAGATAAAATTTCTTGTTTTTAAATAAAGAATTCATGGCGACAAAAGAAATTAGTCATACATACTTCAAAAAGTGATTTCAGAGTAATTAAAACAAAGAAAAGCAGAAGATCCACCAAAAACTGGATTTGTAATGCAAAAAATTTATAAAAATTTAAAGAAAAAAATTTACAATCTCTAGATTGTTCTTTAAAAATAAAATACATTTAATAATAAAAAATATAACTTTAAAAAAGCAATTGTTCAAAAGACTCCCACTATTTACTCAAAAAACAAACTAAATTTAAAATTCCAAACATTTACAGATCACTTAGGTATTTCAATTAAATGATTAACGATCAGTAAAACATGAAAGAAAGGCGAAAAGGTCTTAAGCAAAAGGGAGAAAGAGAAGTCATTAACGACAAATCCAAATAGACAGAAAGAGAGGGTCTTACATCATTAAAAAGAGACGCGACGAATGTCTGGTTTACGTGTGAACCGATTGTGCCATTGTTATTGCCACTGCTTTTGTAGTTGTTGTTGTTGTTGTTGTCACACTGCATTTGTAATTAATAATGTGATTTCATTTACTGACGCGACGAACTTGAGCAATTTAGAAAAACACAACAACAACCAAATGATGATGATAAGAGCATTTGTTTCTTCTTTGCCTTGTTGCACTAACAAAAACAAGACCGACTGGCAAGAAAAATAATACAAAAACTCACATTGTTTGGCATAATCATATGGACAAGCAAGTATTATATATATATCAATATATATATCTTGTTTTAAGAGAAAAACACACATATGGTGTGTAGGTGCGTGTCTTTAATGGATACAGAAATCAGCTGATGCAATAACTGGCAGCTGTTTCATAAAACTTTTCACTTCAAGCTTTTCACTTTGCGTGTTTTCGTTTGTTTTAGATTTGTTTTCCTTATTTTATACCAAACAAAATCGAAACAAAATACAGTCATTCATAGCCAACAACAATTTAGCTTCGTTTTGACTATCTATTTATACAAATTTTTGTTTATTTATCGACGCAAATTTGATAAAAGTTGCTTGACCTGCAGCATGTTTTTTAGTCTAACTGGTTAAGCTGGTGGCTATTAAAACAGCCTATTATGGCGGTTAATAAATAATTTATTTACTACATCAAAAGGTACTAATTTTATTGCTTGTTTTCAAGGTGCACTTAAAGCGTTTCTTTACTTTTAAAAGACAATTAAGTTGCAGTGACTAATAAAAACACATTTTTAACCAACCATCAACTTGTTTACTTTGTAATCCCTTTGGAATTACTCCACCCTTTTGATACCCGAAACGCGCCATTATTTCTTAGATGACCCTGAAATAGTTCAACACACTTCTAACGCGCACATATTGTATATTTATCATACGCAGTGGTGTTTACGTATTTTATTTGTATGGCAAAAAAGAAATCGCACGTGCGTGTGGCTCCCAAATTTTGCTTAGAAAAACAGAGAGGGTTTCCAGAGGCAGTAATAGAAAATAAACAAAAGCAAAACGCAAATTTGAAAGAAAACAAAAAAAATGGAGCCATGCCTGAGGCCTCCAACAAAAGGGCTGTGATTTCGGTTAGCAGTTTTATTGGGATCGGTACAGTGGGTCGAAACTCATTAAAGTTTGTAATTTTTGGAAATTTAATATTTTGTTTCCCTTTTTAAAATATTTTCCGAATAACAAGTCATAAAAACTGCTTACAAAATGCAGGTAAACATTTTTTGAAGAATTTTGAATTTCAATTAAATTTTTCTACCTGTACAGATATAGTTTTTTCGCAAGAAATAAGTAATATAAATATATATTTATATTTTAGAACTGTTTACTCACTTTCGGCCAGTCTAAATCTGTTGCTCATTGCATTTATTTACCACCATTTATATATTTTTCAGCTGCACTGTAATCAGCTGATTTTTCGTTATTTTCGCGACATTTGGCGAGAGGCTTAGGCTCTTTGCGTTTTCTGCGTGTTTACCTTTGACAATGGCGCATTTTAATAGCTTTGGGGCTTGTTATTGTATTATTTACAAATGCGACCAAGCCCCACATTGAATTGAAAACAATAACAACGAATAAGTCGGGGAAAACAGGTTAATAACATGACGGAATTGTTGTTTAGGGTTTTGATATATATAAATATGTACATATATACGATTTAAGAGTTTCTCTTCTTACCTTGCGATGACGTCCTTTGTAGACGACGGCAAAGGCGCCGTGGCCCAACATATCCTTGGAGCTATATTCATATTCCCCGACAATATTCATTGCATGCGAAAAAGGAGGAGGATGCGACGCCTGGAAGTGCTTCTCTCTTTCTCCCTCTCTCTCTCTCTCACGCTTACACCCCCTCGCTCTTTCTCTCGCACACACTTGCTCTCTTCTTCTCTGCTTTGCTTTGCTTTGCTTCCAATTGCAATTGTGGAAAATGGAAAATCAATTTCTTTCCTTTTGAGCCAGCCACTAAAAGGTGATTCTGTGGCCTTTGACGATCCTCGGAACTTTCACGTAACACCTCTGGTGATTTTCCTGTCCACCTGACCAGTTGACAATTATCGGGCACTCACTCTAATTTCACTTGTAATTGAATTAAACTGTTCTTTTCCGTGTGTGATTGTGTCGGTTTTCAGTGTGGTATTGCTTTTAATTTGCGGCCCCACACTCACATACACACGCGACAGGATTGGATGGTACACACTCATACACTACGCGCACACACACACACACACCGACGATCTGTACAATTTCCTTTTTGTTTTTAAAAAATTTAGCTTTTTGGTCCCAGCGAAAAACTTTGCAAAAATGATTTTTCCAACTACTTCGCGAGAGAGAGACTAGTGGAAAAAGGCAAGACGAAAACACAACTAAGCAAAGTGGTGGTGGTGGGTTGGCCAGTGTGGCTGCAGGTGGCGCCAAACAATACCTCACACCCCCACAAAAAAATACTAGAATATAAGTTTGGTGGCTATAAAAATACCATCGCTAGTTTCTATTAACATTTACATTGTATAAACAAATTATTTAAAGCAGTTTCTACGTCGATTATACATATATTCAATGTAAATGAAATGTGATATAGTCATTTAAATATTGACTGAATATGAAATAAATTTTAATTTAAATTTAATTTTTAAAAACTGTGCGGCGGCAACAACTTAAGCTGTTTCCTTCATATGTATTAAGTCTGAATAATTTTTGGACGACTATCGATAAGTGTTGTTTTCAATAGATGGGATTATTTATTCATCAACAAATGGTAACACTGACAATATTCAGAGTGAAAAGAAGAGCAAAAAAACAAGGAACTTTTGACAAATATTAAAAGCCCTGGTAAAAATTGTAAACCGCTTCTCGTAGGGCGTAACAGTGCCCCTAAAAAGCATAAAAGGCAAGTTAATATGAAAACATGTAAATGCTACAGTTAATTTCTTGTTTTTCGTGTGTGCGTATGCTGCGAAGAATAGATACATAAGTGATAAGAAGAGAAAGAGTGGGAGAAGAAGAGAACATGTAAAACGTGGAACGGGAGACTTATTCCAAATTTGTTGTGTGTTGCAGGAATCGCAAAACTAAGCTAAAACAATGAGTGCGTCGAGTGAAGGCGGCGCGGGAGGAGGTCCGGTGGGCGGCGGAAGTACAGCTACAGCGCCATCAGGTAAGTTCACCGATATCCAAGTGGAATATTTATATTTATATACATGCATGTATATACGTATGAGCAGTGTGCCCTTGTATGCGTGTGTATACATAACATTTGTGCACCTCTCTTTTGCTCTCGCATACGCGCACTGTTTGTTTCCCATTCTTCTGTGTGCCTCACTTTCGCAGCAAAAGCTGTTCTCTTCTCTTTGTGCGTCTGTGTGTATGTGTTTGTTTTGTTGTTACTGTGCATTCGTGGCAGAGTTGCCAAAAGCTGTGAAATTGTCCTTAATATGTTGGAGCTTAAAAGTAATGACTTTTTAAAGAGTTCGACTAAAGCAATGATTTTTGGTTGATGTTTGTATATGTACATATATAAATTAAATAATAATTTATATAAATACATTAATTGAAGTGTTTTTTAGTAAACCAGACTCATAAATCATTGTCGAAATCGGTCCATAATCCCCATGTCTGTCCATTGATTGTGTTCCATGTGGAACTTGTAACCAAAATTTCACAACAGCCACAAAATGCCACCCGCACAGCCCCTCTGAAAACAATTAAGATACGCACACAACAACTGCATCGCCATGCACTGCCATCGTTGTCAATGCTGCCATCCTTATATCCATCATCATCATCATTGGCAGCAACTGGATCTTTATCCGCCTCAGCATCTGCATCCGCATCCGCATCCCTGGTATCGCAATCACATCCGCCCCTGCAGCTGCGCGGCGTCATAAACAAGTACTCATTGCCATCCCATTTGCCATCCTCTGCAGCGCACCCGGCGGTGGCCGCCAAGATCACCCATGTGAAATCCGACGGCGGCGGTGGGATATCTATTTCGGGCACACCGATCCTTAGTGGAGGCACAATCAAAGTGGCAGCAGCCAATTCAGTTCAGCAAAGTTCCCTGGGAGGCACGCCGATTGCTTTAAATGCAGGACAGGCGACAACGGCTGCTTCGATACGGGCCATCGGAGCCGGTGGTCAGTCCACACAAGTCCGGGTGGTGATGCCCATGATTAAGCAGCTGGAGAATGTCACGGCCACAGGAAGGACTCAAATTACGGCCATACCAGCTGCTCCAGCGAGGAGTGGGGCAAATGCTTCAATAACGGTCACCAGGCCCGTAACACAAGCCACGTATCTGCCCCGAGCCAGTGTGACGGCCACTCAAATAGGAGGCGTTGGCGTTGGTGTAGGACAGCGCCTCGTGACGCCTTTGAGGGCCACATCCTCTGCTACTGTGACGCCCACTGCACCCACAGTGCTCAGCTCAACTGGTGGATTTGTTCGCGGAGCAACTGCTTCGGTGAGTAGGAGTGGAGTGGCGCTCTCATCACAACCACCATCGGCGGTGATATCGTCCAGCAATAGTGCTGCTTGGATGCAGAGTTCCACGGGACAGGTACAACTGATCCGTGCAATTCATCAGCCACGCCAAAGGATAATAACGACATCCGCGGGGGTATCTAATGCCAATGTGGTGACTACAACGCCAGTACAGGCGCCAACAGGTAAGTTAATATTTGGTTATTTTGTTAAAACAACAGTCTAATCGTACTTCTGTTTTAGCTCTATCAGTTACGGCTGGACAGACCTTGACACCACAACAGGCTGCAGGACCAGGAGGTCCTCAGGCTTATGTGGCCACTGTTTTGCCACAAAGGCAGCATCAGGCCACCCTAGTTTACTCTTCCAATGTGTCTACATCTAATGCCAGCCAGAATCCGGGCCAACAATTTAATCCACGTTTCGCTGTGGCCACGCCCACTGGTGGAGTTACAACGACGACTCCCGGTGGAACTACAGTAACACCCCGACAGATGCGACCCATCCCACTGGGCAAGAGTTTTCCAGCTGGCAAACTGAACACCACGAGCATAAGTATTAGAGCTCCAAGCATCCCTCAGCTCAATACCAGTGTTACGGCCTCACCAACGGCTGTTAGTGTATCTGGAGGAGCAACAGTGGCGCCCGGGCGGGGTCCCGGTGCTGGAGGAACTGCCCTGACGGCCACTAATCTGCCCACCACTCGGATCATTCAACTGCAACAGCCTGCAACGGGAACGACGCAGCAGATCATCGGATCGGGTGCACGTCTTGCGGGAAATGTAATGCTGCAGCCATTCTTGATGAGCACCACCGCGGCGGCTAAGATGGGTAAGTTACAATTCTTCCAAAGGACTATGAATGAAAGTGAAAGAAATCAAAGTCAAACAAGAGGAAACGCTATAGTCGAGTGCCGCGACTATAAGATACTCGTTACTGTTTTACACAATTTTAAAATATAAATTTTGCTAGTGGAAATTCACAAGGCGCCACCTATTGTCAGAGGAAGTATGTTGAGTATGCTTATAGTGACGTCACTGCCCATGTGAAGCCTTATAACCTTAATTTCTTCATAAATAGCAAAATAATGTTCCGATTTTAAAAATCTTTTGTAAGTCGATAGATATTAACAAAAATAAGTTACACAAGGTCAAACGAAGGCATTCATAATAATATTATAGACTCCACAGTTTTCCGCGGTTTGTGGGCGTTAGAGTGGGCGTGGCCGGATGCAACTTCGTGGCAAGTTGCAGAGGCATCTCCTAAATACGTGTTCCTCAGCAAAATTGTGTAGCTTTTATAGTTTTCGAGATTTTTGCATTTTTGGTTTTTCGGGTTTTGTGGGCGTTCGAGTGGGCGTGGCGTGATTGGAAAAAAACAATTGGCATTGGGAGCATTATAGAAACATACATGCTTGATCCGAACTTTCTATCTCTTATAGTTACCGAGATATCAGCTTTTCTAGAAAATCCGAAAACCGTCTTTTGAGCCTTGTGGGCGTATGGGTGGGTGTGGCCGGATAGTAGTACCACTATAAGATGCGCTGCCATCTAAAGATTATACTTTTTGAATTTCAACTTACTAACTGCAATAGTTCCTGAGATTTCAGCAATTTTAGTTTTTTGCGATTTGTGGGCGTTAGAGTGGGCGTGGCAGGATGCTGTAATAAACTTGCGCTGTCCCGGGACCTCAAGAATCTTCATGCTTAATCTCAGCTTTGTATCTGCTATAGTTCCTGAGATCTCAGCGTTCATACGGACGGACGGACGGACGGACGGACAGACGGACATGGCTCAATCGACTTCGCTATTGATCCTGATCAAGAATATATATACTTTATAGGGTCGCAAAAGCTTCCTTCTATCTGTTACATACTTTTCAACGAATCTAGTATACCCTTTTACTCTACGAGTAACGGGTATAAAAACGACAGCAGGATGGATCCCTTGATATGTTAATAACATTGTAGTGTTGAAAAACAAAGGATAATATTACAACACTGTTGATATGTAAATGTACAGACTATCGATTTACGATTTCTAACTAGAAAGCACAGTGTCATTTTAAGTCAACTGACAACCAACAACAATTTATTTCGTCACCTTTAATATGTCTATCTATATCAACGAGATGGTCGCACAAGCTGATATCGGACCGGGCACAGGACCCAAAGAAGACTACCAGTCTAACATATTTATTTTTCCCAGAAAGCGAAAGAATCAAAACAATAGTTCTCAGCCGAGAAAATATCAGTGCATGGAATATTTTGTCAACCGATTAATAGCAAACGGAGCTCCTACAGACGCCATTTTCATTAAAACCATGACAGAGCAAAAATATGATAATCAATCAAAAGGTTTCATGCCGATGTCCATATATAAGACACCTGTTTTTATTAAGCATCAGGCACGAGCCTGTAGAACACTTTTCAATGCCAACAATTCTGGATCACAGACCCAAGGGGAAAAAAGTTTACTTGCTCTGGAGCGGCGCCAGATAGAGCGTAAGCGGTACGCGGATCTTGTCCAAAGTCATTGTAACATCTCAATGCTACACGCCGAGATAAAGCCACTTCCACAGCAGCGCTCCAAGGTTGAAGTCATTAGCCAGAGCCTTAATCCTATCCAGAATAACGAAGTAGCGAATAAAGAGAATACCATAGAGGAGGACATTTTTCTTATTCGGCAAAAACTAAACTTTCTCTGCCAACTTTTTCTGAAATGCCCCGAAGTCGAGACTCCACAAAAGCAAATGAACAGCCAGGATAACAGTCAGGTCAAGAAGAACGTAGAGAATCACATCGAGTTGCCTAAGCCCGAGGTGGATACACCAATCTTTTTTAGTCTATCAAAAAGCTGCAAATTTTTGAAGATCAACTATGTCGAGCAATTCAAGCAGAAGGCTGAAAAAAAACTAAAGGTTTACAGAGAAGACTTGGAACACGCAAAACGCAGGGCTGACAAAGCTCATGCTAAACGCATCGCTTTCGAGAAGGTCCACTTTAACCGTCCTATAGCCAAGCCCATCGTCATGATCATCGAGGATGCTCTTCAGTCTGTTGAAAAAGAAAAAAGTGAATTCATACCTTTCACTGAAGAGCATCTTGATCTGTTATGTCGGTTAGATGACGGTTCTCCAGAGGATGTTATGGTTTCAAAGTTCAATTTAAATGTCCATCGCAGCGAAATTAAAATTTTAGTTAGTGGCGCCTGGTTTAACGACATAATAATTAACTTCTACATGGAGCTATTGACCGAGCGTTCGGAGAAACGTTTTTACCAGCTGCCTAGTGTGTATGGCATGAACACTTTCTTTATGCCACGCCTTCTGCAGTGTGGATACAATAGCGTAAAACGCTGGACAAAGAAGGTTGATCTTTTTAGCAAGGATCTCATATTGGTGCCTGTCCATAATAGAGGTTCTCACTGGTGCATGGCCATAATCGATATGCGTAAGAAGACAATCCTGTATTACGATTCCCTTCTCGAGTGTAATAAAAGAGTTCTGGACGCATTGGAACAATACCTCCGGCTAGAGTCGTTGGATAAACACAATAAGGCCTTTGACACCAGCAAATTTCGCATTGAGAAAGCCAAAAACGTGCCACGACAGACTAACTCCGACGACTGCGGCGTTTACAGCTGTATGTTTGCTGAATACTTATCACGAGATGCTTGGATTACCTTCTCTCAGGCAAACATGATATATTTTCGCAAAAAGATGGCCCTAGAGATTCTCGGCTGTGAGTTGTGGCAGTAGGCGTTCCTCTCAAACTTTGCTAAAAAGAAGAAAGCTTTTATGTAAAAGATATGTTTATAATAAAGGCTAGCCCATGGTGGATTCCACTTGCTGTCGTTTAACATAAACTTTTTTAACTTGATTTCTTATTTCATAATCTCTTATTTATTATCATATAAACTGAAAATCTTATTTTTTACTAACCTGTAGGCATTCGACCACCGGTCACAATGACCGCCAAAGCACAGCCATCGTTAACTATAACTCAGCTAAATCCCATTGGAAAATTGTCCACCGCCGGAGGAACCACAGGACCCACAATGACACCACAGGGTGTGGCCAGCATTCAGGCGGTACCAGTACCGAATGTCTCGGCCAGTGTGGTCAATCCAAGTTCAGTAGCGGGTGCAACATCAGCGGCCGGAGGAGCTACTGTTCTACCATTAACCATTAGTGGTAGAGGAGCAGGAGTGGGACCCGGTGGTAATATCCTTACTGGAACTCTAACGCCCATTAAGAATGCAAGTGGTATAACCTTGGGCAAAATGATGATGACTCCAGCCTCAGCCGCGCCCGGAGCAGACGGCTCCGGCACTAGTGGACCAACAGTGACAGGCTTCCAACGCGCATGGAATCCAGTGGTGGCTTCACAGAGCCAGTTGATGAAGGTTGGTTTTATTTAAGACGTGTAAAGTATTTTGTATCATTTGATTCTATATTCACAGATCGATGAGAAGGGAAGTGCTGCCACGATTTACTACGACTCCATGCCGGCCTCCGCCTCTACGGGCGTTCTGTCATTGACCACGACAACTGTGACGCAGAGCACCCAAGCGCAGGCACAATTGGTTAGCAGCGCCGGTGGTACTAGTTTGTCTGTGTCTTCGTTGCCTTTTGCCAGCCATGCGCCAACTGGAGCAGCTGGAGCCGGTTCGCAGGCTACATTCACTGTTTTGCCCTCGGGTGCTGCAGGAACGACAACACGGACCATTGGCCACCATCAATTGATAATACCAGCAGGACCCAACAGTGCACCCCCGCAGCACATGGTTATACCATTGCATACATCAGTGAAGGTAACAACAGGCGCAGGGAATCCGCAGCAAGCGGCAGGAAGTGCAGCACTGGTGTCCAACTTTATGCGCAAGCGGGATGCGGATGGTTCTCCTATCCGTGCGGCCAAAAATTTGGGACCCACCTTACTGTCAATGGCTAGCAATACCAGTGGTCAAAATATGCCTCCAGCTCCGGGCACTACTTTTAATATTCAGCCTGTGTCCGTGTCGGTGCCTCCATCTGTTAGCTCCGGACTGACTGTAGAAGCGTTGGCCAAGAAAGAACGAGAGCGTATCGCCCATGTGGTAGGAAGTAATGCATCTAGCGTGCCTGCCTCAATAGGTCCTATTTCCACAACGAGAAATTCGCGGGCGGACTCGCCAGCTTCGTCGGACGGCTCAACGACGGTGTCGGCAAATTCCTCACCTGGTGTGGATCAGCAATTGCAGGATAGGATCGGTGATCCGCCATCCACAGGAGGGCCTGGTGGACGTGATAATTCTACGCATTTTAATCCTATCAACGAGGTGTGTTCCAAAAACATTCACTAAAATATAGCTGACTATATAATTGTTTTATCACAGTTGTACTCTTCGCACCAATCGATGCAACAGAACACTGGCCACTCCTCACTTGGAGCCCGCAGTGGGTCCAGTGCCTTTGTGGACGTGCAAACGCCGACGCCACAGCAACAGCAACCTCATCAGCAACCGCCTCATTTGGTGGGATCAACGCAACTGCAGACGGGAGCTCGTATGAATGGCACTGGTAATAGCTCAAGCTCCAGCTACGATTGCTCCTCTAGGAAAAAGCCACGTCGATCAACGTGAGTTAATTGATTTCAAATATTATATGGAATTAAATAATTTATAAATGTATACCCCAGCAATGACAGCCAGCAATCCACGCAGAGTCAGGCATCTTTATCGCTACCTCCTCCTAGTGCAGAACCAACGCCGCCGGCTGGCGCATCCTACATACAGAAACACAACAATGGAGGTCTACTGGTGACAGCGGCGGCTCCGGGAGTTGCCCCAAATAGTGTGCCGGGTGACGCCAGCCATCGGAACAACAGTACACCTGCTGTGGCAGGCAACAAGGAAAACGCAAATCCTGTGGACTTCGTAATCCGTCGTTTACGCAATTGTGCGTTGCTTAATGTGAGTTGAATAGTGATTTTACTTCAGGAGAGATTTATATTTTTTCTACTTTACAGACCTATAAACCCACGCATAAGTTGGCCAATAACCATTTCCATCGGTATACGGATGTGAAGCCAAGGGAAGAGCGTCGGGCCACAGTTATTGATTTAGCCAATCAGCCAAATGTCCAGGGAAAAATTAATGGATGGAAAATATATCATTTGCGCTCTCAAATGGAGGACTTGGTAAGAAATATAGATGTAATTGTTTGTGATGTTTTTTCTAAACTGTCCTTTTACAGAATGAATCCGAGATTGTAAGTATGGGCAGGCTGGAGACCATGCTGCAAGATCTTGAGAAGGACAAGGAAAAGAACAGTGAAATGGAGCGCGTCACTGAGTTGTTAAAGGTGAGACTTTACAGCATTTCATATATGAATTCTGAATTAACGAACTTATTTTGCAGGGCAATATTCAGCGTAGCAAGATAATTACCGATGGCATTAACGAGGCGCAGAATCAGTTAATGAAGATCTTTGAGCACAAGCCACACGTCTCGGACATAATTACACGATGTGCTTCTAAGCGAAATTTTAAGAAGCGTGAAAAGATTTAAAATTTGTTGACAGAAGCCCAGCCAAGTGTATTGATAAAGTGTACATTTTCTAGTTTAAGAAATCAGAATAGATTTAAGCTTATTGTACCCTAAACGCGATCGATTTGTAAGACGTAAATTTACGATGAAAACCAGCAATATTTTTTCATTTTCGTAAGCCAGAAACAAAAATACAAAGAACATAAGTTGTATTAAGTAAAAATTATTTATTATTTGAAGTGTTATGGGTATGTTTATGTAGACTTTCATAGTGTAGTGATTACCTTGACTTTGGTGTATCACAATAACGACTCCGAAGGATACCAAAAAACACACCTGTCAGATAGGTTGATTTTTTTAGATGGGTGGCGGTGGAGGCACACCATTAAACATTGGATGCATGGCGGGACGTGGAGGTCCCGGCATTGGAAAACCACCAGGTGGTCCAAGCGCCCTATGTAGATTCGGCGGTGGTGGCGGCATGATCTTAGGCTCGAACTTAAATGCGAACTGCAGGAAGAACTGCTTGGTATCCCGGTTCCAATGCGTCCAAAACTTTCCCTCGCTTTTCTCGACTTCTCGGGAGGGCACCTTAAATCCAATGGTTTCGTATGGCTCAGCCGCGAAGAGAAGGTACTGCCATTTACGGTCTGGTGGCTCTATCTTCTGTTCGTAGGCGGACATGAAGCGATGACGAGGAACGATGGCCTCCGTGATTTCTGGATAGTCAATTTGGAAGAGCAACGACTGCTGGCCGTTACTAAGTTCGCGCTGCTTGGTCACCCGGTATCCGGGTCGTCCGATCTTGACGAACTTCTTCGGTTCCACGCGGGGCTTTTCGGGTGCCAGCAGTGATGAAGGCGCTTCCTTGGCCTCCTTGGCAGCTCTTCTGGCCAGATTTTCCTGATGCTTCTTACCCTGCGTGTGAGCCAAATAGCTGCCCTCGTTGTTGTGCAGCGTAAGACACAATTTGCACTCGTATGATCCCAGATGGTTCTTCATAAAATAGGGATCTTTGTTCAGATCGATGGTCTCCAGGGCCAGTTGACGCAGTCGCTCCTTGCGGTCACGGTTTGTCTCCGACCAGGAGGCAACGCCTCCGCTGCCGGTCTTGCCGCCGGCGCGGTTCTGAAAGTCCATTGCTTGTGCTTTCTTTTATTTTTAATCCGTAAGAAGTAAAAACGTTTTCGCCTTGGTAAAAATCTCCCGGAAAAATGTTGTTAGTGGTGTACACTGTACAAGATAGGGTTGTTAGACAATTTTTGACTAGTGGTGAGTTAAACGATAGTTCATGCCACGGATTAAATATAAAAATATAAATGTTTTACTTCCGCTTGCTTTATTTAAGCTGAAATAATTTAATTTCGTCGATTTCAGATTTAATAGATACTATATTTTATTAAAATGTGTATTAAATATAATTATATTAATTTATAAAACGGCATAAAAAAACACGATATATTTTAGTATATTTTTAAAATTCTTTTGGTATATTTCGCAAAACAGATGTGGTAACTCTATTCATTCGAGTTGCACATGCTTGGTCTTTCAATATTTTAAAATGAGAAAAATGTATAGACTATAGTCAGAAATAATGTAGAAATAGTGTTTGTGAATAATATTTCTCCGCGATTAGCAAGATTTGACAATTTTTCAAAGTTTTGACTAATGCCGGAAAGAAGTTTAAGGAATCAAACGTAAGGCGTGCAAGCAAGAAAATAGTGAAACAGTTCCGATTTGTGTCGTCACATTCATAAAATAGCTATTGCAGTCTTGCCGAAATTTATATTCATTCGCTGATATGGATGACTCCAGGAGGCAGGTGGTCATGGGTCCTCCGGCGGCAGTGACTCCCACCATACACCCAATTCCCGGTAACCCCAATATTGCCTCTCCTTCGCAAAACACAAAAAGTGCAGCTCCGCCCAAGCGGATAATTAAGAAGGTTCAGTTGGACTTTAACAAGCTAAAAGAAGCTGGACTCGATAGGCAACTGGCCGAAGTTCTTAGGAAGCAAAAATTCGCAGCCAAAAAAGTGGAAACCCCGTCATCCAGCAATGTTACACCCCCAGCTACCGCGCAGCCAACGTCGACTGCGGCAGAGAGCAAATTGCAGCCGTCGCAACAACAATTGCATCAGCCTGGTAAAAAAGCTTTTTCTTTTAATATAAATTACAAATTATATTTTTTAAAGTTATTGGCATTATTAAAAACCGTTACATATTTGGGGTTTTTGGCAAATATTTTTGAAATCATCTAAATGTTTGTACGAGTTTGGGACATTGGGTTGAGAATCAAAGCGATGGCGCAGCTGATTAAGGTGACGGCATGTACTGAAAGAGTTAGTTTTTTCGGGGTTTCTTTTCGAGTTCGTCCCACGTTAAAAGCTTTATTTTTTCACGTTCAATTATTTTATTTTATTATAAATTTAAGAAATATATAAATGTAATAATTATATCTATAGAATAAGGGTACAAATAAAATACCATCATTGAGCGAGGAAAGGAAAATGTCTTATACTAGTTTGAAAATACCAGCTTTGATCAGCTTTTAAGGTTAACTATGTATGCTAGTCACGGATTATATTTCGTTTAGAAAAGTTGAGATTACATAATAATATTTTTGGTAAGACTCGGCTTGGATTTATTTTATTTTATATATTTTCTAAATAAAATCTGAAAGTTAAATTAAAATTTAAAATCTTTAATTTAAGCCTTATCCTTTTTGAAATGCTAAAACAAGATATAAGGGCTTTCCAAAAATATATATTTATGAATATATTTAGTTGTGACAGTATTTATTTAAAAAAAAACTGGGTACATATTTATTTTCTAATCAGCGTTGACAGAAGTTATTTTTTAAAAACCTTAATTTAAAAACCTAAGTACATTTTTTATCTGAATATATTAATTATTAATTTTGGTTGGTATACATTTTGTTAAAAAACATTTACTTGAAATAAAATGAAATTCTTTAAGATATTTTAAGATATTAAAAAATAATTCAAAAACCCTGATTTTATAAAATACACTGCCCATCTAAGGGCATATATTTTTTTTAAACTCCTACTTTGTAAACTAACTTCAAGTGTCACTCTCGCTACTCCAGGTTATATTCTTTCTGTGGTTCAACCTGTAAGTGCGCCCAGCGAATGAGGTTAGGGACGAAGTTTTTTGGCCCGAGTTCAAGTCCCAGCATGGTCAAATGCAATTTGTGTGTGGGTTTTTTTTTGTGCTTATATGTACATACAATACATTTTCCATCCGGATTTATTTGCTGTTTTCGTTTACTATGATTTGCCACTTTGAGAAGTACAGATGTCAGATTTCACTTTCGTTAGCGTATGTATTGATACATCTACATCTACACTTTGTTTACATGCTTACGCTAGGATGCGCTATTAATAGCATGTTGTATTTGAGGTATTATTGACATTAATATATTTTTCTAATTTTACAACAGCGCCTACCCTTGTGAAGCGTTTTATGATCTCGGAGTTTATAGAAAAGACGGTGCCCGTGCAAATGACCCCAAACCCGTCAGATGTCGACCGGTCTAAGCAAGTAAAGGCGCTTTTAAAGAACAGGATCCTTAATAAGAACATGGTATTAAGCCCACATACATCACCACAGCAAAAGCCGACCACCTCCAAGGCGACACCCATCATGCCAGGACCTTCCGCTCAGGGTTCAGCTTGCCTGAATCCAGGGATTGCAACGACTCCTGCTGCTTTTTCTATACCCATTGCTAAGGCTGACGTGACTGTGCGTTCAAAGCAGCCACCATTGCTGCTCAATCTGGTTAATCAGCTGCCCAGACATAGAGCCACTTGCAGATCAAATAGCAAGCCGTTGGTTAATCAGCCAGAGACAACTGAACAACATTCTGCCCAATATTCAGTACAACAAGTTTCACAAAGTCCACAAAGGATTCCAGTACAGCAGTCGCCACCTATTTCCACCACACTTTCACCACAACATTTGCCTCAACCATCTCCAGAAGTTCCTAAGGTACAAGAAGCTTCTGCAATTCCCATAACACTCCTTACGAGTCCTTCACCACCACTGATTGTGTTGGAGAACAAGGTGTTGGCACCCGAAGAAAAGATCGATTTGAGTAGATTGCGATTGCCAAATTCTTCAGTTACAACTGCACTGACCCAGGTTAAACCTCTGGAAATTCCCATTCAATCCAATCTGCAATCCAAAGTGAACAAGGGAAAGGTTATCATTAACGCTAATAAGTTAAAAGTGTCGCGGGATAAGCTAGCCGAGATGGCCAAAGAGATTCGCACTCAAGCAGATCTGACATCAAAGGACCTAAACCAAACCATTGAAATGCCTTTTACTATTAATTCCATACTTCAACGAAATAAGACGCCTTTATTTCCTACTGCAGAACCTGTGGATAATCCAAATCTAACAAATGATTTGCCAGCTTGTACTGGTTTAAGTATTCAATCAAATCAAATAGAAACTGTGCAACCAAAAGTAAGTCCGAAAACCGATTTTCTTGAATTTATTCCGACAACAACTGAGCTTAAGGATATACCTGCAGAAGTGCCACAAACATCGTCTGAAAATAATATTGATACTCCTGAAAGGAAACCATATTCTGAAGAGGTATCTAAGGCCCCCAAAAACCAAGAATATAGTCCTTCAACTTCGGAAGTGGAAGAACTGAACACTGTTGCTAATCCTCTTGATTTCCCTGTATATATTCCCTCAACTTCAGAGCAGTTGTCTGCCGCCCCGAACACAAAGTCCAGTCCTATAAAACCGTCAACTGAAGTGATATCTTATCCTGAAGAAAATCCAGAATTGAACACTTCAGTATATATTCCACTTACATCGGAAAAAGAAATACCAGAAAAGGTACTTTCAAAATCGAATGTTGAACCAGAAAATATGAATGATAAAGTGGAAACGGCACCAAGTTTTCTGGAAGTACCTGTCTGCGTTCCTTCAACTTGTGAAACATCTTTATCTTTAACTCCCAAACTTGATGTTACATCTCCTGAGGAAAATATACAAACAAATTTACCCGCTGACACATCATCAGTGCCTAAGATTCAATCTGCCGTGGATTTTATAGCCCAACTAACAGCTGAAAATCCTCTAGACGAAAGCAGTTTTATGGATTTATCGCCGGAAGAGCAAAGATTGAGTGCTCTTTTTGGTGGAGGCGATTTTTCATTTTCTGATGTGTCCCCCGTCAAGGAGACTTTGCAGCCCGAGGAAGAGCTGCCCATTGGAAAGATTGTGAAATTGGACGATATGAATATATTGCACGCTACTTTAGATGTAAATAGCGACAGTACTAACGTACTAAGAATCAGTCCAAATGCAATGCTGATGCAAGGTAGCATGGCCAGGCTGGATACACCATTGATGGAGATAGACGACGTATCAGACTCAGTGATGGAGGATTCAAATGTAAGCATCAACTTACCAGAACCACTCGAAAAAGTTGCAAGTGAAACGGAAAATGTGAAATCCCTGTTAACCGAAACTCCACCTCAAGAAGCCAAAGAGGAAAAACCTAGTCTAGAAGCCTCTACAAATTTGACAGAAGAACCTTTAAAATCTAAGGAGCCCGAAGTGCCTTCGAAAGAGATCAAGCCAGTTTCTGAGCCAGAGCCTGTCAAGGAGGTTAATCCTCCTGTTAAAAGGGTACCTATGAGATCCAAAAAAGCTAAGATTAATTTAGTGCAACGTAATAAAAGGCCAAACATTCAAAAGCCAATTGAAGTCAAGAAAACAAAGTTAGATTTTGAGGAGGATGAAGAGCAGACGATGATGGGTATCGATCACAGCTTGGCGGAGGACCGATACGCGGGAACCGAGGTAATTGTCAATGTTGATAGGCTAAGCTCAGACAAAATAAATCTGAATTTATCTAGAGTTAAAAACAATCCAAAGGTTCCAGTAGATGAGAAGCAGTGTGATGAGGAAGTCAGTGAGGCCAGAGTAGAAGACCCAGTTCAAGAAAGTATTCCAAGAATAGAAGATGAAGGGGGAGTTCAAAACATTAAGGAAGAACCCCAAATTCCAACCAAATCCTCTACAGAACGAGATCTAACCCAGCTATATCATCCACCAAAAATGCCCAAAAATCTATCCAGTAAGCAAAGCAGTAGTCAGGAGACTCTGGAGGATCCGCCACCAACAACTTCAAAAAATAGTATCTCTCTAGTAGAGATCCTTTCACAGGATCCACCCAAACCCCAGGGCGAGGCGCAAGTGCCGTTTCGCAAGGAGTCCATAGAGTTAAATAGCAATACGCACATCTCAACCGGTGCTAAAGGAATACAGAACTTGATTGTGCACTTGACTGCCGAAATTCAGAAGCCATCTTCAATGCCTAAATCAGAAGAACCACCGAAACCAATGCCCCGCAAGAAACTTGTAAAAACGCGGCCAGTGCTTAGCAAGAGATCCTCAAAAGTTGCTCAGAGGAAGTCACCAGAAATGCCAAACCATTTTGAATTTCTTCATCCGGTTAGTGCAAATGTGGGAGGACGCATTCCTACTTCCAGCACAAGTGATGACGATAGTTCCATATTTCTGGGCTTTGATAACAAAGAAGAAAAGCGTTCCAAAACTCCGGTTAGAAGCAAGCGACTGAAACAAATGAAGATCAACGAAACTGACATAAGCGATGATGCAACTCCCGATTACGATGAGACGGAGGAGGAGCAGCCCTCTGCAGAGATAGAACCACTAGAAAAAAATTCAGACGTTACGACTTTGAAAAAACATACGGTTCTGGGATCTTTCTCTGATGATTCAAATATAAGTAATGGCGGTCCTGCCAGTCCAATGGATTTTGGCGATTCTGTAACGATGGATGAAAACACACCTTGTGAAGGGTTTCCGAAGGTCGAAACAATTTCATGGGAACAACTAGTAAACGAAAAGCCTTCTGATGGTTTGGATAATAAAGAGGAAAGTGATACCAAAGTGGAAGAGGGTCATGCTTCAGAAAGCACTAACGAAGCTGTTAAACCTGCAGAAGATATATCTAGAAAAGAGGATCCACCAAACACTGATTCAGATGCAGAATGTTCTGGCAATAAAAGTAAAATTCATAATGAAGAGCCACTCGTAGATGTTTGCAATAAAAACGAAGATAAAACACCTGTGATAAACGAAAAGGATTTATTTGTTGATGTTAAAACCCGAAAAGGCCGAAGAAAGTCACAGAAATCAAATACAATTTCTATAACAGAGACTCCAGATCAACCTTCCACAAGTAAAGATAGCATAACGATTATAGGGATCAATGAACAAAAAGATCGTATAGAAGAGGTAGATGCGTCTGATAATGAAAATCCGAAAAATAGAGATTTAGTGCAAAGTGAAGAAAAACCCCTTGAGGACACTGTAAAAACTGCAAACACTGCGGGAAAAAGAAAATCTCGGCCTGGTTCTAAACATAATTCTGAACTTGAGGCAGCTAAAGTTCCAGAACAAACTTCTTCAAATAAGCGAAAAACAAGGAGTAACTCACCGAAACTGAAAGTACCATTAATTACTGAACCCGATCAAAAAACAGAAAATACGAACGAGGCTGAGAGCGCTCTAAATCAAATGAAAACAAGGAAATCTCGGTATAGCAAAGCTAAGTCTGTTTCAATAACTCCTGCAGCTTCTGAAAAGGAAAGGATAACAGATCCTGGAAAATCAACTGTTAGTCAAGATTTAGAGGAAGAAAAGGCCACCGTAGATGTTAATACAAAAGTCAGTCAAAAATCTTGCAGTAAATCGCCAAACAAGGCCGAAACTCCGAAAGTTGTAGTATCTAAAGAAACCCTTTCTAATACAGATGGTCAAGAAAAACTAGAAGAGGTTCAAGCTGCGGAGGAACCTATTCAAGATAAAAAGCAGGAAAAATCAAAGAACAAACGGAAATCTCGGAGTAGTACATTGAATGTTAAACATAAAGAACTTACTGAACCGGCTCCAGAACCTAACTTAAACCCAGAAAAATCGATTTCAGATGTTTCACAAGAAACAGTTCCGGATTCAGAGGATTCGAACGTTCCGACATCAACTAGAAAATCAAGGGGAAAACGGCAATCTCGATATGAACCTAAATCAAACTCAGTTGCTACTGTGGATACTCAGGCCGTAACGGATTTGATACCACCAGAAGAACCTCAACAAGTGGATACGCCAATAGACAGTTCCGCCTCTTCAGTTATTACCACCGAAAAGGAGACGATTCTTGTTTCTGCACCAAAAAGAGGCAGAAGAAGTAAGGTTAATAGCGCTCCAGTTGAAACAGAAACTTCAACACCAACTAGTGAATCAATTCCAACAGAATCTGAAGAACCGAAGGTCCCAGCGAAAAGGGGAAGAAAGCGGGCAGCTCCTCCTGATACAGAATCAGAGTCAGCTAAAAAAGCTAAGACTGAGGAGAGTTTGGAACCCGTAACCATAGCTGAATTTAATTTAAGACTGTTGCTTATAAGAAAACGAGATGAGTTAGAAACGGATGAAGATGTGACGGATGATGGCAAGGGTGAGGGTCCTCTTCAATGTGGCTTGTGTTTGGCTCGCAGTGACAAGAAAAATTGGCAACGACATTTAGGAGAGCATTATGGAGTGGGTTGGCTTGTGGGTGAAACACCCAAGGTGAGTTTAATAAGCATAAATTTTATATCGCAAAAGCTTAAACTTTATCTTATTAACAGAAAATTACACGTTCCTGGGTAATAACAATGATAAAAACATATCTCCAAAATAACTCTGGAAAGTTAGCATGTCGTCTTTGTAATCACCAATTGGGATCTGCATTGGGCATGATGCTCCATCTGGAGGGTTGTGGCAATAAACAGCGACTTCTCTGCGATTTTTGTCAGCGATCCTACACCAAACTGTCTCTACCGGTACATATTCGAACCTGTCCAAAGCGTCAGATGTACCAGATGGAGGAAACTGTGGAAGAAGATGCCAATGAAACGGTACTCAGCAATGCTGGTCGTGCCAAACGGAAGTCTACCATTAAGTAAGTACCAAATTCGTATGGAATTTTTTTACATTTTACCTAATGATATTTTTTTTAGGGCTGAAACCAAATTAAGGAAAATTGGAGAAGAACTTACATTGCAAAAGGGTGGGGAGAAAACTTCGACCAAAAACGATTTCGATGGCGATTCATCAGACTACGATATGGCCAAGGACAAGGAGTCGTCTGAAGAGTATGAATCGGAAGGAGCTGATTCCAATGAGGAGTCTTTCAGCTCCGAGGATGAGGCCAGCCTAACTGAAGGTTCTTCCCCAACCAAGAAATCAAAAACAAATAAGCGTGGAGACGTTGGCAGAAAAAGGAAACTTAAACAGCCACAAAACATGTCAGAACGTCAGCCTTGTAAGTAAAATCATAAACATGAGAGGTATTTAAAATAATTATATTTGATCTATTACAGTACTTTCCCGATATCACCACTTGGAGGCTAGGGCAACCCATAGGTGGAACGAGTTGTAAGTGAAAGACACGAAGGCCATTTATCAAAAAATATATCATACTTTTTTTCTATCTTTAAGCGTGCAACTCAATTATGGAACTGGATCCTTGTTTACCCAACTGCTGCCTAGTTTTACGAAGATTTCTTCAAAGGAAGCTACTAGCTTACTGCCATCTAAGGATGCCGCATCCGTGCGCTATGCTTATGGTAAGGTACAATCGGATAACGACTGGAAACAAATGGCACCAATGGAGGGCTTTAAAAAAGAAGGTATACGTAAATAATAAAACAATCAAATAAGTATTAACCTTAAATTTGTCAGGTGAATATGTGAGCTATCTGGGCAGCTCTATTAACAAACTTGCCTGGCTTCCTCTACCACCGAAAGTGGCCGATCAGTATCTACTGTGTTCCCTTCGTTCGAGAATGAAATCCTTTGCAAGACATACAAAACTCAAAGATGAAGATGCCCTTTTGATGTTACTTAAATGTACGGTGCCCGAAAGCCAAAATATTACCAAGACTTGGGCACCACGACCGGAGTTTCATTATGGCATTCGTGTGCCACATGGACCAATTCACAATTTCTGCTTTTTGCCAAGCAGTGGTTATGATAAGTCCACCAATCGTTTGGGCCTATTGGCTGTTGCAAATTCCTTGAGTGATGTTCATATTTATGCACTGCCTTTGGAGCTGACGAAGGAAGAGGGAAGTGCAGATGTGGTTATAGAACTAGAATCTTTGATAACTTTATGTTTGGATATCAATAATCCAGTAGAGGAGCAGTGCACTCAAATTTGTTGGTCACAGGTGAGTTTCTTGCATAAATATTTAACTTTCTATAATAAAATGTAAACTTATTTGTGCAGTCTTCGGGACATAATTTTCTGGCGACAGGCTATAGCAATGGCTATATTGCCTTTTGGGACATTGACGATAAGGACAACTTTAATAGTTTCCGCCGAAATAATCAGACCTACTTTGTGCCGCTGCATTACTTTTACATAGGCGAGCGGAATGTTCAATGTAAGTTTAGTTAGTAAAGTTTTACTTTAAGTCTAACTATGATTTTTCAACCTAGATATGGATCTCCATTATGATAATAATGGTCCTCGCTGGCTGGCAGTTGGCACCTCCATTAGACAATTTAAAGTCTATGATATTAAAGACTGGTCTAGCCCTCGTATCCTCACACAAGACACCATCTGCAATCTATATATGGCAAACTTAACCTGGTCACCTATTTGTGAGGCTCTTGTCGTCAGCAGTTCACGTAAGCTATATCTCGTTAACTAAGATTAAGTTATTAATTTAAAACTTGTTTGCAGATTTCTCTCGCACAATAGCAGTTAGCCCATCGGGTATACAATTCGAGCACAGAACTTTGGATGGAACCCTGACGACGACACGAGATATGCACACGAATTGCCAGCAAAATCACATGGTATTTGTGACGGACAACGGTGACCTGATATTCCTAGATGTGAGAGATCTCAACTGTGGCCCCGTCTTGCTAAAGTCAACGGTTAATACACGGGCAGTATCCACCACCGAGTTGCATCATCTGGGCAAGACAACTCCCAAGATTACGGAACTCATCAGTGAGGATGAGTTTATCCAGGACTATGGCGTGCAAATCAAGCCAGTGGCCCCGGAACCCCATAGAAGCAAATCTACATACTTGGACGCCAAGCGTCGGCCAAAGAACTTGCACTCTCTTGCCCTAACAAGATTCAATTGCGTTCGTTGTAATTGGAATTCGCCTGCCCACACCTGGGTGGCCATGGGCGCAGAACATGGCCTGCTGCGAATCCTTAACTTCGATCGAGATAAATTCTTCTAAAGGATATCCCAGAGAACTGCTCTGGCAACTGAATATCTTCTGAACAAGCATCATCTGAGATTATAACTTATTGTTTTACCATATAAGCTAAATAGATTTCTAACTCTTCATAGGACCGTTAAAATTACGTTGCGAAAGTCGATTAGTTGTAAATAATTTATAGCTGTTGTGGAAATATAATGTATTTTATATGGAGTTATTGTAGTTTATAACGAAATTTACTTTGCTAACAAAGATTATAAATTAGAAAATCGAAAACCAATATTTCAATCCTTAAAAGGATTGCAATAAATAAAACACAATCAGTTACAACATATTAAATATATTGATATATTTTTTATTTTTATCGGTAGTTTTATTTCTCCGTAAATACTATATGCAAGTTTAACAATGATAGACGGGGATTTCTCTATAGCTTTCAGCGATTATAAAATCAATTTCAAATATCGGATGTAAAATTATTAAAATTAATGTGTATATTTCGGTGTTTTTATTAAATAAAATATAAACATCTCCTCTCGCTAACTTGGGCGTAAATAAATATATATTGGCAAAAGGCGTGGCTTACAACGTAAACGGGCTATGCTAAGTGAATCGACTGAATGCTTCTTGGATTTTTGACATAAACAGCTAGATATATATATATATAGTTCATATACATAGACATACATATAGTACAAATAGATTAAGAATTATCAAACAAATGCTTTTCAAACGCTTTAAAAACCCGAACAAATGCAAATATGCCTTAAAATTTTGTAAAACAGATTTCGTTGGTTGACTGAATAACACTAAATAAGCATACATACATTATACAGATATATATATATATATATATGTAGGTATATATGTTTTTTTTTCTTAAATTGCTGTTGTCTTTTCTATGGCTGCAAAAACAAAAATTCTCGCGGCTTTTCTGCAGTTGACCTTCAGTCTTCGCTCTTAGTTATAGTTTGCTGCAATATTCCTCATCTTTAACTTCACAATCTGAATCTCTCGCTATGCCTAACCGAAAATCTATGCGAACATTAAATTCTATAAACAAATTCATCCATCGAAAACGCAAAAGGACTTAACGCGAACCTAAATCGAATGTAATTTAACAGCAAGTTAACAGTGATTTCCGGTCCGTCTTTCGGCTTCCGGTTTTGCGATTTGCGTTTTGAGCTCCGCGTAGTTGGGAAATTGCCTTATTACTTTTCCGCTGGAATTGCTTCAGGAGTTGACCGATTGCCAGCCAGCTCCAGTTGGATTTCATTAAGACTCTTGCCCTTCGTTTCTGGCACGGCAAGGAAAACGAATACCACTCCAAGAACCGTCAGACCGGCGAACAACCAGAAGGTTCCTCCAATGCCCAGGCCATCGTTTAGGTTTACAAAAGTCTTGGTCACCACAAAGGCCAGCAGCCAGTTGGATGTTCCTGCCAGGGAGCCAGCGAATCCCTTAATGTCAGTAGCGAAGAGCTCTCCCATCATCAGCCATGGCACTGGTCCGTAGCCCATCGAGAACATGATGATGAAGAGGCACAAACTGGCCACTGGGAGCCAGCCCAGATTCTCCACTTGGGTCTCATCCTGTTTTTGCAGATAGAAGTAGACTCCAATGGCGGTAGTGGATACAGCCATGCAAATTCCAGAAGCCAGGAGAAGGATACGGCGGCCCAGTTTGTCCACAACCAGCGTGGAGACGAAGGTAGCCACCACCTGCATGATGCCGATCAAGATCGATGCCCATTCAGCTTCGATGCCAGTTTTGGCTTCCTGGAATAGGAGAAAATTGGTTAAGTTTAACGATCGATTATGTTTATTGGTCCTAAAAATGTATTTATTTTGAGGGAATCTTCTTAATTTTACAAAATAAGTACCATCCACACTCACCAAAAAGATCCTTGAGGCGTAGAAAATGACAGCGTTGATTCCGCACACCTGCTGGAAGAACATAAGACCCATGCTGATGGCCAAAGCCTTCCGGGTGACAGGACGGTTCAGAGCAGCCCACACATTGACCTTGTTCGCCTTGGTTTCCCTATCGGTTTCACGCAGTTCCGCAAGTTCTGGCTCATAGTCATACTCCTTGCCACGCAGCCATTGAATGGACTTGATGGCGTTCTCCGACCGATCTTTGGCAACCTGTCGATGGGAATTATAAAAATTAAAAGCGTTAATATAACCACTTGAGTAGGAATTTCTGATTTTGACGGCAAACTCGTGGTGTCTTTCATATCTTTTAGATATATAAGTTTGGTTTTGCCCTAGATAAATTCTTGATTGACTGGCTGATTATATCTGATCAATAGATTACATTCTTTTTTAACAAGCATCATTAAACCCTTGTGCTTATGTGGTATTTGCTTTGGAAAAGTTTTTAACCTTGTTTATGTTTTTTATTTAAAGAAAAGACACTTAAAAAGTATCTTAAAGGATCAACTAAGAAACTAATCGTAAGAACTTACCAAATAGGTAGGCGATTCCGGCATGAAGAAAAAGATGGCTCCAAAGACGAGAGGCAGAAGTCCACAGATGACGCTCAACCAAAAGATATCGACACCAGCTCCGACAGCGTAAACGAACAGGATACCAATGGTTATCATCAGCTGGAAGTAGCTGCCCAGCGTTCCACGAATTTCCTTCTGGGCAATCTCACCCGTGTACATGGGCGCAGTCACACAGAAAGCACCACCGGCGATACCCAGGATGAAACGTGAGGCATACAGCATACCCACATTGGCCGCCCAGATAAGCATGGCCCAACCGACAATGAAGGGAAGGACGAGGAACAACATAGTCCACTTTCGGCCAATCAAATTGATCAGGAAACCAATGGGAATGCATACACAGGCGGCACCCAGAGTCATTGCTGATCCCACCCACGAGAACTGATCCTTATCAACGTTAAATTCGTATCTTTGGTGGTCATCTACGATCGCCGTTTCGGCCGGGGATGTCCAACCCAAGACGGTACCACAGGCAAAAGCGCCACCAGCTGCTGCCAATGCGGCCACATATTGCGGCAGTTTCCGGGAATTGTTCGACGTCGATGTGTGCACCATGTTGCCGAGTAGATTTTCTTGATCCTGGAAAGGACGAGAAGATTTTGTAAGTAACTTTTCTGCACAGTATTGTATTAAAAATGTTGATTTTGGATAGATATATGTAAAAAACTTATGTTTTCACTTGGATTTCTTAAATTAATTAACCAGCGAGATCAACTTCTTATCAAAATAATGCCTAACAAATCTGAAACTTTATTTAATGAATAATTTTATTTAACTTTAAATAAGTGAAACACTTGCTTATTTCCTTTTTTTTTTGTTGATTTTGAATATTTTTCCATATTTTTATCACAATTTTACCTTTCTGAACTCTCAAGAGATCGCTATTAATTAGATCGTTCTGCTGTGACCAACTTATTTAGACTGAGGACCAGCTATTAGCTACCTACAAGTATTATCATGGCATGGTTATTGATAAGGTCCAAACCCCCCGCCCAGTGATTAGGACATTTATTGGCGCTCCGATAGTAAGCCTTCCGTCCAATGCCCATGTACCCATATTTATTGCACTCTCTCAGCCCCAAAAACTCGGTACTATGCTTTCCTCTTTCCGATTGTGCTCAAGTGCTTCATTATTTCATTATATCAATGGTCTCATAAACAGAAGTAGCCCCTGAAATTTTTGAGCAAGTTCACGCATACTCGGTATGCCGATATCATTCATACGCCTAGTGGTTGGGATCTTTACGCTTGAGACAGGCAAAATCCTCAATAAGACCCCAGCAGAAGTTAGGGATGCCGCGTGAAAAATAAGTTAAGTCAAATTCTTTAAAGTTCGAGAGAGAGATTATAGTACTTTACTATAATTATGTTCATGTGTTTCCACTTGAGAGTTTTAGGGCTAGGCACTTGATCAATGAAACTTCTTGTACTTATAAGCATAGGCTGATAGAGCTACTGAGATAAGATTGAGATTACCTAATTAAAAGTATAATGGCATATTTGGATTCAAAGTACCTTTATCAGGGTTAAACTATAATTATATTTCTTAAATACCCCCATCAGAATTTCCCACTCACTTTGACTGCATTCTTCTTATAGATATTTCTTAGTAAAATACCATTCCCCTTTCACTTTAGCACCTCTTCAATGCCTCAAGAATCACTCAAGCAGCAACAATTAACCATTTTTGACCACCTTGTTAGCCATACTCATGGACTTCCGTTCGTTGGGCCATAAATTATTGTAGAATTGGAATAAATATAGCTAAGATTATCGCGTGCCTAATCAGTGAATTGTCAAAATTACAGATATGAACAAGAAGTAAAGTGAACGCGGAATCAGCCGGCTATATCAGAGCTTTTTTTTATCAAAGCTTTTCCAAATATATTTCCATGTTTATAAACAGAACTGATTCGGGGTCTATGATATACGTTTTGAGCTTTTTTGTCTGTCCAAAAGGGGGTGTGTTTTGGTTTCTTTTTTCTGCATTTTTTTTTCATAAGACTTGACCTTTGACAAGGAGCTTTGGTCATCTACGAGTCTTTACTAATGCGTTTACTACTACTATGATATCAAAGTTATTTATAAAAGTTGTTTAAATAAGTAATTTATAAGCAAGTTTACATACAAATTATTATTACACATAAAAATGCATTATGATTACGAAGTTTCTTTTATTTTATTCAAAATAACGTGTGATACGTGATTTGTATTTTTGAGCAAGGCCTGTGCTGACTGATCTATAGAAAAGCTACTACATTCGATTGGCAGAGAAAACTTATTTTCCTTCCTTTAATGCCAATAATTTCTCTTAAAGAAAGGTCCAAATTTAAAGATCATAAACACAAGCATATGCATTATAATAGGATTTGCAATTATTACATTCATATCTCTCAAGAGACCGTCGTAAAAGCCACTTCGCCTGGCGCATATGGTTAAATTATGGCCATTTTCTCTTCGCCCATTGCCTGATCTAGCCCATGTGTATTGCCGCCCACTCAAAGTGCCCACTCAAAGTGCCATTGCCAATCTCAGCCCACGCGAAACCAAGGAGTAGAGAACAAATCACTTCCGTGAAAATGCAAGCCAAGATTTGCAGCTGTGTAAAAAAAAAAAAAGAAAAAGGAGAAGGCCATGCGGATTATGGCGTATACGCCCACATATTAACTGTCATTTTACTGGGCTCCAATGGGGACACACCTCCGGATTGCCAGTCGAGAGTTAAACGAAGCGTTCAAATCGCGTCTGAAAGGTCTGAAATCGATATCTCTGCCTCGATTCTGTGCCTTGGTTCGTTTGCCAGTGAGTTCCGTCTGCGGCTAATGTGGTCAATCCATTGGCTGCCTGTCGCTCGTTCGTTTGGTATCTAAATTTAGCATTACTGCTAGTAGTTAAAGGCAGCTCTAGGAATACGAGACCGAGTCCCCGTATACTTTTTGGGGTGCTAAAACCCACACCCCAAAGATGTCAACTGGATGGGCGATGGGTCCAAGTTCGTTTCAATGTCAGTGGCAGGCGCAACAGTGCGCGTCATTAGTAAGTTAACAGGGTAATTTAATATGCCCCGTGGCATTCCACTAAACTGGTTCACTATGAGCAAAGCATACTTCATAATTATTGAGTTGTCTTGGTTAATTTATGTACAATAATCCCGAGCTATTAAAGTAATAAAATTTGCATAAGGGGAATTGGAACAATTTCTGTGACATTTTCTAGGAAACTATTGGGATAAATTTCCATACGAAGTTGGCTTTTTATTCTTTGTTTATTATAATAATAGAAAAGTTAGTTAGCCGCTTAAAAAGATGTTTTATATATTGAGAAAACTATTCATGTTTTAAGCTTGATCAAGTTTTCTTTCCAAATGAGATCAATTATGGATTATTACCCTTTGAAATGATTCCCATCTCATTAAAAATAATCCCAAAATAAACTAAAACCTTGAACATTTCATGTCACTTTTAACACAAAACTTATTCAAATTCAAAGCAGTTACGATAATGGGTTAATTTTGTGATTACTACGATGACCAATGAAAGTGAAAACAACTTAATGATATTATAAACTTTATAACGAACCATTTAGGGCAACTCATATATTATTCGAGAAATGTGCCAAACTATGTTATCGAACTGGTCGAGTTTTCACATTTTAAAACGTATTCAAATGTCGGTCATAAAACTCTGTTGTTGTGCGTAGTTTAAAGTCCGTATAAGGTGCACAGCACAGAATTTTTAATGGTTTCGAAGGGGTGTTATTTTAACTAAAATAAAAAAAACCCCAAACAAATTTGTTGACTCATTTTGGGCATTCATTGGAACGAATCTCAATAGAATTTGAGTGAGTAAATAATAATATCTGACTGCCTTTTTACCATAACAAATCCGTAACCGTGCTTATTGTTATTTATAATTTCTCTCCTCTGGGAATAGGAGATACGCCCCTTGTATTTTTTTCGGTCAAGTGGCTACCCAACACATTCTCCTTATGACTTTCCTATGGATAATGATTGGTATTCCACAGTCTTGTTTCGACTATAATGACCTTGTCCAACATATAAACCAAACAAAAATAGAAAGTTTCCACATTTGTTTCGGAACTCATTAGCTTGATAAGCTCTGCCATCCATCAATGAACGCTAAGCTCCATAAATATAGGAAAAAAAAACTGAATTTAAGATAAAACTACACATAATTGTTGCTATATAATTGCTTATCGCTGAAAATATTTAAAGCGGAAATGATGTGTGAAAGGTATTTGAACTCATACACGCAGAAAAAAACGAATTTGAAATTGTACTCTGATTTCGCTGTTGATGGAGATAGCTTTTTCAGCCTCATAATTGCCTGGTAAACTATTTATATCTCATATCTTTTTCGCAGCAACATCTTTCCGCTTTCAACTACGTCTTTACTTAACTTTACTTAACTTTACCAACAGATGAGATTGTTTGCTTGTTTTTGGCAAACATTTTCCACAATTACCAAGTTTTTGAATACTCTAGCATTCGAGAAGCCTCATAATTTGATCAGTTTGTTTATAGGGTATCTGTACTATGTTGTTCATGGTATAATGATTTCCTATCTCGTGTTTCGCACTGCGTTAATTGGACTTTCGCCGTGTCTTCCGGCCAAGGTCAAAACCAAAAGATGCATTAACTTGGCTAGCCATCTGTTTAACGCAAATTAACTTAAGTCAAGAAAGCACTGAGAGAAATTGGTCATCAGTTTGGGATTTGTAAGCTGTGTAAGGCTGTTCATTTGAAATAATAAAACAAAATAAGTAATCTTTAAACTGACTTTCTCCCGATTTCTCTCAGTGTTCATATCTACGATATCATGGGAATTTTTGCCTACATGTGGGGTGGAGTTGGTGCGTCCATTTTCGCTGGCTTTGACGATTTTGACCGCTTGCCTGGAGCCGTACTTGGCACCATTCTCGGCGGATTCCAGCAGGTGGGAGCTCTCCTCATTGCTGGAGCTAGCCTTTTTGTTGGGCTCCTCGCCACTGGAGTTGCTGGACGATGCGGTGGACATATCAAAAGGATTATGTAAACTTCAGTGGGGTCGTCAAAAGGTTACGATGGGGATATGTTTTTAATATTCTTCGGTTAATATCAGTTTTATAAATCCGTTACTTAGCACTTTTCACTGCACTTTAATTTTGTGATAATAATAATGTTGAATAATACGTCAACGTCTGAGAAATGTCCTTTGGCTTGTGGTTTTTTGTCCTTTAACACGTCGGCCACCCACGTAGCATAGAATACTTTAAGGCGCATGCGCATCAACAATCAAACATGTTGCTGGCCAAAAAATCTGTTCTTTTTAGCTTCTCCTTTTAGCACTTCCAATTAGCCAACTAACTAATGTGATATATTGGGAAATTTGTTGTATTTAAGATATATATTTTTGGATATGTATTGGGTGATTTCCTCGAGTATTTCCTTAGTGCCACTCGCGAGTATCTTTTTGTGCGACGACGAGTATCTTTGTATCTTTAACCGCACGCAACGAATGTTGGCTAGCAAATGGCGCGCCAAACAATAAAAAGGCCTCCGCCGGGCTCTATGTGACTGGATACGCCGCCGCTCTCTCTCTCTCTCTCTCCCGAATTCTCTTTGCCGCTCTCAATTTTTGGTCTTGGGCCTCGGGAAACTGGTCCCGCTCTCCAGCAGTCTGGGTATCGGTGGTGAAGACTATACTATACTATATCCATACGAGGCTATTGACTCTTGGCGGCAAAATCCAAACTGGAATTGCATGGCGCCTTCGTTGCTCAGATTTTCAGACGTTCTGCTCGAAATTGCATTCAACACGGCATGGCTGTGGATGCAACTTTTGCGCTACTTTCGGCTTGTTGCTTCTGCCTTTCCATTAACTCAAGGCAATGCAAATTTATGCATCTGCAATTGATCTGTAAATTTACTAAATGCCCTTCGCAATGGAAGATTTTAGCTTTCGCCAAGGACAGTTTCATGATTTGCTTTGATTGAGAACTTTGATAGGAAAGTTGCGATGTTCTTTCTAGCAATTAGCCTGCATAAATGGTACTATATTAAGCCATTAACTATCTTTAAAGTTCAATTTAAGTTCTAAAGAAATCCCTAACAGAATAACAAACAAATTTATTTGTTTATTAGCTTGCAGATCTTTAAAAAAAGGAAATTAAAATGCAGTTATACTACGTAGCCGGCCACGTGTCATTCTGTTTACTATAGTAGCTTCCGTATGCACAGCCAGATTATACAGATATAAAGGCAGCCGAACAAACGCATTCTCTTTCCATCCACAAAATAAGGGGAATATATATAGTATAGTATGTGCCTTTAGATATTCGTAGATACAGATATCTTTGTGAACACTCGATGCTTGTTCAAATTGTACAATTTCCATTATCATTTCCAATTCCATTTGGCCGGGGCGAGGAGTACTATTTATCTAGCTGCCAGTGAGTACGTTCAATGGATCACGTTTGTTGTTTTGTGGATAGAAAATACGCCTGTGCCTGTGAGAATAATGGATTGCCTCTTACGGTGGCTCATAACGGATGAAAATAGGCATTTCCATGCTTTGGGACTTTTCAATAAACAAACATGACACTGCTACGAGCTATAAAATGGGTCAGATAATGAGCATACACTTCTTATATCGAAATGTCTAAGAGCCATAAAGGAATGTCTTAAAGAGAACTTATGGAAATTTCGGTGCATACAAATGGTATATAAATAAGCACATGAAATTACGCGCAAGTGAAAGGAATTTATATTGAGACCTCTCTCAGGCGTTAAAATGTGAAACGTGAAATGCTTTCCATATTTTATAATTTATTGGTTTGTATAAAAAAGTAATTTGAAGAAATATTTAGATACTTATTAAGCTTTCAGTCCAGGGTTACAAAATATTCATAATTTTATAAAAAAGAACTTAAGATAATCAAGAATTTCTTTAAGAAATTTACAAGCTATGTTTAACAACTTTTTATTAAATAAAATAAATATAATTATTAAGTGAATATTTTGTTTGTTGAGTTATTATTAGCTCTTTTTCCTTATTTTCAACAAAATAAAATGTATAAAAACTTAAAAATCTTTTATTGATTTAAGTTTTTCTCTCTGCACTTGTGTACTTCAAAACTTGGTCATGCTGAGCAGCTGGTTCTAACGCAACCCTGTTATCGCTTTGTGAGCACGCTTAGCAATCGGCCTTAACCTTGTCCGCCCGCCCCCTGCTACCCTTAAACAACCCCACTGGTCGCCGAAGGCATTAACGCACGGCTCATGGCGGGACTTGGAATACAACCAAACATTTGGCACGCTCCACGCTTGGAACAGGCTCACAGAGCGCCTAAAAGCAGGCTCACCTGCTGCGAAAGCGTTTCGCTCACAGATACAGAAAGTATCTGCATCTACAGAAAGTATCTATATCTGTTTCTCTACACACAGAACACACGCAATGTTCGGTATAGTATACTACAAACTCGTACATACTAATTATGTGGGGGGCAGATAAAAAAGACCAAAAGGGTGAAATGATAAAATACCGGTGTTATGCAACAGAAAGCTCATTAGCACTGGGCCAAGTTGACATAGGCTCGGTGATTTGTTAGCTGACTATATGTATAGGTCATACTACGTCAGCAGCTGGCTACGTCATGCAGTCATGTATCTGAAAGATAGATACGCTTGCTAGAGGGGCGTGCGCCGTGTGACGTCACAGAAGCCAAGCCCCAAAAATCTCAACCAATCAGAAAATTGTGGCCATAGCGAGCAGAGAACGAGCCCCCATCGCATGAGCAAAGAAAACTAAACAAAATATTCATAATACTTTTACGTCTGTTTGCCTTCGGATAGATGTGAATATTTTCTCTGCAGTTTTCTTTGCTTGCTGTTGGCCCACGAAAATCACGCGATTTGGCTGTTGGTTCAAGTGCAGGCACCAAATATTTCTGCTGACCCACCATAATTACCCTCTAGTTAAGACCATTGCATTGTCTTAATTCTTTTTTATCCACAACGACCTACATTTGAACTTGCGACAGGGTCAGCATGATGTAAATAGCTCCAAATTTGATAAATTCTAGATTATCACCCCAGCCAGCTGGGGAGGCCCAAAATCAATAATTCGTCCTCAACGACGACCCCAAGGTGAATGTATCTATAGATACGTTTTGGGCCACAATTGTGGGTGGCTTGTCCTTGGTGATTTTCCATGCAATTTCCCGGCCAACTGGTGAAATTTGTTTAAAAATCTCTGTTCTTTATGCGACTTTTATGTTTATCGTTAAAAAGTGTTATTTGCAGTAAATTAAAATCTTAATTGTAGGTCAATGTCTAGCTTACATAGTATAATTTAAAATTTTTTTTTATTTAATTGTTAATTTGTCTTTGTTTACTTACAGTTAAAGCTCACAGATTGCGAATAAAATTACGGTTCCTGGAATGAAAAATGGGAAATTACAAGTCAGAATGAGGTTAAAAATGCTTTAAATATATATTTAACACATTTAATCTTAATCTTAAAATTAGATTATATGAATAATGAATGTTTTATAGTAATAAAATTATATTTAAATTTTTAAAATATTTTATTTTATAATATTTTATACCTTAAAAATAAAAAACTTAACCAAAAGCGGTTTTCTGCTTTATTAAATGTATTAAAATATTAGATTAAAACTCAAACTATAGTTTAATTTCCCTTATTTTTCAAAATCAAACGTATAAATATTTAGATTTTTAATTTAAGATGAAAAATAATTTTAGGAATTGCCAAGTTCGAAACTCTTTCCTCTAACGGACATAAAGTTTTTTCAAAGCTTTCCTTGTCAAAAAGCTTTAATCCTATATTCGAACCTGTAACAATTGCTCTCAAACTGTGGGTTTCGAGTTATGGAAAATAAAACTGTAAAAAAGTCAAGCAATAGAAGTAAATAAAAAAACAAACAAAATATTTAACTTTATCGGAGAGTTATACTTGTATTCTTGGAACACTTGTTGCCTGATCGCTTTCTGATTCTGATTCAATGATTCACAAAACTAACACACAGTAGAAACAGTTCGAAATAAGCCTAATTAGATTTTTATTAAAATTTTTATATATCTCAGCTAATAAAACTTCTAGGATTAATGTACTTTTAATAAGTTTATTATACTTCCTGAATAATATTTTAAATACAATCTAAACGACCTTTTATTCAACAAATATCTTTAAATTGCTCCAACAGCTACCTTGATAAGCCTTCAAAACACCTTAACCCATAAATATTTGTCAAGTCAAATTTTATCACCACGAAGTGCAAAGTCTTATCTGCCCCCCCTCAAAATACATTCCAAATTTATTGCCAAAAAAAAAAAAAGAACAGAATTGAATGGCTATAACTATAACCATCGATCAAATTGCTTATGTGAGTCAGACAATCAGGCAGACAGAAGAAAGAAAACTGAACTGTTAGACATGTGGGGGGTGATTTTATCGCTTATCCTTATCACCATGAAAATTGGCCCAAAACATGAAGCTGCAGCGTGGCGATATTAGATCCACTTTCTACTTCCCACAAGGGGTTTAGTTCGGTATCGATATGGGCAATTGGGCTTATCGCCTGACCTTATCGCAGTTATGTCACCCCAAAAATGTATTTTGACTGCCAAATCGTTTTACGAACCAATAGATTTTCTCACATCGCACCACGATTCACGTTAAGTTTTCGAAATATTTATGTTCAGGCCACAAATCGCAGATCGAGTGCATTATTGATCGGTCAATCGGGGCCTAGGACTATAAGTACTTTGCCCAACCAAAAATACATTTGATTGACAGCTTGTAGAGCTATAAATATGAAATGAGACCCCCATAAAATAGTCCCATTCGATGAAGAACTGGCGCCGAACACACCCCCACAACATCATCATCAACGATAGCCGCACGCAGCGCAACCTTAACAAGAGATTTCCTTATTAAATTCAGTGAAAAAGCGAAAATATTTTAAATATCTGCCGGTCTACCTCTAGCTGGGAATTTATTAGTGACAATTGAGCGCACTTTACTTTGATTAAAAGAAATCTTTATGATCTGCCTGAGCTCAGATAAAGAAAATAAAAGCGTTGCGAGGAAAGTTAGGCCAAAGATATAGCTAGGCATGATAAGATTTGACAGGTTAATGGATACCACACTGGGGCGTATGAGTAATAGGAAGTGCATTTTGTAAAGTCAACAGATTTTTAGATTGTAATCTTTCTTTTTATGTGATAAAAGAGATATAATTGCTATTGTAAAACATTTTAAAACTGATCTTAAAGAGGTTTAAAGATCACTTTTAGGTTCAAAAATATATCACCATTTTCTAAGACAAGTAAGTTTTTTCGAAATAAAAGTTATAGGCTAAGCACCATTCACTGTTTTAAATTCTCCAAGATCATCGTTATCATTTTTTCTGATTACCACTTTAAAATTCCCCACAAATAATCTTTGAACTTTATTGAAAACAACAACACTTCGTCCTTCCTCCATTCGGCAAAATTAAATGAACAGCGA